TCGAACAAACGAATGTGTTTAGCGTTTTGCACGTTCGACGAGATGGAAAATTAATTGCGAAATTAATTTATGCACATTGCGCTAGTACTGCGCCTGACACTTTTCATCGCCAACCGTATCGTCCGCATCTGCACAGTTTACATTTCACACCTAATAGAATAGTGTACTGCCAGTACATGAATTTCGCTTCCATGAATATGCAGCATTCAATAATAAATATTAACGAAGTTCGTTTAATTTTCCGCGGAAAATAAAAATTGTGATAATAGTAATTTTGACTTGTCATTTTAATATAAATTGAAGTAAATATTTATGATGGTTATTATGTGTTAAGGTCTGTATTCACTTTTAATAAATACTTTTATTACACTCTTCATGCCTCGTCGCCTTTGGTTGTGTGGTTGTGTTTTGAATTAAATTAGAAAAGAAAGTGGACTATTACAACTTGCTACACACGACTCTCGACTTAAGTTATGGTAACTGTGTCTAAGTTTGCTTAAGCCGTGTTGGCTCGGCGGACACTTTTTGACATGGACATTATGCTCTGATTATGATCATTAGCTGCTTAATAAACGCGACTCACGGCGGATTTTAGTCGCGGTATAGGTGAAGCATATTATTATAAATTTTTTTTTTCACTCAATTTATTTCAGCTTAAGCTGAAATAATCAATTAATGTAATATTTACCGGCCGAGTTATGAATATTTTTGATCACTGTCTTCCAATAGTAAAAATAAATGCGTGTGCGAAATTCTATTTTCAAATACGTCAAAGAAATATTGAGTTACTGATGTTTTTGTGATATGGCATGCAAATTGAAATACTCGGACAGCTGAAGTCAGCTGCTCCTTTTTGTACGGCCAAATTTCAATTTATTTTGACTCCGGACTTTAGTTTTCCTGCAAGAAACGTGCTTTTGATCAGAAACTTGCAAGTTGTTCGTGCAGGTCGGTCTCCTAACTTAACGCATCCACTTAGCGATGTGTGTAAGTGACGTGCAGGCTATTAAAACGCAACTATGTGCGCGTCGTACACGAATCCCGCCAACTTGCCGGGTCGCCCTTATGGTTGCGGCTTTATGTTAATTGCGTTTGCCGCTCATATCGCACGGACGCGTATAATAAAGCGACTTGCATTCATTTTTCCTTTGATTACTTCGAACGCGCGCGCGCACACAAAGTGCACAAACGAATGCAAAATAACGCCGACGAGAGTTGCGCGAGCAAATAGCTTCCAGTGGGTGGCCGGCATGTCGCCGGTCCGCAAGACTGAAAACAAATTCATAATGCACTTTTTATGTCCGGCCATGGAACGCAACAAAACATCGTATGCTAAAGCATAACGAAATATGCTAACATTCAGCGCTGAATTGGACTGGACTTGACTATGGGCTCGGTTTAGAATGGCAAAGAAAAGGTAGAAAAGCGCGACGTTTTTGCACAGCAACAGGTCAAGGATAAGGTTATGTGGGTGGTTAGTTAACACACGCAATCTCGAAAGTTAAGCAGCACGAATCGAACCGCTTTTCGGCTCGGTTCAGGGCTCACTTTGCATGTATCAAACGATTAAAAATAAAAATGCGTGCATGGCCGGATGGTGGGGCTTCTCCTCTGATAGAAAAGCCTCCAACACATGGTAAGATGTCTAAACATCAAACAAATTGCCTTTGACTCACTGCCAATATTCGACGACGACGTGTTGCAGCAAAATCAGCCGCATTACATAAAATCACTCTTACCAGCACGCTGCCCAAATAAATGTCTTCGGTAATTGCTATAAATGCAACATTCAACACATATATCATCCCAAGAATTCTTATTACCACAACACCATGTATATATCTCAATTTAAGTGAATTTGAATTTGAACCAGGCGGCTGTAAATCATTTTTTAGTTGAGTTTTATCGCGATAAAAGATCATCCTCCGTGGCGGATAAAAAATAAACATCTATTTAAATAGATGATCGCGGCGTGCACAGGCCACAAGGAAACGAACCGATGCGAATGCGCGCAATCGTACGTGCGGAGCATAATGGTGGTCAGGAGTTCAGTTACAGTTATGCTTAACGCCGGTTGCACTCAAAGTTCTTCGCCGTTTGCTCAACTGTGTGTTGGCAGCGGTACAAAGAATCTGGTCGTGACTTGCCGCCGCGAAGATAAGCGGAATCGAAAAGAGCCGCGCCGAGATGCAAACGACATTAATTCGCCTCGCTACGGAGAAAAGTTTTGCGCGCGCGCTCGAGATGTAATGCAAGCGATGACTTCCTGCGGCGCGCCGGCGGCGTCGCCACATTAAAAGTTCATCATTCAAAATTTGCCACTTTGTAATTCATACGTAATTGCATTGCACGCCAACTTATAAGATTCTAATGTAATAAAAACACACCAATGACGAGATCGCGACGTGCCGCCTGTGCGAGTAGAAAAGAATTTTTGTTTCATATATACTCATCATATAAATCAAGATTTTCGAATTTAATTCTGAATGCGCACGCGCACTGAATTTAGATTCTAATCATTCTAATGGTGGTACTTTTGCACACGGTTGACGGCGTGATCGTCTTTTGAGAAGTTTGATGCTAAACTTTCGACTTTTGCCAGACTTTTAACATGCGTCCGAGATGGCGAGCAAACACAAAAAAGCACGGAAATAAAAAGTTCAAACTTTGCGATTGCGCTAACTTTAGCCAGGCCTGTCAATTAGCGTCAGCCTGTTTCACTCGGCTGAAACAAAACGCGCTTAAACATACGCAATAATTGAATTGTTAACCTCAACTTTACGCTATTCAAATACAATACATAACGAATCTACGTACATTTGAAAGGTTTCGTAGAAATCAGAGCAAATAATGTTAAACCACAGCTCTTTTTTCTGATATTAATATATATTTAAAGATTTTAGTACCTTGCACAGTTTACACATTTGCATGCCTTTTGCTATCGTAGAATCTTAAACGCTGTGTAATAATTGTGTACGTGTGTTGTGCTGTATAGGCAACATTTTATACGCTTCGCTTTACAGTTGCACATTATGCAGTTATTAGGCGCATGCTGACCGGACTATCAGACGATCGTAATAAATTCGCATTACGTGCGACTGCATTATTCAGCTTTCTTTCCGGCCGTACTATCGTACGCACGCGGAGTTTGCGCATTGCGTAATTGGAGAATGTGCGACCTTATTCGTCGATCTAAGAGTTTATGGGCGTGTATTGTTCGCTTAACCTTCGATTAACGGCTATTATAATTGAAGTACACGTTTATAGATTAAATATCGTTAAAAATTAAATTTCATATTTTTTGAGGTTAGATTGGTGGGCCTTGACTAATGAATTTTGTAAACATTAAACGCTTCGTTTGGCTTGACTTAACAGTGAAAGGTAGACATATAATTAATAATTTTGTATGCGTTGAGTGATCTAGTTGTATCCGGCTTGTTATAAATTTCGCCGAAAAGAGCCATATTTCTCTGGTGTGTCTACGCGTCATAAAGGTTGCCTACGGCGTTGTGGTGTGTTGCTAACCTCACATTCCGACTTCTTTTCTTTGCCTGCTCGTCTAACTACTTTCTTTCGCTTAATAAGTCGAGCAGTCAATTTACACGCTATCTTTGATCTGGCTGGAATTCCACGCGGCGTTGATAGAACGCAAACAGTTAACGATACATCAAACGAAATCTAAACGAAGCTGTCCACCATTACTTGTGAGTTTTGTTCCTTTTTCTCAAAGCAAAGGTTTTGTCCGCACGCAACAATTGCCGATCGGTGAAAGGTGTTGACTGTTGAGTTATTCGCGTCTCGGATGCTGCACGCGTGCGCGCCTGCATTGCTTTAGCATGCAATTGCATTTTCCACGCGTTCGGATGCTTTATGCGTATGTGCTGCGCCGCCGTGCGTTGTTTACGGCACCAGGAAGCAACGAACCGGGCGCGCGCGCCGTGTTAATTACGCGCTGTGTACGCGAACCTCGCAATATTCTCTCGCGAGAGTACGCGCTGAGCTGCGTTGTTGCGTAAGCCGTTGTGCAGAGCGCGCCCGTCGTGTCGAGAGTTGTGTGTCACGGTCAGGGCCAATTTCGCGCTTTTGTAACCTCTGTAAAGTTCCTCGACGGCGCGGCGCTTGTTTTTATTTTTGGATTGCGGTTTGTCTGCGCTTTTTTTTTCTCTCACACATGCGTACACGATTCTTTGTGAGCGTATAAAGTAAGTCGAGCATTGAAATCTCTCACAATCAGGACATTATTGAACGTGTTTTGTGCATCACTTGAACTCGTTATTTATATTTTAATTTTCTTATCATCGAGTTTAAACATGAATACTTTTTGTGGCATTTACTGGTATATACCTATATATGAAAGCATTTTGTTTGTGATTACTCTCTCCTAAAAGTGATTTAAGTTTACGTCAGATAATTGGATTGTTTTGCTGGCCTTAAACCACATTTGAATTGTTTTCTTTCTACCTAGCGGGCTGCCGGCATTCTCAGCAAGGCTAATATTTCAATATTTCAGTTGAACGCACGCTTTCTGTGCGCATAGCTAGCGCGCTGTCTGCCTGTGTCCGACGAACACAATGAGCAATCGATGGAATTTCAATTACGCGCAAATGCATGCCGTGCGCTGGCCGCGCGTACAATAATATGATTAATAACTGATGAATTTCGCAGGAGATGTCTGCCCGCCAGACATAATAACATTTGTAATATCGGCATGGCGTCCCACACCGGCACTTCTCCAATTTCCCATTTGTAGATGAATATTACTCCACTTCGGGCGAACATTCGTTATTGATATTGTTCATTAATAATGCAATGCTGCATGTATTATTGATCTTGGTTACAATTTAACGTACCTATAATAATTGCGGTAGCAATTAGTATCATGTCGGTAAAGGTGGAGGGCTGTTTGATCTTGCGTACAGTGAAGGCTAATGAAGTTTTATATTAACTTGTTTTTGCAAATAAATTTGCAATACTAACGTATTATTTTTTTCTAATTTTAGCAATTGTTTCGCTCGCAACAAACGCAAGCGACGACACCGAGCGCCGCCACGCAGCTGCAGCTTCTTCAACAACAACAGCATCAATACTTGGCGCAGCAGCAGCAGGCGGCCGCTTTCCCGCAGGCAGCTGGCCCATACTTGGTAAACGCCCAGCAAGATCCACAGTATCTCATCCCGGCGCCGCCATATTATGGTGTTGCCCCGTGGGGCGTGTATCCGGCAAACCTCATCCAGCAGGGTGCAAGCAACGGCGCACGGAGACCACTTACGCCAAACGGCACCGCCGAGGCTCAGCAACAAGTACAGGTATGCAAAGACTGCGTAATGTGAAATTTCAACAAGGTGGTTACATGTGTCACTTAATTATTTTCAGCCACAAGTACCTAGTGGTTACATCCTTCCCTACTATGATCAGAACGCGGCTCCCATCCTCATGGCGCAGGGCGCTGCGATGCGCAACGGCACACCGATGCGACTCGTTTCGCCAGCGCCGGTGCTCGTCCAGCCGCAAACCTCCAGACAGACACCGGCCGCCGCCTCATTGTACTCCAGCACACCACAGAACCTCTACGGTGCCAACGTGAACACCTCTGTCAACGGCACTACGCTTGGAGGTAAGTTTCTGTTTAATTAATCACAGCTGTTCCATTACGCTTGCAATCTAACACGTGCTTAATTTACAACAAATACCGCATTAATTGTTTTCACACGGCGGTTGTAGACCGACGTGTTTTGTATATAAACATTTGGTGTTTGTTTACGTGTTGTGTAATCTACTAACTTTCGGTGTCGGTTAGGTGTGGCCCAAGGTTCAGGTTTGTTCCCTACATTGCACGCGCCCCCGTCTGCCCCATTCGGCAGTTCCTCGCTTGGTACGATTGGCTCTTCGGCCGCAACCACCACGTCTTTGCATACAGGTACATTATTAACAATCACCGGACCTATTTTATACTCGCAATTTGCGATGCGGAAACGCCGTGTGTTGTGGTCTGCTTCTGAACCGGCTTGACCAGTTACAATTTGCGCTGTCCGCATTTGCATTTTGGGGTATAAAGTGTGGTTTTTCACCCCGCGTGAAACAGTTTTGTGCGATCAGCTTCGGTGGTCACACAATCTTGATTCAAATTTTCATCTTGTAAATAAAAGCGATACTAATATTAACATTAACAATCACGCTGAGAGCGTCTCGCTCTATTTGCTTCGGTATCTAACACCGCCGCGCGATGACGTTCGTTTGTAACATGCCTATGTTCTCATTAGGGCTCGGCCTGACGTCGACCACAACTGGCCGCCGCGACTCATTTGATCGCAACACGTCCGCGTTCTCGCCATCGTTGGAGTACCGCCCGAAATGGCCCGCTTCTTACGGTCTTGGCAGCAGCCCCAGTCCTCTGACGGGCTCCTTGACTCCGCCGCCCACAGCACCGCTACAGCTCGGCAACCTGGTGAATTCGCGTGTGCTTTCCGCCGCGCCTGGCGCCGAGGCCAAGTATCGCAACTCGGTAGCTTCTGGTCTCAGCTCCGCCACTACTATGTTCGGCTCCAACAGCTCGCTCTTCACTAAGATCAACTCGCTGAACACCACCGTGTCAAACGCATTGGACAAAGGCCCACAGGGCAGATCTCGCCTCCTTGAGGACTTCCGCAACAACCGCTTTCCGAATCTGCAGCTTCGCGATCTCGCGAATCACATCGTCGAGTTTTCGCAGGACCAGCACGGATCGCGCTTTATCCAGCAAAAATTGGAGCGCGCCACCACTAACGAGAAACAGATGGTTTTCAATGAGATCCTGTCGGCCGCCTACAACTTGATGACGGACGTTTTTGGTAATTACGTCATCCAGAAGTTCTTCGAGTTTGGCACTGCTGAGCAAAAGACCACATTAGCGCAAAAGGTGCGCGGACACGTATTGCCTCTAGCACTACAAATGTATGGATGTCGCGTCATCCAGAAGGCCCTGGAATCTATTCCTGCTGAACAACAACAGGAAATTGTGCGAGAATTAGATGGACACGTGCTGAAATGTGTCAAGGACCAAAATGGAAACCACGTGGTACAGAAGTGCATCGAATGTGTGGACCCGAATGCGTTGCAGTTCATCATTCAGTCATTTGCCGGGCAGGTGTACAGCTTGTCGACACATCCGTACGGATGCAGGGTGATTCAGCGCATCCTGGAGCACTGCACGCCTGAGCAAACTTCGCCCATCCTTGCCGAGCTGCACACCCACACGGATCAGCTTATCCAGGACCAGTTTGGCAACTATGTTATTCAACATGTGCTAGGTAAGAATTGTACCGAATGTAACCTACCATTAACCACGTGAAGGCGGTAGCGTCATAGAATGGGGAATAAGTCATTTTGCATTACAGAACATGGCAAACCGGAGGATAAGTCTCAACTAATTAACACCGTTCGCGGCAAGGTGCTGGTGCTGAGTCAGCACAAGTTCGCCAGCAATGTTGTTGAGAAGTGTGTAACACATGCAACCCGCAACGAGCGGGCTTTATTAATCGATGAAGTCTGTGGCTTCAATGATAGGTAAGATATGTTATTATCTCACTCTTCTACCGGGAAATTGTTTCGTCGTTTTCCTACCCTGTGCCCAGAAACGTGTTTTCTAGGAAATTGTTGTTGTAATAACGTCCATTTTGTGGCATTTCAGCGCTCTCCACGTGATGATGAAGGATCAGTACGCCAACTACGTCGTACAGAAGATGATCGATGTGAGCGAACCAACGCAGCGCAAGGTGCTAATGCACAAGATCAGGCCGCACCTGAACTCGCTCCGCAAGTACACTTACGGCAAGCACATCATTGCTAAGCTGGAGAAGTTCTTCATGAAGGCGCCCGGACCATTGGGTAACATCGGAGGTGAGCTGGGCCCAATTGGCCCGCCGACGAACGGTGTCATGTAAGCGGACGGCCTTTGCTTCCAACAGGACATCGTCGTCGAACGACAGACCGATTGCAATGCGATCGGAGAAATGCTAAGGCTAAAACACACATACACAAAGCGTAACTTTTAAGTTTTTTTTCTTTTTCCGACCAATCGCAGTATGTATAACAAACACCGGAAGAATGAGGGGCGACAAGGTTGTTGCTAGCATTCTTGACGATTCTACTGCATGGAACCAGTATTTCATTTATTTTTTATCGTTTATTGTATTTTAGCATGTTTTTTATTACCCATATAGTAACATTTAGGGCTTTAGGTTTAGTTTAGAATGATCATGTATTCGTAGAGTTAATTTCGTTCATCCCGAGCTTTCGGCTACACCCGGCACAGATATTATATGTGCATTAATCTTCGGTTTTGCAAAGCACACGTCAATCTTGAAGCGTTCCTATTGCATTCTAGACCAAATTTTGTAGAAAACAAATTTCCGCTATGCGAGGTAGCGCAAGATGCGATGTGAGTATAAACATTAATAACAAAATAAAAATTGATTTGAATTGTGCGGCGTTGCACCACGGACGGCACTTTGGAAGTGGGAAAGCTGTTCATTGGAACTTTTTCTTTTTTTCTCAATATTTCATGACTGCGTGTTCATTTAAGTAACGTGTACATATTATTTTTAAATTATTTATTGTGCAGGATCATTTCGAATCTCTTCAGTACTTTTCGAACACTCCACACCGCCGAAACTTTAACCGAAATAACATGAAATTTTACAAAATGGAAAGACTAGAAAGACTAACTAGTACACGAAGTGAAATTCAAAATCGCATGTAAATATTAGGATAAAAATCATTTCTTTTTTCACCCGGTACGTTTTCTGGTACGTTCAAAAGCGAATCATTGACGAAAACACACACAGATCATCCTGACATTAATAATTGTGATATCGAATCCTCAGGAATAGTTCTGACAACAAAACAAAACAAAATGAAACAACAAAAGAATACACAATGCGCATACATTTGAAGCGATTCAGAATGTTCGCGAAACCGACCGCATTTGTATACACAACCAACCCATACAAGACATATGCATGCGCTGAAAATTACTTTACTCGCGGCAACGATTCAAAACTTTCAATCTAAATTATGATCACGTGAAACTATCTGATTGCGTTCAATTGCATTACGTTGATTGGGTGGCGGCATTCTCTCATTGATTTGAAAATATTTGCGTTCATTGCTTTCAAATCAAACCAAATGTTATAATCAAATAGTAGGCAACTTATTGAGAAGCGATTGCGACAAATTGCGATGTTCCGATTCGTAGATTAGTTTGATTTGCATGGATGTTAATTAGAAGGTCCATCAAGAATTTACTCTATATACTCGACTATTTACCTAACTCTACTACTACTAAACTCTAAAAACACATTTATTACTATCCCTATTCGAAAACGTAAATTCAAGTAACAAGTAAATGCATTAAACACACAACACGCGCGCGATGTTTTTCTAGTGACTTTTAACGATGAAATAATACATGCTATTTACTAATGCATAACCGATGCGCGATTTACACGATCGAAGGAGTAAGAAGTATTTGAAATATCTAAAACATTGAAGCATTGAATTATCTACCAATTAGCGGATACGAAATAGCGAGTAGTGGACTTTTTGACTTATTCATTTTTGGCAGTCTTAGCGTATAATTATAAACGTATGTAACGAGTATTCAGTCAAAGTAAACAACTTAACGTAAATTCAAACTAAACTTTTTCCAAACTGCAAAATGCATACATCATTTGTTAGGTGCATGAGTACACACACATATTATTCAGCAACAAGTGAAGAACGATGAAGCGTCACAGAGTAAAATTTTATTGATCTGAAACTTGACATGATGTCAAAGACATTCCATTGAGTTTCAATTGTCTGTGAAATAAAACGGTAACAGTTGCATTAAATTTGAATTGCATTTGGAAAATTTTACCAAAGCGCCGATTTTCGACTCACAACTTGCATCGACTGGCAATTGCATTTATAAATCTTTGATGAGTATCTTTCAACACGAAGGAAATCTATAAGTATAAATGGTCTAAGTGTATATTATATTGTATACTTGTATTAGAGATTGTGTATAGACGTTTCTGAGTTTCGACTTATTCACGGTTTAGGTTGTCACCGTTCATCTATCAGAAAGAACCTGCATTCGATAAAGCACACACGCGACACATTAATAAAAACCATTTTCGCATTCACGATAACTCAATAAAACACGATAAAACAGCAGCAATTGAAACTAAAAAAAAAAGTAATAGTGCATCAATTATACCAGTGTGATTATTATAACAGTACACATTTTGAATATAGAAGGTGGAGCGTATAAACAAGCGTCGTATTTGGGCGCTTTGTTTTAGAACAGTTCGTGTTTCTTGTAATAATGCTGTATGTCAAAAACAAAACATTAAGACAAAAAACATATGTGTACATATTCTAGTGTCCCTTTATTTGTATTATATGTAAAATAGTTTTGTTCATATTGCTATTAATTGTAAAACAAATTATTCTATACACTAACAACATTTCCAAACAGCTAACATTATCGATATAAAGAGAACACTTACATTTAAAATTAAAGATTAACGCAAAACTAAGAAACACACGAGAATACAAACCATACAAGCATTGAGAAGAAGTAAACGCGAACATGAAATCTCGTTGGCACTATTGTTGAGACAAGTGCGAATCAAATGCGAATGCGAGGGATAAATTTTAAACAAAATATTGAATAATAGCCAATATTGCGTCGCCGCGGTCGTCGTCCGCAAGTCGAAGCGCGCCCATCATCGTGATATGTATATATGTTATAACCGATATTAAATTAAATTGTATTTATATAAAAAGAAATGTTTCATAGTTGTATAATCATGTAAAATATAACCATTTTGTACTTAGACGAAGGTAAACAAAAAGCAAAGGGAAAATTGTTTATATAATATAAAAGAAATCATTCGCTAGACGCGACGAGCACGGTCACGTTTCGCCACGGAAGCCAGCCGGAAGTAAACAACGCGAAAAACACGAACGAATTCCGAACACGATGCCGCACGGTATATAGTTTAAATATAATTGTAATTACACTCACGATCGAACCATGTATATTATGTATTAAAGACACTCACACACACACGAACACGCGGAGGCGCAGAATCACAGGGTTGTTGTAATAAATCATCAATTGTAAATAACTTTGTGCCCCGGTGCTGGCGCGCCGGCAGATTATATTTATTAGAGGCATCTATTCGAACGGACGCGTTTCTATTTTTTAAATTTTACAAAGATCGCAGAAATAGTACGCCCCTCCCCCTGTATATTAATTGATTGTAAAGAGATCGAACTATCGAGATGAAAATTTATATTAATGTTTCTATATTGTATGTAAAGTATATATTTTAAATAATTTAATATCGCGATACGACAACGCCGCAGCAGCCGAAACATGAAAATGAAACAAACGCAAGAGAAATTATATTGTCGATATATTGTACATTTTGTAATTTTTGTGAATATTTGATTGATGATAAGTTTTGCGTACTAACGAGCCGGGGTGAAGAGGTTTGCGGGACACACACGCGAGCTGGCGCGCACCGTGCTTCCGGTTTCCGTGCGAAATGGCGTCCGTTGCTCTTGGCGCGCATTTTCCGGGCGATCGACGACGACTTGCGGACTTACCGAACGAATTAAACGCGAACGCACCACATAGGAGAATCATAACAGAAACGATTTGGTGGGACGTAAATGAATGAAGGGATGTAATAAACGAATTGTAATAATTGTAATTGAATAATGATAATGTAAACGCTAAGTAAAGGATAAGAGGCGCGGAATGGAGGATTCGAAGGAGGCTTGAAGGCAAGGAGACTTTCTCGGAAATTCGTGGCTTGAGACTGATGTAAAGTTAACTAAAAAAAATAACACATGAAGCTGTAAAGTGTAAATTCTTCATTTATTCCGTTTTTACGATTGACAAAACGCTATCAAACAAACAAAACAAAATTGTACACAGGCGAAACATACAGACATGAAAATGGAAGACATACAAACGTGAAACACAACCAACAACAATATATTGTATAATTGTGTAAAATATCCTTGTAAAATTTTAATAAGCCGTTTGGAAATACTAATATTATAAACGATATGATAATGTAATGTAATTTATAACTATGATTAATTAACTTAGTATCGATAAAGAAGATTGTAGACTAATGAATAATATTAATATTGTATGTATTTTGAGCGATCTGGCTGTAACAATTCATAAACAATAGCACGACACGAGATAAACTAAATACTTACTGACATTACAATTCTAGTGAGATAGACACAGGAGAAATGCAAGACGGAACAATTACAAGACGCTCTAAGCAGGGGTTGCAACTGTCATGAAGCGGGCTTTCGCTGATGAAAACAAAAGCACGCAAATGGCACGCACACCGACTGCTTGTAGACTTGTCAATTTGTTTCCCGTTGATTTGTTGCATTAGTACTAGCTGGACGGGGATCACACGCAAACTTAAAAAAAAATGATTCAAACAAAACGGCTCTCTCTTGTCCACTCGCAAAACTAGTTTTCATTTGATTTCTTTCGAGCAAACAAACATGGTGGCTTTCATGAATGACATAATTGATTTCATTTTTTACGAGTATTTAGTATTTATAGAATTACAACTAATTACGTTTATGTATTCTATGTATAATATTATTAAATAATTACTTGCGATCGAGAAGGCAGGCAGAAGCTATGGTCTAGCGCGCTGCGATCGGCATAATGACTGGCTTCTCGTTGTATAAATTCGTTTTAATCGATGTATATCTAAATGATTGTGATTATTTTTGCGATGAGTACACATCCCGCTCTATATTTTATGATGACTTTTAATTTTTGCGTTTAGGGAGCGACTATTGAATATATTATGATTATTTTACACAATATTGTATTTGTACATTGTTCACACACACACACACACACTACACATGAAAAACTTGATCGAGACATGAAGCGGAAGGACGACACACGATTTACTTTTTAGTTGTATGTAATATTTTGTTCTCCTTATTTTTACGGCGTTTCCGCGCTCGCGCGAGATACATTTTGCTAATTTTTTTTGAATGAATAAATAAAAGCTGTACTCGTACATAAAATAAATTGATTGGTTTTTTCATGAGCTCCGCCATCTTGTCCACACACAAAACACACAACTAATCCACATTCACGGCTGTACATTCAAATGAATTCAACTAAATTAATCGAAAAATAAATTATATACATATATAAATACAATTGAGACAAAACAAACGCTAATCTTTGAATATAAACAAGTGTATAATTTATTTCTGTATAATGGATATAAGCAAGCAAAGTAAATGCGACGACTTGGTCGCGTAATTTTAATGTATAACTTCTGTAATAATATGTATAACATTTCTGTAATATTTTAAATTCTGGAATGCATGTTAGGTTTACAATATAAACAAATTATTAAATTAATAAAAATGGACAAACCGATATTTGAAAACATGTGCACACCTCTCTCACACACATTCACGGAATGGAATTTTGAAACACTTCCGAGTCGTTTTTTGGAGCATCTTCTTGAGATATCTACACGACACAATTACTATTTACTACTTAACTATAAATATTATATACCTAGTGCGTAATTATTGCAAACATCCCGATGATTGTATGATAATGTAATTCTCGACTTTTATTATTTTTTACCACCGTAGAAAGATGTGAAATAAAATTGAAGAGCAAATAAATTCCCATGGATGACATATATTATTTAATTCAGGTACAGACACATATATAACTTCAACGGCAAGCTAACATTTTAATTAATGAAGGTAAGTTTATAAATTATTAGTTAAAAAACGTTAAATTGTTTTTGTTTTTTGAGAAAAATATGTGTAGTATTATTATGTACTTGTGTACAATTACTTTTTTAACTCGCTCAGAGTTTACTAAATCCGACATTTTTTTAAATTTTTACCTGAATTTAAATTACATTTTTCTTTTTTTTTTACATGCCTAGAGGGCATCGTCCGATTCTTTTTCTTAAAAACAAAATAATATAAAATGTAAATCATGAATTACGTATTTGAAAACGAAGATAATCTTAAGTTAGCAAAAACAGTAGAATAAATTTGATATTAGTTTTTTTTTATCTGTGCAAATATCTGTTGATAATCTAGAATTTTTCCTGACAACTTATTGCGCGTTATACGTGCGCGTAGATGACATTGTTAGTCGAATTTGTCTGTATCGTCAGCGTCAGGGCCTTACCACCACACACCATACCAACTTCTCCACCAACATTAGAGGCCGCTGCTACTGCATACAATCGTCGCAGTTTTTAAAATTCTCAACGAATACATTAGAAAGTACCTAATCTATAAACGATATTGCCACCATCATAAATTCGGTCATTTTGCACATAGCAAGTTTATCATTTCGGCTGGGTTTTACGGTTTTACAATCGCTAACCGGCCGGCGACAACTACACGCAGCCAGAGGCGCGCGCTTCGACGCGCAGATCGTGCGTGCTTGCAAGTGTGCATCGGCCGGCGCGGCGTGAGCTAGTAAACAAACCGGCGCGGTGCGGTGTGCTGGAATGGTAGCGAGTGTTTCCAGAGTGATCCAGTCGTTCACCGATCTTAAACTGTACGTTTTGTCTTAAAACTATTGTAAATCAGGCGTAATTACAATTGGAAATTGACCGTGGAACAATAACGCCAAACAAAAACAGCTCGAGTCAAGTTACGAAACACTTAAAGCATTAAATAAACTGTTGCCGAGTACAAGTGCAAATCAACAAGAAAGACAACGAGGGGAAAACAATTGATTCCACACGCATATCCTAGGTAAGTCAAGTCCACATTTACGAACACATTATTCCGGCATCGTGGGCTGATTTGTCGACAGTCGACGAACGAGTGCATCGTCGCGTGTAAAGTGCACGAAACGCAATCGCTTCCGGTTCCGTTTTGTTCCTGTCTAGCGCGCTACATTTGTCAACAAATAAACCATCCACGATGTCACAATCAGCGTAACAATCACAAATGCTTGTAACTATACAAACAACTCGTAAATCTAGTAAAATATTAAGTAAAACAACAAGTAGCACTAAAATAACCTTAAATATCATTGCCAACGAATTGTAGTTACAATGAACATCGTGGAATTACATTTTTTTTTTCATTCATAAACCTAACTAACGTATTGGTAAATGAAATGTGATGAGTCGATAGCGAAGTTACGTTAACGTCGCAATAAATATCGTATCGCTAAAAATTTAGCATGATTGCTTAATGAGCACTTGAAACTTTACTGCTGTGTTTGCATTCCTGAATTGGTTCAGGTTTGAACTCCGCAGAATTCTTTGTTCCGTCATGTATTTTTTGTGTGTTTTGTTTTGCTTTGTCAACACTCTGTGTGTGAGTGCACCACATGCATCACCAACCTAACCTTGGCGACATTTTGGATATCCTCCAACTTTGGGGCTTTTATAGTAACATTCGTTTATAAAAGCAAAATGTAATGTGTCGGCGTCATGGCGTCATCGTCGTGCTCGTCATAGCCATTACGGTACTAAATAAATAATTTTTATATCTCGAGATTATCACGGTATTTAAAACTTGGAATGAAACGAAATTTGATGAATTAAATAATGCATGCTGAGATTTTCTATTTGTCGGCCTATGACGTCGTTTATGATTAAACGCGCAAGAAATCGTTGAAATGTGTATGCGCCGTGCGGGCAATCGGTCGCGGTGATAAGTTTTGCACTCTTGTACTCATTTTTTTCACATTTACATAAATTCACCGATAACGCCGCCGACTGGCGGTTTGTGCACATTACGTTTAATCAATCGAGCGCCAACGCTGCCGATTCGATGAAACCGCAATCTAATGTGAACGATCGTTTACAATTGCTGCCGCATGAAGCTTTTGTTTACCGGAGGTGAATAATTCGCCATTTTACAACTCACAATTCGCATTATACCTACATGTATTACTACTCAGCATTCCACTATTTTCGAATACAAACACTTATTCCATATTAGAGGTCAACCGACAATTTAAATTAACCTTAAAGAGGTGTTGAAAAGGTTGATGAATCATTAAAATGCCAATGTTAAAAAAAGAAAAGAAAAAACATTGAAGCCTAATTTCGATTTCATTCATAGTGGATTGAATAGGATAGATAGTTGGACCGGGGTTATAATCGGGAAGTCACACTAGCATCGCAGTCTCCGTGAGGTCGAAATTCTGAAAGCAACAGGCAAGTATGTCGCTGCCTGGTTGTGTTAGCCGCCCGATTGCCTGTGCCTGAAGAAAAAGGAACACATGCAACGCACCCATGAGTCTCGTCTCGGGGTACGCCGCGCTAACAATGCTCCCCAACGCGGGCCACACATATAAATTACAATTCGTTACTATACGTAACACCACTACGCTACACAAGCAGCCATACACTCAGCAACAATAAGCAACAGATTTTACACACACACACATTGACGCAAAATAAACGCATACATATGTGCGGTGTTGTGGAAGAAGGCGGCTCGCAGCGTTTCGGCTTTCGTTCTTTGCTTTCGCGCTCAGTTTCACGTTCGCTTTCGTCCTTTGGATGGGTTCGGCATTCCGACTACCATGCTCTTGAACAACCCAGCCACATTTCATCAGTTTCTCTGTTTTGTTTAGGCGTCATCGCGCAGCCCTTTAAAGTTTTCTGTTGGACATGTGTTTGCATTTCAATATCGTAGGTTATTCTTTGCAAATGGAGCCAAAATCACGTTCGTATTTACAGTTTCATTCATCTAAAAATGTGCTTTTTGGTTTTTTTACGACTTTCAAACGGTGTGCGATTAGAGCTTTTCTTGAACTCCTGTTTCTTCTTCGGCTCGCAGTGCTCTGGCGCTGGAGCTGGCGGCACGTTGACCAAGGGCATGAAATGTGCGCATACTTCGCCGTCTGTGAACGGCACTCGCCTCTCATTCGCCTTCCCATTTTAATAGAAGAGTCTCCAGTTCTGTCTGTAAAAACATGAAACCTCACATCGGTAACATCGGCTCTTAGCTGGTTATTTCATCTTCGATTTTGGACAACTTCTTTACACATCCATTCCGAGTGACAATCCATTAGAACACAAGACAATTCATTAGAATCTAAAGTCGAGATATACATCGGGTGTGCTTGTGTTGGGTTTGTGTTTGTGCTTACTAGTCTAAGAATACCAAAAAAAAAAAAGCTGAAAAAGAAGTGCGATCACACGCATCGCGCAGCGCATTCATAGCATTTCACAAATGCGACAACTTTACTCGATGCTATCCACAGTTTTTCTCGCATATCCACATTCGTAACGCAGCGACTCTCAACAAGTTCCACCACGCCAAGAAACAAAAGCTTCGCTTGCGAAGAGAACACAGTTGGTTTGTTCTGGTTTCGGGTGATGCGCGGTGTCGGGCATATTGAATAACATAACCAAACATGTAAGTCGTCCATGCGGCGCGCGTTTACGTTCTATTATAAACTCGTAACTCGTCCTTGCCGAAGTCAGTGAAGTCGCCTCGTCGATGCTCGAGGCTACCGACGCTTTTTCCTCAACGTCCACAACTTGTATTCGCGTTTACGTGCGTGTTCGTTGCTGTCTGCGTTTACACGAACGCAAGTTGTGTTTATGGCGTTTGCAGCCCGTTAGCAAATTCGTATGAAAATAGTATACACGCGCAAGTGGCCGATATAAACTATAATTATCATCGCCAGCAACAAAAATCAATTATATCTATCTATTTATATTATAAAAAAAAAACTATTTGTGCTATTAGTTAAAACATAATTTGAGCATTTGCGTGTACAGTGAGGCCAGGGCACAGTTTGATTACACCGCGACGCAGTTACCTATTTATCAGTTTATTTATATGTACGTTGTGCAAATAGTTGTAGGATGAACGCGCGGTCGCGTGGAGTCGCGCGGTGTGCGAGTTCAGCTCGGGAGTTCGTGGAAAATTATTTATTTATCCGGTCATTTCGTTGAATATGCAGAATCTTCACTGTGAGCACGAAGAACAAGAGGGACAACACCGGAAATCGTTAAAATGTCAAACGATCTTTATGCATTTCATATTTTTGCGAGACTTTAAAGAAAAGCAAATGAATGCAGTCGGACTCAATTTTTATTGAGACTATTCTCTTGGGAATTAAGTTTAAATTGCTTTAAATGTTTACATTCCGCATTGAGGCCGACGTGTTATCGTCTTTTATTATCGGCGGCATCGGTAATCTGGAATTTTACCCAGAAGCAATAGCTTTTTATGTGCACACAGCCATTTTAACAAAATCAACTGAACAGTGTCCAAGTTTTCATAAGGCAAAATTCCTGCTTTACCTGTAGTTGTACCTGAAATATATAACGTTTTTTTTTAAATAAGTAGTGTGTTGTAATGTTCAGGAAGTATAGGATGGATATTTCCACCCCCGGTAACATTAATGCATATTTTAAGACTGTTAACGTCTTCACCCATCTGGTTCTTGTAATATCGGTCGGTTTAATGTAAATCTTCACTAGTTGAATTAATTAAAACACCTCATCCGGGCCCAACTATAATCTAATATATCTCATCCTAGGCTATTATCCAATAAGATAGCAAAAAACTTTGACTATGATTCTGCATCTTGGACCATATTAAAGGAGCTTGTATGAAAAAAAAAAGGATGCATCTTGCAGTTTATACATGCGTATGCGTAGTGTGTGCATAAATAAGATCCAGGTGGTTGCATTTTAATCGATCACAATGCACGCTGTCCTGGTAACGGCTCGTGCTGCACTCACCCTCGTGCGTTTCCTTTATTTGCCCGCTTTCTTGCGTCGAGGGGCGACGACGCCGTGCAAGATGTACAAACGCGCACGAGTGCGCCTTGCACACAACAAAGTCGCGGTGACCGTTTATTCCAGGTCAAAGGGGGATCCCAGCGCAACGGTTTTTTTCAACAATCCAGCTATTTCGTAATTTATTGCCATCGGCAAAACTGCGTGATCGCAAATTTTCCAGAAGCCATAGAACCTTCAATAAACTAATAAAGCGCATCTTTGGTTAGTTTTTACCGAATAGTTCCACGTCAGTGGCGTCAGATTGTACCTCAATTTTTTCTTAAACTTCACAAAAGTTTTTTTTGTGATAGTGGTTATTGTACTAGTAAAAACAAATTTGTCTGAGACCACAGTAGTGTTATACATTCGCCATGATTAAGCAAAAATTATATTTCTTACAATAATTTCAAATTCATCCATAAGTCAGGAATGCTCTAGCGGCAGGTTGATGCCTAGCCTAGAGTAGTGCGCGCGTCTCGCAACTCAATCCACGCTCGAATTCCCCCGCTCTGTGGCTACGTATGGTACGTTTGTTTACATATTGTTTTTCCTTTTCTGCTGCATAGTCTTAAGGAGGCCGCGTGCACGGTCCTCTCGCTCCTTGCGATGGCGGTTGCGTCGGTTGGGTTAGTGCGTTGCGCTTACGCATAATAGAACGTGTACGGTTCGTTTCGCGGCTGGCGCATGGATGCATTTGTATGTGTGCGCGTGTGTGACTGCTGCATTGACGGCGCGCGATGCGAATTAGTTGAAGATTTAAACGGTGAAACACGGGATTGTGAATCAAAGGTGAGGTAAACTTCCGTGCGAAGGTATCTGCTGAATCGGTTTGAATCATAGTTGAGGGTACTAAATTTCTTTTGTATAGTGTGATCTAATTTATGTAGCGAGTATCGTCCTGTATTGTGTGCGTGTGGTACTCACGCACACAGCTGCAGGGTCAGGCTCTAGCTCAGGTATCCGGCGCGATCAGATGTGTTGCGGTCCGGGCGCACGCGCACTGCACTGCGCGCCAACTGCCTCGCTTCGGCTGGCAGATGTTTTGTAATATCACCAACAGCACAGGGCCACAGAGGCTAGCGATCGCGCGAGCACCACGCTACTCGCCGCCCAGTACAGGTTTGCGACTTGCGTTTTCACCGCCAAGTTCAAGCACGTTGTGCGCGTAAACCCCTTGTCGTATCATCGCGATTTTAATGTCGTCGTGTGGAGCGTTTCGTGCGGTACGCGTCCGTCCTGAAAACGCGAAAATCGTGCCGGCGTAGTGTCGCGAACGCCGCGCGCCGTTCGCCCAGCCGGACTACGGCCAGGCGACCATTTTTATTCTGCCGACGTGCGGCGCGCCGAAACCGTACGCCCGGGCCATTTAAATCGCACACATGTTCGCCGCCTAGAGCCCGCCCCAACGGCAACTCGCACGGAGCCCAGCAAGGGATCGGTAAGAAACGCGTCTCCATTGTTTTACCTGACGCTGCAAGCGCGCCCGTCCCAGAGCAGCGGCGTTGTGCTCGCACTCGTCCGAGCCTAATATTTTAGTTTGTTATGATGGCGGTCCCGAACTTTTCCACAAGCTTCGCGAATAACCGGGGGTGCGAATATCTCATCTCCCAGTCAGTGCATTCGCCGGTCAATTATAAGCCATATGCATTTCATCTTCGTCGTGGCATCGTACGCCGCCAGGTTAGAAATAGAGGCGCTCCCTGCTCGGTGCGCAGAAAAAACGGGCCATTTTCTTAAAACAAATGCTGCGATGGAACCCAAACAAGTTAAGATAAATCCGATAGTTTGCGCAGTGTTTCAATGCACCACAGAAGTAGCTAATAGCATAATGACAATTCAGAATCTCACTGTAAAATGAGACCGAGACCTGGGGCTTCGGCGTAATTGTTATCAAAATGAAATTGTTTAGTAATATAGTTACAAACAAACATAACGTGTTTAGATGAAAAGAGAACTTCTTTTGTCTAATACCTATCGTTTTAATTTTTAGACGTACAAACATGGATTGACCAACTGAATTTACATCCTCCATAAACCAACAAGATACAAGAGTACAAATCATGAAACGTGCCACAGTTAAGAGGGCCGTCATGGAGAGTCCAGGCCACTACAGCACGATGCCTTCCACGTCGACGCCGGACATGAGTTCTATCAAGACGGAATTTACGCCAAGCCCACATCTTCGCGATCATCAATACGGGGCGACACCGCAGAACCAGATTTATCCAGCGTTCAATCAGCAACCGCCCGCGGTAAAGCGCAAGCTTAACATGGACACTAGGCAGATCCATGTAATCCCAACAATAAAACAGGAGTTCAAAGCACCGCCCCCGAAGCGTGCTAAGCCGGCTCCCACGATACATGTGACCACACATTCCATGGTCAAAAAGAACAGTCGAGCCGACACGTCGCTGAGTTTGCTCACCGAGCGCTTCCGCGTCCTGTTGCAGGATTCTCCCAACGGCGTTGTTGACTTAAACCATGCGTCGAAAGAGTTGGGCGTGCAAAAGCGGCGCCTGTACGACATCACTAACGTGCTCGAGGGTATCAACGTATTGGAAAAGAAGTCCAAGAACCAGGTCATGTTGAAGGATAGCAATACCGGTGCGCACCTCGAGGAGGAATTGCGACAACTGTCGAAAGTTGATAATCACTTCGCAAAACTCATCGACGTTGCCGAAAAGACGCTGTTTCAGTACAATCGCGAGACGCATGGGTATGTGACATACCAAGATCTGAGGTCGATCGAGAAATTTAAGCATAAGACAGTGATGGCCATCAAAGCACCGGCAAATACGAAGCTTGGCGTGCCGGAGGGTGAGATGCAAATGCAGATGTGCAGCCAGGAAGGCGAGATTGAGGTGTTCCTGTGTCCTGTGAGCACAGAGAAACCCCGCGTGTTGCCGGCCATTGACCCACTGCTAAGAGATTTGCAGGTGGATCCCACTATCGAACTACAAAACCTTTGGGCGACACCTCCTATTCCACCCTTGGACATGCCTTATGTGGATTGCAAACCTATATCATCGCAAGTTAGTATAATAATTCTAATTCTTAGAAGGTTACGTGTGTGTGGGGCTAATATGTTTGCTGTTTCAGACTTGTCGGCAAATTTCATTTGCAAATGGCATAAAGGATCCAGTGATGCAGAGTGTCGGGGTCTCGAAGAACTACCCACAAGGCGCGAAGTACGACAAGGAGACGAGAATATCAGACAATTTACAGTACGACTTGTTGGACTACGCGAACGTGGTGGGCAACGCTCTGAAGACGGATGACACCGGTTTTCCTATCAACGCGAAATACCGTAAGTGTCGCATCGATTCTCGTACCTAATAGTTCAACTAACAAAGGCAACTGCTTTATTAACATTTAAAATTGTATATATCGTAACAATTATAATTAACAATGTGGTGCGCGTGAGGCTGTAATGGCAGCGTAGGGGAGTTCTGACTGTGACATGTGTGTTTAGAGTCACATCACAGGCAGAGTTCTAGCTACGAGGTCATTCAATCCAGCTTTCATTAATAATAATTGTAATCGACATACGGTGCGCGTGGTGTTACATCTAAGAGGCGCTTGTAACCTATTGGTTTTTGCACAGCACATCACGCTAGTGTTGTTGCGTTCTTTTGTTTCATTTTTTCAGCTAAATTCTGGGGTTTGTGCTGTCGCTTACTTGGTGGTGTTATAAGCTGGGTTCTGTGTGTGTTATCGTGGTTTTCTTGCATTCGTAGCACCATGGGATTCAGCTCATCACGCTGCTAACTTAACATCTAACATTGCTTCATTCTATGTGCTTTTTATTGTTAACGTTGTATAACTTCTGGTTAAATTGCTTAGCGGGCATTTTTGAGTTTTATTTTGTTGTAGCTATTGCATTATATATGCGGTTGAATTAATTTTTCTTCTTCTATTTGTAGCTAACGAGGATCCGATGTTCTGCGACCCCTTCATCAATTTGGAGCCACCGGCACATTCTCACTACATGCCGGTGTTGGACTTGGATGAGAGCGCAACGGATATGTTCCTTCCGTTCGAAGACTTGGATAAAATAGATTAATTTTTGTATTTAATTTAAACTTAACTTGCTGCGACAAAGCACATGACGCGTATACAAACCGAACGGGGGCGGACTCGTTGTGGAGTGCGCGACGATTGAAACCAATTCCGTGTAAGTATTTAGCCGGCCCATCCAACCTGAAAACATAAGCTCAAAGCTCGCTGAGCTGATTCAGCGGATTCAAAAGGATGCAAATTAAATTTTCCAAGGCGTCGTTACGAGATACGCGACACGCGTAAATAAAAGGACCAAAGTGCCTGGTTTGTTTTAATTTCTTCATTTCAAAGAACCGAACTGACGCGAACACGTGGCGCACTAAAAGGAGAAAAACGGATCGAGTATATGTTTGATATGTAAAGAAAATGAATGCTCGAAGACTATTGATTTAAGTGTTGATTATTTCTCGTTTTAAGTACAAACACACGTTGCGAGAACGCACTTGCTGCTATAGTAGGAGGTATTTTTTCGTCGCCTTTTTTGTTTCACTTACGACATTTTATTGTTACTTATTTGGGCGAATGATTGTGGAGGCGAGTACAGAAGACACGAGTGCCATGTTACAACGCAACAAGTAATTCCAAGCAGCAAGTAAAAATTACAATTGGGAGTCGTGCTGAACTTCCCGTGCATACATTGTACATATTATCTCTCAATTTCTGGCGAATCACTTCGCTGGAACGCAAATCGTATTTTTTATTCGAACGCAAAGTGTACAGACATTTTCTTTTTCACTCATTCGGAGACCGCGCGCACTAGCAGCGCAGGTCGCTATTTTGTATCGTACATTATTATCAATATTGTTGTGTGTATTACAAGTTTATATTAATTTGATGATAGGATGTATAGTGTGGAGAGCAAAGATCACCCCGAATTAAGATCGATATGAGAAAGTAAATAATTTATTTCAAGCAAGATTGGAAAATCAAAGGACACAATGATGCAATATTTCCGTACTAGTCCTTTTTTACTTACAAAAGAGAAAATAAAAGTAATAGCAAATGTGCGCAATCAACTCCGGGTTGATGCAGCTCTAAGAGAATTGCATACTTTGTTACACACGTCCTGCCTGCATTTCGAAGACTGTCCATGAATAATAAAATGAGAGAACTTAAAAGTGTATTTTGTCACAAATATTTCAAGTATTAATGAAACGAACGAAAACAGTAGTAGTAAATTATTGAATTGATTGTAAACGAAAGGCGGTGTCTTGTTGACATGTGTTCTTATTGGCGTTTTGAGAAAGATGATAAAATTGTTGGTTTGCAAGGACAAGGACGTTCCGAAGCTCAGTACAGAAGGAGCAAAGACAGCGTTTACTACTTGGGTGTTTTGTAAAATTAGTACAATCCTACATTATAATTGTTAAACTCCTCCCCTCAATTTTGTATATGTAAATATTATTATGCTAAGTTCGTTTCTACGACGAATTCGTTCGCATGTTTTCAACGATGTCAGTTGTCTTTTCCCGAACGGTTTTTTTAAAAACAATTTAAATTTGAAGACAAAAATGAAATGAAAAGCCACAAGAGGCCTTATATTTAACATGAAGACAAACAAAATATAACTTTTCATTGTGGAGAAACCCTAAATTACAAGCGCATCACCGTTTTTATTACCAATATGTAAATAAATACATAAATAATAACGAAACAAGAAAACTAATGTGAATTAAAAACATATTCAATAAAAAAAGAAATTGCATTAGTTTGGCTTATGTATTTAGCGTACTAGAAGTTAGTACGTTAGTAAGTTAGTAGTAGTTAGTTCCTCCTCTGTTCTGAATTATTAAGTCTTAGAAGGCGCCGCAAAGCTTCGCACGTCCAAGGTGTTATATAAAAAACACTATTTCTAGGGACTTTTGTTTTTGGCGGGAAATGAAAACCGGTTTTGTATACGCCACGAAAGCTCAGGCCATAGGCAATCGATAAAACCGCTAGATTTGACATCTATAGGGAGAACAAAGTCTACCAACAATTTTAAACTTCCTTTGCATAGTTTTAAAATCGGAACTTGTATATGCACAAGAAATAACAATATTGTAAATGTACAAGTTTATATACTCCACAATAGCTTCAAATTTAATGCGTAGTTAATGAAGTTTTGGAAGTGATGAATTTCAAAAACTGCTTTATTAATGTACAAATGTTTCAAGCCTCAAAACAACGTTATTCTATATCACATCCGAAATAATATTTTTAAAAATCCATAAAAAAACAAAACTAATTCTAAATGGCTTTAAACATTTAACTTGATGTAGAGTGTATTTATGTTATAAGATGTAACTGAGGTATCATGAACTATCAGACAAATGTTTAAGATCATCCAACTGCATTGCTGTATTTGTGACGGTCAAGTCTGCAACAGAACAAGTGATTTGTAAATTTTGATTAGTTTATGAGTGAGTTTGTACTTACGAGCAAATAATTCGGACTGGAATTTTCGAATCTTATCATTGTAATCAGTATCTATTTTCTTAGCGATGTTCGCAATTAATTTTAACAAATTGCGGACCACTTCCACATCTGTACTGACTTTGCACAATTCTCCAATTAATTGAACTTTTTCGTAGGTCCACTGCGCTGAACTGTGAACGCATAGGATCAAGATTGCAGTCTCAAATTGTACGTGGCCACCGCACATGAACGACTCGAGGAGGGACATTGTAAGGTCGTCAACGCAAAACTCAGTCCTGGGAAAGTTGTAATAAGTCACAAGTAAGTTCTTAAAAACCCCTATACAATTATCATGTATGTAGCCAACTATGTTTGTGTTTGTGGTAGGTTGATTCGGCTGGGTCATTGCAATATGGGCCAAAACGTGATCAAAGCCAGCATCTAAATAAACACAATATTAATTATTGTCTAAACGTAATGCACGTATGAACGGAAAAAATTACCTGTTGTAACATCTTTGTAGGGCTGCAGAACGTTAAGCCAACTTGTTACAATCGTGTAGATGATGACAAATTTATGTGATGGATTATGGTAGAGAAGGTCGGCAAGGAAAACCCGCACACGATGTTTTTTCTGTTTGAGACGACACAGGGCCGTGTAGAAACGAGAGAGGTTCTCTAAGCATTCCGGTTTAAACTTCACATTGAAAAGTAAGTGTTTCTCTATGTTACTTATCAGTAGTGTTACGTAGTCTGCGCTATTTAATTCGCGTTCAATTCGTAATAACAATCCCAAAATTACTTTTTGCCTTATTGTAAGAAGAGGCTCCATTGTGGTGGTACTCTTTGGCTTCTCGGTTTCGCCTTTGTCTGCGCTTAAGTATAGTATTATATAACTGCAAAAAGAGAACATTATCGTATTGTGTTTTAATGCTACGAAATTAATCAATCACTTACTCGATAAGTTGAAAAGCTTTCACAGTTTTCAATAGCTGAACATCCAATTTACATATACGCGCATTACCCTTAAGCCAAACAAATCTATCAAGGGCCGTTTTGATTGTTCCTACAAATAAATATTAATCAGTATAAATTATAAAAATAGGGTACAAAACAAAATTCCACTTACTATATGACACTTTCTTATGTATATTAATGTCTGCATCATTGCAGCCAAGTTTACTATGATCTTCTGATTCATTTTGGTGTTCACTTGTATCAATCGTTTCTTCATTAGTTTGGTCATTACAAGATGGTTCTCTTTTTCTTTTCAAAACACAGTTACTAACCGAGCTTGGCTGGATCTCCCCACTTGTACCATCTTGAGTGTTAGGCGATTCTGTAGTTTTTGCGCTTCTTGTTGTCATTTGATGAATGCTAATGCTACTTTGAGGACTTAGCGATGGTGATTTATGTCTTTTGTTGTTTACCATCTCAGGTTTTTCAATTGGTTCACCAATAATGTCATGTGGGCATTCGGAAGCATCGCTTTTCTCTTCAGGTTCCACGCATGCATTCTTGGAAGCTTTGGGGAGGATATTAGCCGTTTTACAACTAGAGTTAATACAGCGTTTTCTCATTCGTTGAAATTCTTGATCAATAGTAATTTTGTTCAATTTTGGTGTCGTAGGATCTTGATTTACCCATTGCAAACACACTTCTTCAACCTTTTTATCAGTCACATTAACATGTTCAATGAATGGAGAATTTTGCAGTAATTGGGATTTTCGTCTCTTCTGTTCTAAACCACAGTTGGGCACCTCGTCAACGGAGGTTTCATTGCTCAAATTGATGATTTGTGAGTCAACCCGAACAAGCGATTCTTTTAAGTTGCTACTTCCAGTTGCAATTTTATAAAATTTCTCAAGCTTTTCAGATGTCTGGGTATTATTAGAAGTGGTAGGTTCATATGCCTCGGAAATTGTCACTACATTTTCAGCAACATCCAACATGTCCAAAGAGCCAAAGTAAGGACAAATTTCCATAGGGGTTGAACAAATGTCTTCAATTTGGAAATTCTGTAAAATCGGAGATGTTATTACATTATTTGGCTTGCTAGCGGTTTTCTTTGGTTTATTATTGATACTATATTGTGCAGCATAAGTATGATCCATATCCAGCTTTAAAGCAGAAGCTGTTACCACAACTTTGTTTGAACCGATGCATTTCCGTTTATTTTCAAATGCAGTATTCCGTACTGTAGCATTCTTACACTGAGGTATGTTTACTTGTGGCATTTGTTCTTGATCTACTTTGGGTGTTCGAAAAATATTTATTTGATTACATTTTTTAATTCCTCTTTTCAACATTTGCATACGATTCACGGGCCTTTTTCTTGGTTTCTCTACCTGCCTTATTTCAGTACGAATTTCAGTAGGTATAGCATGATTATCTTGAGGCACAGACACAATATTATCTTCTAATAAATCCTCAACGTAATCATTATCATTATCAAAAGGTTGGATGAGATTAGGCACATCGACGAGCATTTCATTCAAGATTGAATTGATATCGCCCACTTTTTCGGATCTCCAGTCTTTCACAACTTCCATATCGCTTAGAACCCCAGAATCCTGACTTGAAGGAGTCATTTGACCATCCATCAACAAATCCTCAAAACATCGCGCCCGCTGCATCGCCCGACTTTCATACCCCGAACTCTCAGTGTCCGATATTGCACCCATGTTAGCCAAGCTAGATCGGCACAATTGCATCAGCTCTCTACTTCTTTCAAGCTGTTTGGGCATGCATAAAATATTAGATGATCTGCGATGCTTTTTTGAATCCACGTTTAGATATTGATTATCTATATATTTTTTCAAGCGGCGGTAAACGACTTTAGCAAGTGTAGAGCCGTTAGTGGAAGGCAAACATGTCGTAGGATTCTTGCTATAATGAAGTAGCACTCCATTACTTATTGAAAATGTTTTACGGGATTTCTTTAGAGCGGCCACAGCTTGTTTCATAGTGATTTTCTTTTCAATAAAATTGGTTTGTGCTGACGAAGTCCTTAGTTTTATGTTCATTGTTTGTGTGTTCTTGATATTACTAGGTAGATCAGTTTGTATTGATTGTGATTTGAATAACTTCTTTGTATCTGATGAACTATTTTTCTTTTCTTCAATATCTAAATTACATTGAACATCAGTGTGAATTGATCTGATATATGTTTGAGTTTCTTTTCGTGCTGTGGTCAAAGAGTCTGTTTGTACAGGACGAGTTACGTTTGATCTGGTGGTTTGTGTTTGGGCATCTCTGTGGCATACTTCCTCCTCAAATGGCCTCATCAACTCCGGCAAAACCGTCATCTCATTTAACAAACGATCAATGTCATATGCTTCTTCTTGTTTGTTAGGGGGTTTTATTATAAGGTTCTGCAAAATTTGAATAGGCTGCTTACAACCTGTTTGGGCTGCAGATTCTTCCACTAATGGTTGTTTGTTTTCTTTTCCTAGATCATATTTTTTCAATTTGATTCGTAAATATTTAATTGTTCTTTTTAACTGGTTGATGTGTAAAGCATATTTCTTCTATAAAATATAATAATTTAATGAATTACATTAATTCCATAATATAAAAGTGTAGTTACCTTAGTTGCATTTAGATGATTTTTATTCTTGGCAAATATTTTCTGGTACTTCTGAATAACCCTTTTATTATTGTTCTTAATTTTTTTTACTGAATCCTCCAATAGATGGTACTTTTGAATCTCATCCAATAATTTTGCCTGATATTCATTTGTTGTCTGTTCATGGTCCTTATTTCTTCTTTCAATCTCACTATGTAATTCATGATTTTGACTTTCTAATTTGTTATTGTCCTGCTGTGCTCTTTTACACTTAGTTTCCAAGACAGCTATTTTTCTTTGCTTTTCAGCAACCAATGTGAAAATTGAGCTATAGGCAAAAATATACAGTCCGAATAATTTAAGGTTATATCGGCAACGTTTTTCAACGTTTTTACACACCAATTACTCGAATTACAAAGAAAAAAAAAGTTAAAAGCAGATACTTACTCTATTTTTAAAATTTTGTCTTTCAATATCTGCACATCCTCTATTTGATGAATATGTTGAGAAGTATTCATTATTACAACTACACTTAACCTTTTTGTATCTCCAGGGTACCTAAAACAACTCTTCTGAGTAGTGTATATTTACAAATCAATTGTTAATTATCTCACTGTTGAAAGCATTCGAATTTTTAGTAGGTAGTGTTATTGTAAGACCGTCAGACCGAATATTGTAAACATGATGTTTCAAGCACGTTACACATTTCAAAAGATAGGCCCGCCCGCCAAACCAAGCGGCGAAGACAGCAAACCACGGCAAACATTAAGCTATAGTAACTAATCCGACCACGGAGCGCTGTTGGCAATTTGTAGAGATTTTAAAAACAACAAAACATTCAAAACCAAAACCATCATTGTGGCTAAAAACGAACGACTAGCTATTTGAAGACCTTGCCAATTAGATGACTTCATACATTATTAATAACGGCTATTTGAAAAGTCAACGCGAAATAACATTTTGTAGTTAATAACCAATTATTTATAGTAGTACCGACCCACCAAGCAAGTTTTTTTTCGCGTTGCGTTGTACGCACCTGACCGCGTGCGCGGACAGATCTAATCACCTTATCAGTAGTTTGCATAGCTAGTATGGTTCGGTCCGCCATTACCGACGTACCTATTTATATAAGACGTGCATTTAATTCGGATATATAATGATTTATATAAGATTTCTTTGATTAATAGTGATACGCGATTTAATTTTCTATTTTTTCGTTAGTGCCGTTGCCGTTTTTACTAAGTGTTGGTTTTAACCTTAAAATATAACTGTAATTCAATAATTGTCTTCAGCAACAAGCAAGTTTTTTATTTGTCCTTTAATGGCCGGTGTCATATTCTGGTGAGTTTTCTATTATATTATTCTTATAGTCATTGTATAAGTATGCGTAGATTTAATAGCAAACTAGAATTCTTTGATTTTATTTTCTATGTGGTTATCAGTCTGTGTATATAAACAACTGTGTATATGAGATAGATTGTGAGTTGGTTTAAGCCATGCGCCTTGCAATCAAGCGTGAACTGTCTACACTTACTGCCCACCTTTTCAATTTTTGCTAATTTGGTTCTAGATTGGTTTGACACACTGGGCTAGTTTATCTAGATTAGATGGAAAATGAGAAGCTTTGATGCAGCATGTCTTTACAAGAAGCATCAATAGGTACGAAGAAAGCGAGTTCTATCTAGTAGGGATTTAGGAGGATCATCGAATTTGCTTCAAAATGTTAGTAACATAATATATATTTTTTTTTGAATATTGTTCATTCTATCATAACACTGTTTTTTAGATTTAACTTCGTTGCGTGACCTGAGGCAGGAATGGCATTTGCATTAAAATTGTATTTTACTAGAATGAATCTGAAGAGGAACTGAAGAAGTACTTATTATATGTTCAACATTATTGTTGCTATAATTCAGTTTTGACAGACACTTTTGTTGAAAATGCAATCGAAAGACTAAGGCATCCATTTTCCAAGTTATTTGCCCCAAATTTTGACTTAAAATTACATCTGGCAAGATGATATCTTTCACTTTAATTGTTTAAACATTCAGCGCACGTTTCACAGCTACCGAGGGTAGCGGTAGAAGTGACTCGCGTTCAGGGCACCGTACGAGGGAAGCGGTAGAAGTGACTCGCGTTCAGGGCACCGTATAAACCCCGAAATAAAAGTAACTTGTGTTTAGGGCACCGTACAAGGGTAGCGGTAGAAGTGACTCGTGTTCAGGGCATCGTACGAGAGTAGCGGTAGAAGTGACTCGCGTTCAGGGCACCGTATAAACCTAGCGGTAAAAGTGACTCGTGTTTAGGGCACCGTACAAGGGTAGCGTTGAAAGTGAGTCGTATTCATTAAATATAAATTGTATTTGGACCTTTTAGCCCAGGAAATTAAATTATTTTATATTTTTATCTGATAGAGAATTTTCCTAGCTTTCATAATCTTCAATCCGTTTGTCGCTAGCGCTATTAATTTAAAAGATACTTGTTACGAGAAATTCTCAAAAATCACGACGCAGCGCCCCCTCCTATGTCTAAGTTCTTTGAGAGAGCCCCAAAATTCATATCAGAATTTGTTTCTTTTCTGAAGTATTGAAAATTTCATACGAAATTCTAATTTTAATTTATTAGTGCGTTTAATAATCAATTCCGTCTGTGTCATTCATAGATGGCACTACCATGAACTAAAAATCATAAAATAAATTTATACTGCTTATTTTTATGTTTATTGTAAAACGTTTGGCACACAATGCCGTTATCTGCGTTTGTTTATATACAACGTTTTATCGCATTTGCCGAGCGGAATGCAACGCACGTAGGTGCATCATAGTGTAGTTTTGATCGCAGATAATGTGTCTATTGCAAATCGTGCACAAGGTCGCGTGCCATCGACGCGCCGCCGGCTTTGCGCATCTATTACTTTTGCCTGCGGGGTTCAGGCTGCAGGTAGTCTTAACATAAACTCTCGCGACGTTGCTTGTTTGGCTACGGCAATCGCTATCGGTGAACTGCAGCCAGTATTGTGTCGGTCGTTGAATGATCTACGCAGGGGCGTAGCTACCGCCGTATTTGCCGTATCAATTATACGGGGCCCCGGGCCACGGGGCCCCAAAGTGGGTAAAGAAAACCTTTACCTCCATATAAGGGCCTCCAAAAATTTTTATACGGGGCCCCGACAAGGCACGCTACGCCGCTGGATCTACGTGTATTTCGTGCGACTTTTATCGTTTAATCGAACTTCTCCTTTCTACATTTGCATTATATTCGATCATCAATCGACTATTTAGTTGTAACTTGCATCTGCAGTGTTTGGTAGTGATTAATTGTGCGTTTAATGCCTATACGTTGCGAATAACAAGTAACGGTCGGCGTGTGTTGGTCGTCGCGTATCTTTGGATTAAATAGTGTTGAGTTTACGAGTAGATTCAATTTTTGTATGGACACTGCCAGGCGGTTTTCCTGCAATTAGAGGATCATTAGTACTTGGGTAACTAACATCTATAAGAACATTGTTACAGCCAGAACAAATTATATTGCAAGTTTTTTCTCCGATGTGTGAATATGAGCATAATATTAAATCTTATGAAATATTTCAATTTGTTTTCTTTTATTTACAGCGCTTGGCGAGTCTTGAGTGCCATGAGATCTGCATTGGTAAGTTTAAAATTCAATTATATTTTTTCTTCACGTTTGCGAATCGTAGTTTTGCATTTTTTATCGGGTTTCACATGCGCGTCCCCAAAATTTGTTCTTTACATTTTTTAAAATTTGCCGTAGAAAATGAAAATAGAAAATCTCGCGAATTCTTCACAATATTTTAGTTATTTCTTTTTTATATGATAAAGCAAGAGTCCTTTTTCAAGATGCATCCTTGAAATCTCGCGAATTTTAGTCCTAACTGTCTCAAAATGGCCGCGAAATTTGCTCTTTTCTAGCCTTTTTCAAAACTTCCGGTGGAAAACTGATCATATCTCGCGAACCGTTCGCAATATTTTAGTTTTTTCTTCTTTATATGTTAAAACAAGACTCCTTTTTTAAGATTCACTCTTGAAATCTCGAGAATTGCAGTCCCAACAATCTGAAAATGACCGCGAAAATTTGCTCTTTTCTAGTATTTTTCGAAACTTCCGGTGGAAAACTGGTCATGTCTCGCGAACCCTTTGCAATATTTTAGTTATATCTTTTTTATATGATAGCCCAAGAGTCCTTTTTCAAGGTGCATTTTTGAAAGCTCGCGAAATTTTTTTAGTATTTTTATTACATGCGGTTGAAAACCGGTTATATCTAGGAAAAATCCTATATTTTATATTTTGTAATACTCGGAGTTAATGTTAATTTTATTAACACGCGTTTTTGGTACACTCGGTGAATGTAGTTTTGTCCATATTTATTTTTCAACATCTTCGCGAACGTAAACAACTGTTATCTTGAGCGAATTTACACCGACGAGTGTTGCACTGATACATAGAAATTATTTAACATTTGCTGTATATTTCTGCCCATTTATGTCCATTATATTTGAGATAATTGTTTTATTAAAATATTAGTAGGTAGATATCATATTTAACTTATCGCCGAGCGATTTGTTTCATTTCAGCCTTATTTTATAGAGACTAAATTATCTATTTATAATGGTAAATTAAATTCCTGTTTTTCTCAATCGTATTACATCCCAAAGCCAATAAGTTCTTTTCTTATGCCGAGAAATATTGAAAGTAAAAGTAGGTATATTTCGTGTGTATCAGTTATTTCAACATTGTGAAATTTTATTTTGATTTTTTGTTCGTCTGACGCGTGTTACCGCGTTTCACCGCGTGTTCTGCGAGCGTGCTCTCTAACCGCCACGCGTTTTGAGGTTTTAATTGGTAATCGTCGTGCATTCTTTCGGTCATCAGCAAAATATTTGCAACGGGCACGTGTGGGTGTTTTGTGTGATGATTTGTGGCGGTTAGAGTCTTCTTAAGTGCGAAATAAGTATCCGTTAATCTGCGCGCGCGGTTTCTGCTGATAGAATATATTCCATGATAGAAAATCTCCTCTTCAATGCTTAGGTATGTGTGTAATTAATTTTTTCTACGAAAAGTTAAGGCAGTTTAACTTAAATTGCTTATTAAAATTGAGGGATATTAATTTTCCTTGTATTATCTTGCATATTACAAACACGTGGTTGCATTTTCATCAGAATTCCTAGTCCCGTTTCTAAAAATAACATGCATGATTGAATTATTACAAACACGGTTTTTAAAATGATGTGAGAATTATTTAAACGACAATATTCATGTGGTCGACCACGTTCACTTTACCGTCGGTCGTCGGCTCGGTTATGTTTTCGCTGAACACGTGAATGATTTTAATCGAAGTGCACTCGTTAGCATCTTTAAATTAAGAAGTTTCTAGTTGACCTAATAAAATCATGTACGGTGAATAGTTTTTCGTTTTCCTAGTTTGCGTATATCTAAAAAGGGAATAGTTATTTTTTAAGTATTTAACGACTATTTTGTTACGCGCCGTCGCTTGTCGCCTGCTGATATGGATGTTTTCCGACGGATATTCTATCAATTTATGATGATGCTTCACCCGTCGCTTATCTTATGCAGTAGATATTATCATCAAATAATACATTTAAATTCAATAGGTATATTAAAATGTGTATTATTTTTATAGCACCTTTTTGCTCAATTTCCCGATGATTTTTGGGGAGTTTATATTAAAATATTGTCTTTGTAAATTTGCCTCTTCATGTTGTGAATATTAACTCAGTGTGTAGTTGCTAATTTTTGCAACACCCTGTATATTAGTTTTCCTAACCGCACGTAGAAAATCCTCTTTATTTGTGAGTATTGAGTGTTCTCTGTTTTGAACTTGAAATTTTCTTTTTGGTATACCCTGTGTATTCATTTTCCTTTGTGTCCGTGAAAATTTGCTTCAATTAGTTGTTTTTAGGGTTTTTCTCTTTGCGCTTTGAATTTTCTTTCTAAAACATCCTGTATATTACTCTCCCCAATTGTCGAGGGAAAACGAGCGATGTTTGTAGTGTTAATAGTTTTTTATTTGTACATAAAATTTTATTTTGTAACACCCTGTATATTTGTTGACATTTTCATTTCACGTAGAAAATTGGCGGCTATTTACCAATTTCATTATGCCGGTAATACTTTATGAAGTAGTACTTGCTGGCATGTGCGCGGCTATGCAGGTCGTAAGTCCTGTTTCAATATGGCGACATGTATTCTGTTGACTTGTAAAATATAAACTTGTATTCTATTGTAAATAAATAGTAAGATATATTTACTTCTTTGATTTGTGTACCCTTCTATCATTTCAGGAACAGGTCTCTAAGAGAGTTCCCTCTCTCAGGGGATGATCCCCACTATAAAATTTGTTAAGGTATCCTGTGCGACTTGTGTGCTCCTTCTTTCATTTCAGCTACAGGTCAGAACTTGTAAGAATATTTTTAAGTGTCGCCTCTCTTGAGCCGACTTAAAACATAGAAATATTTGAACAAGACCTTATAAGGATTGTCCTTATAAGGAGTTCCCTCTCTCTGGGGCGATCCCCTACCATAAAATTGTTGATATGCCTGAGTATTTCGGGGATGAAGCGCAGAGACATCGTAGCTGTAGGATGGGCCGGGAGCAATGGACGGATCGAAGCAGTGGGCTGTCTTATAACGACATGTACCAAAAATTTAAAAATCTGATCCTTCCCTGTTCTCTTTCTTCTATTTCCTCCTCTTCTCTTCTCTAGTCTAGTCAACTTACTCTCTGTTCTCTTCCTACTATCTTCTCCTATTTATTCTCTAGCTACCCTCATTCTCCTATTTCTCTGTTCTCCATTTATTTTCATACTTCTTTTATTGCCTCCACTTGTATTTCAATTTCTCTTATATTTCGTTGCAATTCATATATGCAACCCAAATTTCACCTGATATTTTTATATTTGAGAAAAATGCCTTCTATAGCTGAGATTCGATCCGTGTCTACCAGCATGCCAGCAGGTGCACGTTTCCACTCGACCACCGAGTGCTCTTATCATTGTTGTTTGATTCTTCTATTTATGTTTCTACTTATTTCAATTTTTAAAAACAACAACACAAGCCGCAGCTATGTTCCGCTCGCTCCACGCGCATAAGATTTATATGCAATATGACTCAAGACGTCAATACTGAAAACGACACATGGAATACCACAAAGAAATATGTATGAGATTATAATTTTACCGTGAGTTTTATTGACAACAATAATAATAGATACATTTTTCTTAAATAGACAAATATCGACAGTTAGCAAATTCGGAAGTAGTAAAAACTTGCCTTAAACACTCACATCTCCAACACTTCACCTATAGATATTGCAAACTCCATTCGTGCATTCACAAACTACTTGTCTGGGCATCAAAGTTGTTCATTTGCTGGAATTAATTATATATCCAAGTTATTCTTATGTGCGAAACGATAACTGAATGCCGACGGACGCGCGCGTACAGGAGAATCGAGAATTAATCCACGATTGATAAACACAGCAGCATGCATTCACGCTTGTAAAACCCCGGTCAACCCCGATTCTGGTATATGCAGTCGATTGCTTAATGAATATAAATCAATTTACTTAATTATGATCTGAAGTAACAGGACACGCGCACCATACTCGACGCCCGGAATTGAATTGCGTGTGCAGCAAAATGCATACAGCCAACTGCGACAACACGAGGTCACTATCAGTATTGCGCGATACGTTCGCAGAACACAGGAAAAAAATTGTTTACATACAAGTCCCGCGCGTACAGATCCTTACTATGGGTGCATAGCAAGCAGTGCCTGTTTTGGTACTTCTAGTACCAAATAATTGGAGATTAATTTAATACTTCCAGATACTCAAAAGTATTAAAATCGAGTCACTAAAACGTGAGAGGCAGGCCGTTTTCCACCACAACTTTTCAACAATGACAAAACTTGCTAAAGTTTGAGAGTGACTTAAGGCCACTTCCCGACCTTTGATGGTGACTGAATATAGTTCATTCGATTAAAAAACTCATCTTCTATCACCTGAAGCAAACAGAATTAAATTCCAGTCAAGAAAACGCGAATTACAGACCATTTTCCACAGCAACTTTTCAAAAATGACAAAAATTGCAGTAGTTTGAGAGAGATTTAAGGGCACTTCCCGACCCTTGATGGTGACAAAATGTAGTTCCTACGATTAAAGAACTCTTCTTCTATCACCTGAAGCGGACAGGATTAAAATCCAGTCAAGGAAACGCATGATACAGACCATTTTCCATCGCACCTTTTCAAAAATTACAATAATTGCTGAAGTTTGAGAGTGATTTAAGGGCACTTCCCGACCCTTGATGGTGATGAAATGTGGTTCATACGATTAAAGAACTCTTCTTCTATCACTTGAAGCAGACGAAATTAAAATCCAGTCAAGGAAACGCGAGATACAGACCATTTTCCACAGCAACTTTTCAAAAATGACAAAAATTGCTGAAGTTTGAGAGTGATTTAAGGGCACTTTCCGACCCATGATGGTGACTGAATGTAGTTCATGCGCCTAAAGAACTCTTCTTCTATCACCTGAAGCAAACAGAATTAAAATCCAGTCAAGAAAACGCGAGATACAAACCATTTTCCACAGCAACTTTTCAAAAATCACAAAAATTGCTGAAGTTTGAGAGTAATTTAAGGGCACTTCCCGACCATTGAGGGTGACTGAATATAGCTCATACGATTAAAGAACTCTTCTTCTATCTCCTGAAGCAAACAAAATTAAAATCCAGTGAAGGAAACGCGACATACAGACCATTTTACACCGTAATTTTTCAAAAATGACAAAAATTGCTGAAGTTGGAGAGTGATTTAAGGGCACTTCCCGAACTTTGATGGTGGCTGAATGTAGTTCATACGACTAAAGAACTCTTCTTCTATCACCTGAAGCAAATAGAATTAAAATCCAGTCCAGAAAACGCGAAATACAGACCATTTTCCACAGCAACTTTTCAAAAATGACAAAAATTGCTGAAATTTGAGAGTGATTTAAGGGCATTTCCCGACCCTTGATGGTGACTGAATATAGTTCATACGATTAAAGAACTCTTCTTCTATCACCTGAAGCAAACAGAATTAAAATCCAGTCAAGGAAACGCGAGATACAGACAATTTTCCACAGCAACTTTTCAAAAATGACAAAAATTGCTGAAGCTTGAGAATGATTTAAGGGCATTTCCCGATCATTGAGGGTGACTGACTATAGTTCATACGATTAAAGAACTCTTCTTCTTTCACCTGAAGCAAACAAAATTAAAATCCAGTCAAGGAAACACGAGATACAGACCATTCTCCACAGCAACTTTTCAAAAATGACAAAAATTGCAGTAGTTTGAGAGAGATTTAAGGGCACTTCCCGACCCTTGATGGTGACAAAATGTAGTTCCTACGATTAAAGAACTCTTCTTCTATCACCTGAAGCGGACAGAATTAAAATCCAGTCAGGGAAACGCAAGATACAGACCATTTTCCATCGCATCTTTTCAAAAATTACAATAATTGCTGAAGTTTGAGAGTGATTTAAGTGCACTTCCCGACCCTTGATGGTGACGAAATGTGGTTCATGCGACTAAAGAACTCTTCTTCTATCACCTGAAGCAAACAGAATTAAAATCCAGTCAAGAAAACGCGAGATACAGACCATTTTCAACAGCAACTTTTCAAAAATGACAAAAATTGCTGAAGTTGGAGAGTGATTTAAGGGCACTTCCCGACCCTTGATGGTGACGAAATGTGGTTCATACGATTAAAGAACTCTTCTTCTATCTCCTGAAGCAAACAAAATTAAAATCCTGTCAAGGAAGCGCGAGATACAGACCATTTTCCACAGCAACTTTTCAAAAATGACAAAAATTGCTGAAGTTTGAGAGTAATTTAAGGGCACTTCCCGACCATTGAGGGTGACTGAATATAGCTCATACGATTAAAGAACTCTTCTTCTATCTCCTGAAGCAAACAAAATTAAAATCCAGTCAAGGAAACGCGAGATACAAACCCCATTTTCCACCGCAACTTTTCAAAAATTACAAAAATTGCTGAAGTTTGACCGCAACCAGAAAATTGTAGAATATGGAAATATAGAATGTAGAATATATTGGAAAATTCTCTATCAGATGGAAATTTAAATTAATTTCATTTCATTCACGCGACTGAAAGTAGGTACTAAAAATTGCAATTTTTCATTTTTTGACAATTCGCTTTAAAATAAGCTAGTTAAATTGAAATTTAAAGAGATGAAAGTTTAATTCAGAAGAAAAAATGGGCAAGGCCGGGTGCTGGATAATTTATTTCCACGATTTTCGACAGTGAATATCTTCAAAACTAAATGAGATAGCAACCAGAAAATTGTAGAATATGGAAAATTGGCAAATTTTCTATCAAATAGAAATTTAAAGTAATTTAATTTTAAGAGGTAAACGGTATAGAAACGCAACTGAAACTGCTAAAAATTGGAATTTTTCAATATTTGACGATTTATTTCAATAGCGAATATCTCGTAAACAAAAAGAGATATATACGAACAAATTTCAAATTCTTAATCTACGGAAAATTTCCAATAAGATAAGCTAATTAAAATGCATACCTATAGAAGAGATGAAATTTTAATTCATAAGAAAAAAAATGGGCAAATGGGATTCATCTTCTACCGCTGCCCTTGTACAGTGCCCTGAACACGAGTCACTTCTACCGCTATCCACATACGGTGCTGTGAACACGAGTCACTTTTACCGGCACCCTCGTACGGTGCCCAGAACACGAGGCACTTCTATCGACACCCTGTTACGGTAAACCGAATGAGACTCAACTATACAATTGCGATTAATTGCAATATAACTAAATAATCAAGAAAAAAATCAACGTTCTTGACATTTTCGAGTCAATAAACTAAAATAGTGCATATCTTTTAAACTAAAAGCGATAGCGACCAGCGTATTAAAATTTATGAAATATTGGAAAATTCTGTAGTAGATAAGAATTTAAAATAATTTAATTTCGTGGGACAAAAACGTGACTAAAAGTGCAATTTTTCTTTTTTGCCCTTTTTTGAATTGCGAATTTGTTTGCGATTGAAGAGCGATCAGCAAGGCCCCGGGGAATTTACCCCAGTCAATCCTCCTCTCATCGGCCCTGCAAATAGGTACAAACCTGATTGATGGAAATTAGTTTTTCGATTTAATTTATGCTAATCACCTTTGGTGAAAAAAAGTAATATTAAAAACATTGAGATTGACAAAATGACTTTATTACTAAAATTAAACAGAAAACTTAAACGTTGAAATCGTACCCGGCGAGAGCTGTAATCACTGCAATAGTACACGACAACACTACACAAAAAAATGTTTACACACCGATACTGCTAAAAGCAGAACGCAGAAAACCAAAACAATTCCAATGTAAGTACCGGTCACGTATTCGCCACGTTGAAGGAAAGCATTAAATATGTACCTCATTTTATCGAGTTCGTTAGCGAGCAGGTTTAAATATTTTAATATACAAAATGCACCAAAAATTAAGAATACGAACTCAAAGATGAACTTACCAATAAGACAGATGGGTAACTTCAACTGCTATCCCACGTGGTTGTAAACTGAATTAAAATCTTGATAGATGTTAAAAGTCGCGAGTTGAGAACACAACCATTGTGTAGACCGCGTAGACCGAAAAATAATTCTACTACGAAAACGCCGAATGTGCAAAAAGAAACTCGGATGATAAAAGTTAAATTTCTACTCCGAGCCCGAAAAATAAGCAATAAAACAAGAACACAATTTTAAGTTACTAGCACTTTAACTTTAAACTAAAACTGGCCTAATCAAATTCACAAGAAACAAGGCGGCGTATTGCGAGAAACGCGTGCAAACACACGTTGCCGAACCATGACTCGGCTCGACTGACTTGGAGTAAGCGCTGAGAGTGCTTGCACCGTCCGCGGAGTTTGCGCAATTATGCAGCGCAAAACGAATGTGCAGTGTACTAGGATGGTGAATACATTGTTTTGGATACTTGTAATATGCCGTGTCCGTCGATTGAACTGATAAGGCTTGTCCTTTAAAAGAATCGCTTGCCTCGTCCCGTATACTACCTGAAGTTGTCGTAGTCAACACAGCACGAAATAAAATGCATCATTTTGATAGAAGATGCCAATAAGGCAAACATTTAACAAAACTAAAAATATACAACACAAAAAAATAATAAATTAAAAAATTAAAATTATTCCTTACATTATAAACAAAAAAATTAAATAAAATGGTAGCATCTTCAGATGCGAATATTGTGAGTTACTATGAAGGAATGCAATAAAAAAAATCCACTATACACAAACAATAACAACATGCATGGTATAGAAAATTTATGTTACCAAATTAATCTATATTCATGGATTATTTCTTATTATTAGTTACATCAGTCTCAACATTGGCTGCATCAATATTAACTAAAATATTCTCCAATTCATGCAGAAGTTCTCTTTTAACTGAGTCTGGCACCATGCCTCTTGCAGTAGCTGTAATATGTTGTACTAAATTTGACACTGTTACATTTTTATCTGGGTTATCAGCAATTGCTCTTCTACAGGCAAGACGGACCTGGTCACGCCAACCACATTCAATTAATCTCATTTGAATAAGTTCTGTGACCCTACAACCATAAGAAATGATATATATTTAATAGTAATAAGTAAAATATTTAAATATATTAAACTGTCTGTTACCTATCTAGGGCATCAGTTTTATCCAAGTAATATGAAAGTTTATTTTCTTGAGACATTGTGATAAAGATTATGTTGGAATCTATTATCTCTACTTGTGTGGATGTTTTTTTTCTTCAGAAGTTGTTTAAAGGTTAGATTTGTAATCAATCGGTAAAGCCACACATAAAGCTCAGTGTTCAATTTTTAACTCTTATTTAAATTCAAATTTTGTAACTGTTAGTGTTATTAAAAGCAAGTCAATATTTAAGTATATTTTGATTAACATATACAATAATAATTACAGCTACAGCAATAATTTTTTATTAATAAAAATCATCTAAAAAGTCATATACCTATGTTTTGATGTGTAGCTAAAGTGTTCTCGTGATTCAAGTTCGAACATAACCATCAAATACCAAACATAAAATAACATTTGCCCAGAGTTTAAAAATGAAAAGAATATCAAGTGAACCAAAACCGTACGATGAAATAGCCAAAGGTATTATAGAATTGATGAATAGTTTGTAAACAAAATGATTGTTTTTAAATTTTAGTATGCCTTGTAGAAAGAAATGCCAGCCCAGGAGGCCTTTCTTTAGTTAACGCAAACAAAGTTGGAAAAAAATCCGCCAATGACCTGGTTGACCTTGCAATGGAAATTCAGCAGGTATACTTTATCTTTCAATGTCATTACCTCTTCATTGCTATATTTTTTACACCTAAAACATTTTAAAGGCTGATGCATTCCTAACAGCAAATACTTGTAACAAACTACAAGTAATTGTGCAACAGGTAATTAAAAACAGGAAAAAAAGACAATAAATGTAAATGTTTTGGTTACAGGTACAATATTTAAAACAACAGGCACATCAAATATTGCAAGAGGCTGAAAAAGATGCAGAGTTGCATAGAGTTGCATGCAATTTTACCAAAGTCTCAGGCAATGTTTACCACTTGTATGAGAGGCAAAGTGGGCAAAAATATTTTAGCATGTTATCACCTGAAGTATGTTATTTAAAGGTTCATTGAAATTAGAGAATAACTTGATTTTTTCACACTTAGGAATGGACATCACCACATCAATACCATGGAAGCTATAGGCTGGAAGTTGATCAATCTTGGACAGAACTGAGTAATATTGTTAAGAAAGATTATAATATGCAAGCTATTAATGCCATTATTCAATCAAAAAATCCACTTGCCTTAGCACAGCATACTCATAGTATGCCAATGGATATTTAATTAAAAACTTGGGTGCTTTGACACATGATCTAAACCTGTAAAATAAATGTTTTATTTTGTATGTATATAATATAACTAGGAATTGTCTGATATACCACAGCCATGTTCTATTTGTGTGTAATAAAAAAAACTGTTTACTCAAGATTCACATAGGTGACCTGACATACTTCAGATTTAAGTTTCTCCTCTCCACTTCCTCGAGAAATGCCCGCCATCAGGCATCAGCAATTCCAAGTGATTTTTGCTGGGTAATTTGATAAGAATTATCAGCATTATAAATTCATTATTAAAGTTTACTATTTTTAGTTTTATAGTTGAAGTACCTATACTATTTTTACTTCAAAAATGGAAAATGAAAAATAGAAAGTTATTTAATGTTATTAACTTACCGTTTTTTTGTCCAGATGATAATAAACAAAGCCAAGTAAAAGTCAAAAATGTGTGGGGATACAAAAATGACACAAAATGCGCAATAAACGCCACGGTAAACAATCAAATAACAAATTGAAACAGAATTATTATTACACTCCTGAGATACCTTCAATTATCTATGTTTTAAATATCTCTTGTAATAATTAATTAAACGCTCAAATAATGTTTTATTAAATAAATTTTATTGAAATCTTAAACCATATTTTTGTGTAACTTCTGGTGTATGAATCGACGCAACTGCCATCAATAACGGAACATCATTAACTTCCAATTTCAGAGCGGACGTTAACAAGTCAATGGTGCAATACTCTGTGTCTAGCAACATTTGAGCCAATGCTTTTGACTGAACACATAACTCATGTAGTTTCTGTTCTATATGCATCAAACACTATAATAATTCACTATAAGTTTGCTTTCTACATATTACACAACATAAGACGTACATACATATTCAGGTGGCGTGTGCAATTTCCACATTTTCAATAAAGTTTCCAACATGTTAGCTACCATCTGAGACATACCTATTGGAACACCGCCAACCGCTTTATCAATTACATAAGTATGACTGGACATAACGCTGACCGCCCTAGAAAAAATAAATTGATATTTAATTTGTTTATTTTTATATTTTACTACTACCGTACCATGAATCAATGTTACCCACTACTGCTACAGATTCATCCACTGCATCCCCAGTAATTGGATGTTTCGCTGATAGAATAAGGTCCCTTTTAAGAATCGTCTGCCAATCTTTAGACGGGTCAATAAAGCCTTGTAATGCCACATTTGGCGAATATGTATGACTTGATGATCGAATCATAGTCGTAGTGAAGACAAAAGAGTTCTGTGTAGGCGACTTGCTAGTATAACTATTAACATTTAAAACATTTAATTCCAAATAAGACGTTACTAACATGCATCTAACTTCTACCTCACCTTGGCATTGGTAATTCAATGGTTTTTAATGGCGTAACCTGTGTTTCTGGGATAACGAAAGTGTTGGGAACCGTGCGCCTAACAAATTCGTTAGAGTTCTTTTCAATTTCAATAACTTCCTTTGCACTAGCGCACATATTTGACGTTGGCAAAACTAAATCGCTGGTATATTCAAGTTCGGATGCATTTGATGGTGTTTGTAAAGGTTCGTCATCTTCAACATCTTCTGAATCGCCATATTTTGAAAAATCAATGTTGGAAACTTCATCATCACCATCCATAAAGTCTTTCTTATGTTGCAAATGCATATCATTTAGTTCAATGTTTTTACTTTTCATGTAATTTTCAAAAATTTGTGGATGTTGTTGAAAATTGAACTTTACACCCGAGTATCTATATTTCGCCGTTTTCGATTTTTTCTCCGTTGATGTAGCTTGCCGTGCCGGTTCTTCGCTTTGCGCACGTTTCGGTTTAACACCTTCATACACTAGATTAGCACAGGACGCACTTGGTTTTATATCATTACTATTACACTTCTCAAAATCTGCATCTTCAAAAGTATCTTTACTGCGCATACTTGAATTAAGCATCTCTAGCCGTTCATCAGCGCCCAAAACAAATAAAACTTTTGATACTTCTTTCGCGCTACTATCATTCAAAGGCATAAATGTGGACGATTCTGTTTCCTTTGTTTCTTCTAATTTACTCAAATCCATAAGGCAAGTACGGTTTTTCTTCAAGCCACACACCCCGTGTGATGTTTCCACAGCAGAAGCATCTTGTAATTGGAATGATTCATTATTATTATTATTATTATTAGTGCTTTTATTATTCGTGACTAGACTGTGACAACTGTTCCTGTCTCGAATGTTCGTTAACGTGTGCTTCTCTAATTGATTTGGAATGTAACTATCCATGTTCCCATTGGAAGAAGAACATAAAATATCGTCGCACATTTTATCAGCTTGCGCGTGATCAACGTTTACATCTTCACGATCGAAATGAATTCTTTGAATATCACTAAATCGAATGAAGTACGTCAGCACATTGATAAACTTATTGATAAGTTCTTCTTCACTCTTTCCAGTTATTATAGTATGAGCAATTTTGCTTGGACAGCCAACAGCACCATATATATCACAAAGTTGCCGTACAAACAAATTCGACGATTGTTTACATTTGATTTCATTATTTGGAAGCATTGTAGCGACCCAACCAAGATGATGAGTTAAAACTCCAGTCATCAACGTGCTGAGAAAACTGAAACAGATTTATTTAGTCTGGAATTTAATCAGAAATATACTTATTACTTACAAATTAGTGTGTTTGACATCAAAATGTTCCACCAAGTCGCACAAATCACGTACAAATTGATCTACTTGTTCACTTTTCCAACTAATACCAACATCACATTTATCTGCTTTAAAAAACCTCCGTGTCAGCGTCCGCAGACTACGCGATTCATTATAATTTATATAAATATAATTTTCTCCAAATAAATGCTTCATATCACATTTAATACTGATTGGAATATCACAGTTGCATAATTGTTGCCACATATTCACACTACTTCCTACAATTGTTAGTAGATTCACAAAGCACTGCGCCGCTCTCAATGACAATTCAAACATTTCCGACACGAATGTGTGATGATGAATATAAGCTATTTCTACTTCTTGACGCACTCGCTTCAGAATTGTTTCAATACACGCAATATGATGCATTAAAAAATCGACCAGACGCCTGTAATACAATTAATTAATTAATAATTTGTTTTGGTTTCTATAAATAACAATATTATACTTTTCCTGATCTCTAGTAATTTGTAATATGATTGCTAATCCTAATTTACTGGCACGTCGATGTCGCAATCCGCGAATATCATTATCCAAACATATTGATGTTGGTAGAGAGCGATGCGTGGAATTATCCAAAAATAAATGAGACAATCGACAGCAATCATCAACTGCTATCGAGGGAGGTCCACTGCTCAATGAACTGGTGGAGAGTTCGCCTCCATAGCCAGAAGACGAGATTAGACTAGAATTGAGAGGCATATCAAGCGGCACACTATGTTGCCGCCGTCGACATATTGATAATACATCGCTGATTGAGCTTTGAAGATCGCTGTTGGATTGATCACTGTAGGAAGTGCGTGAGCTTCCGCTGCCAAGAGAGTCATCCAATTGTAGTGGATAATCAACGCTTTTAGAGGCAATTGATGTTTGGCGGGTGCAACATTTCATTCGAGGGCTGGGAAAGACCTAAGTAGAGAACTGGTTAGACATTATATATTATGTATTTATATTAAAATACATTTAGGTTTTATTTTGTTCATGTGATCAGTTAATAGGATTTTACCATTTTTTGATTTTGCTTTTTTATAAACACCACGCGATTAATAGCTGAATCAAAAAATGGAAAAATATAATATACCTATTCATAGGGAAAGATGATGAATAAGAAAATTAAATATTTAATAAATCAATTCTAAAAATTGTTTTATTATTCGTTATTCGTCATCATACCCAAATCTACTTTAGTTGTTTGTTATTTTGACTGCAGAATGGAATTACCTGAGAAAATACTAATCGCGGTGGTAACTCTAAGTTGTGAATCTTGTATAAATTTCCACGATAGCTCATTGCTACTGAGCCAAATATCATTTCGGCCAGGTGGCTAATATCGCCGTTTGGTTTCTTAAGCTGCAAAAACAAAAATCGTAGACATAAAATTATTTTTTTCTGATTACTCGTATATTACAGTAAATAAAACTATTCTAATGGGTGGCGGAAAGCTGTGGCAATTATTGCACTGATAAAAGCGGATTAAACCTTGTAAAATAAGCAAAATAACAAATACGTATTCAATAATATATAGTTATTGATGCGCATGCGCCCGATAAGGTGTAAAATAAATTTGCATAATCAAACAATAATAAAAATTAAGTTTACTTACTGAATATCCAAACCCATTTGTAATCTCAACAAATTCACTTGACTGCTCACAACTAGATTTGCGTTCATTTTTAACATTGTTTTTCGTATCAGAACTCACTCGTTCCACGGATTTTGAGTCGAACAATAACTTGCGCCCACGAAAATCGCACTCACGAAACACTGCCACTTGCACTTGCTCTACAGCAAACGTAAACAATTCATGACTGAAACAAGAAAAATGCCAACTATACACAATTTACCTAATTTAAAGTACATTTATTAAAATTGGGGAATAAAATCTGTTTCCAATAATACTCATCGGCACGTGTGCCGATTACGTACACAGGCAAGTCAAAGGCCGCCCAGCGAGTCACATGAGTTTATAAATCACGCAAAGCTATTTATAAGACACACGTGATGTTTGCTACTTTTCACCCATATTACAAATTACAATGCCGATATGCATAAAATACATTTGAACATTTTTGTTTATTCGACAATTAGCAAAAGAAAAACATAACTTTTTGGGGCAAAATATCCGAATACAACAATTAATTGTTGTAAATTTTAGTGTTGAACAGTCACTCACCACACAAAATTAGAATTCGGACACTTTTTGTAACTGTTGGACGCGCCTGTGCTTTTCGAATTGCGCGACGCTAGCAGTTTACTGATAAATGCCATGACATGATACACGAATTTCCTGATCGAATTAATTCAAGATTGCACACATGAGACGCCACAGCACTTCGACGCGCTTACTGCATTCACGCTTTCGATTGTTCTAGTAGTTAGTTCAGTTTAGTTAAACAGCAGTCAACTACGTTGATGATGACACCGCACTCGTGACTTCTGACCACTACCACTGTACCACTACCAGCCGCGCCGGCCTCTACGCGTTTCTGAGTGTGCAATGCGAATCATGCTTACTGTACCCACTTTTGTGGTGTGAGTTGTATGTGCGAATCATATACTTATAACAGTGGTACGCAAAAAGTGTTACGCAGCGTAAACTTGATTTTGACTAAAAAATTTCTTCGCATGTTGCGCACAATTCTAATACAATTCTAAACTGGGTCAAAACTAAAATTTGCACTTTTTAATTAAAAGCACGAGTTTTGGTTCTTCATGCATAAAATTTAATCTTTTTCTGTATATTTTTGACTTACTATTAAAATAATATGTCAATAATTGTTCTGATCATTTTTTAAACAAAAACAATGTCTCAACAGTTATTTAGACGGAGTAAATGGGTTTTTACATACCAAATATCTGTATTACACATCCTCATTTGATCACTCTGAAAATTAAAGAGGGGTAGAGTCCAATACAAACAATTCTCCATTTTCCTGATCTTCTTTACTTAATTTATTATTTTGCGGACCATTAATCAAGATTTTATTGGAATTAACAAAGTCACAAAAATTATTTAAAAATTCTATTATTTTATTGATGTTTTCTTTCCAACTATAAAATAATTTTAACGAATGTACCACACTAATCTCTCTTTCTTCCTTAATAAGCTAGGCGCCATGTCCAATCGCTGACATCACAAACAATTTCACAGGTGCACAATCTGCGGCGATAACTCGGTTTCGAATTTAACGCAAATAAATATAAATTACTGAATGCTAGCGCCATCTAGAGTCATGTTACAAAATTATACTAAGATAACATACGCGCAGAATGTGAACTCACAGGAACATGCGCATCTCCTGTCAACACAATGCTTTCTCACTGATATTATCACGGAAAAAGCATGCACTTACCACTTACCGCTACAAACGAGTTTAGATTTGTTCTAATGACTTATGAAAAGTGTTTGCATATTTGTGAATGATCTCTGGTAAAGTAATTAAATGTTGTAATATCAATTAACTCCAACTATTTATAGAGGATTTTAGTCAAACACATTCTGTGTATGAGATTAGTCTATCTTGTAATTAGATCATTTGATTCGTACGCCCCCGTAGATCTTTCGCGCGTGCGTGTAGTAGAGGAAATTCCTTGAACTAGTCAGCTGTTGGTGAGTTTACATATTAGTACACGCACAAAAGGCGCATAAGGCAATAATAGCGATAGATAAACAATAGTGAAATACAAAGAAACGACGCATTCCAAATAATGACTAGAGTCCACGCAAGCATATTTTGACCACATTTACGTCGTGAGTGCATTTATAGCTAACGAAACTGGCACAGTTCATGTTTTCTTTGTTCATTCAGTGAACGCGTAGAATCGCGCGTATAACTCATTTAACTCATTCAGTACCAGTGAGCAACATAGTGAAAATGGTGCAAAAAGTATTAGTGGGCAGCGGGAACATTCAGGATCCATCTGCCAGTACATCAACCACCGATCAAAGCTATCGACAATTCGAGGACCAGGATAATGACCCAGAATATGAATCTAGGTGTGCACGATCATGTTGCCATCCAGCAGGCATGTGTCATCGATTTATTGCGTTGTTCTTCATGTGTTTTCTAGGTTTTGGTAAGTTCTCATGCCATGACAGGTTGAATTATGCTCAACAAGGGATAAAATGTGACCAAAATTATTACAGGTTCATATTTCTGTTATGACAACCCAGCAGCATTGATGGATTACTTTTCAAAAGACTTGAACTTATCAACAACACAGTATTCTTTGCTCTATTCACTATATTCATGGCCCAATGTTGTTTTATGCTTTATTGGTGGATTTCTCATTGATAGAGTGTTTGGCATTGGATTGGGCACAAATCTTTACATGCTCATTACACTGATTGGTCAAGTTGTTTTTTCCATGGGAGTTATGTTTGATATTTTTTGGGTGATGGTGTTGGGCAGATTTGTTTTTGGCATTGGTTGTGAATCCCTAGCAGTGGCACAGAACAATTATGCTGTTTTGTGGTTCAAGGGCAAAGAATTGAACATGGTTTTTGGTTTACAATTGAGTTTTGCTCGAGTTGGCAGTGCTGTTAATTTTTGGGTAATGGAATCCATTTATAAATGGGTCAATCAGTACTATAAAGGTGCAGAATGTCTTGGCATTGTAATATTCATAGGTATGTAATATTTCAATTACCTAAAATGAGTCTTATATAATTGTGGAAAATTTCAGCAACATCAACTTGTGTTGCATCCATGTTATGTTCCTTAATATTGGGATGTTTAAACAAACGAGCGGATCGAATTTTGCGACGAAGTGAAAATACACCAGGCGAAGTTGTTCGTCTTGGTGACATTACAACATTCCCAAGTACTTTCTGGCTTATTTCCGTTATTTGTGTTGCATATTATATCGCAATTTTTCCATTTATCGCGATAGGAAAGTGAGTATAGTACTACTTTGTTGACTTTTGATAAACAAATATCCATTCATTGTAATTCTAGGAAATTCTTCATTGAAAAATTCCATCTGGAACCACCAGCGGCCAACTATGTCTGCAGTATCGTTTATCTAATCTCAGCAGTAGCTTCACCAGTACTGGGTTTGCTAATTGATAAAACAGGCAAAAACGTGCTCTATGTGCTTTTCTCGATTATGGCGACAATTGCCGCCCATTTAATACTCATTCTCTGCGACCTTAATCCGTATTATGGTATGGTACTGATGGGATTATCTTATTCTACTTTGGCTAGTAGTTTATGGCCGCTGGTTGCGCTGATTATACCCGAATATCAATTGGGAACAGCATATGGCATGTAAGATTCATTAAAATCTTATTAAATGAATGTAATTTTATATTTATCACTTTGTAGATGTCAAGCAGTGCAAAATTTGGGTCTTGCCGTCGCATTGATTCTTTCCGGACTGATCGTGGACCAAGGCGGATATTTCTGGGTGGAAATGTTTTTCACAGCCAGTTTATCTGTGGCACTTATTACGACATTGTCGGTATGGATTTTAGACAATTCTCGAGGTGGTGTTTTGAATATGACACCTGGTCAAAGAGATCGCAATGCCGACGAATTATTGTAAGTGTTACAGTTGAATTTACTGCAATTTTAAAATCTCTAAAATTATTTATCAATTTAGGATTAATAATGATAGCGACAAGCCTGATGGTACAACTGGGCCGAGTGACTTTGATCCGAATGATTCTTTAATGCCTAGCTCAGACTTCCACATTCGTAACAGATATTTATCGCGGATTGGAGCTGTTGTAAGTAATAGATTTAATTGTCAACAACATATAACTCATGATTGCAAGTTTTTGTATTTGAAAAAATTGTGTTTGTTCTTGTGTTGTGCCGTTTAGAGTCAACATTGATGCAGGATGAACATGCGGGTGCTTGCTGAGCTTCAAGTCCCCGCACGTATAGATTAATTCGACCAATATGGGGGTAAACTTAATAAAACTAACTATTTATTGTGTGTAACATGAATGTACCTACTAAGATATGCTTGAATAGCTAATACTATCATAACTACTGCTTTGGCTGCATGTTTTACTTTCATTTTTAATTTATTATTAAGTTATTGTTAGATTGGCGTGGTGCTCTTCTTCTATGTGCTTTACTTTCTAGCAGAACTGCTAATTTATATCTATCACTATGTTGACACTTATGTATATTCTTTTTATTTTAGTTACCGTCAAATTATTCGATAACAGCCAAAGGATTGACATACAGGGCTTTACGTTAATCAAGAAAATATAAATGTAAAATGTGAGGTTAAACCCTAGCTCCTAGCTAGCGTAGTTTCTCATTAGGATATAAACTTGAAATCAAAAGTAATTTTTGTCTGTATATGTGTGATAAATGTACAAAGATGCATTTTTGATGTCGACTTTGACAGTGAATACAATGGTATTTAAGATTTATAGCAACAGTTAAATGCAGTGTCGATTTTTTGAATGCACAAGTTACACAATACAAAATATTTGTAAAAAGCCAAACTTTAAATGTATAAGAACAAATATATTATTTTGCTAAATTATTTTTAATAACTTATTCCTATCCATTCACTTTTATAGCGATGAAAATAGGTTAGAAAATTTAAATACGTGAAATGTAATTAACCACCTAATTTACTAAAGAAATGAATAAACTTTTCATATGTTATAAAAGTAACAATAAACTGAGGAGCGTTCCGAACAAACAAAGGTGTAAATCCCTTCCATAAAGCAAATATCCCTTCATATCTTATTATCTTGTACCAAACGTCCACCATGTTTTTATATTGCACTCCACCTTCTTCCTTTCCCATATTTTGTATGCGCGTTTTTGTGATATCTACAGGTAGTGTACATGTTGTTGCTACTGCTGAAGATATTAAGGACGCAGATAGTTGACAAATGCTGTTATCACTACTAACAATTCCTGTAAATAATTTAAGAATATGTATAGTATAGGCGTACACATGCATATACATATCAGGAATAGTTTCTTTACCGTTTCTTAGAAGGAAATGTTTGGCTTCAAAATAACTTACAACTTGTGAAACATTAACAACCACCGCCCTGCAAATTGTTGGTACGGCACCACGATATAAAGTTAAAATGCCTTCATCCACATATATTCTCCGAAAACCATCGAACACATGTTTGTAATTTCGGCGTTCATTTACAGGTAATCGATTATCAACCGCCATTCTTGTTAATATCACATCTGGTGGAAGACCCACTATAGCACCAATTGCCCCAGAAACACACCCAATTAAAATTTTTTCTAGATATCCAATTGTATTATTTCTAAATAAAATGTTATAAATAAATTAATTTATTTGAGAATTGGCTAAATTTCTGCGTGTTACTTACGACGATATATTTTTTTATTAAATTTATACTCACTCTGAATATTTATCTGTCAGTATTTGATATAATCCTAAACGTGTGCCTGTGTATAGCCCCTGACGCCCTACACTAGCAGAAAGACCTTGGTATAAACCTAAGAAGCCATCACGCTTAACAATTTCGCGAGCAAATTCTAGTGTGGTTACTGATTTGCGTTTCTTTCCCATCTCGCCTGACACTTGCATGTTTAATCGAAGTACATCGAGGGGATAGCATACTAATGTACCGCATATCCTATGAAGTAAATTTATTAATTTTTGGTACGATTTTCTTTGGTAAATTTGCTTGTACCCAGCAGCAGATGCACTTAATAATTTAACGACATTTGAAACTTTTGCGGCACCATCCGACATTATGTGTGTACTTATAATTTAACATTAGTGACATTAATTAATAATAATAAATGACATAGTTTCTATGTTTTTTTAATTACGTATTTGTTGTTTCATTTATATCGCCTACCTTGTATGAGATTTTTATTAGATTGCTAAAAATATTTGTTAAATTAAAAGCATCAAATTCTATCAGCAAGAAAACGCATAGGAAAAATGGGATGTCAGAATTAAAAGTAATGCAAACTAAAGCTGAAGAAAATACAAGTACAAATTAATTTACCTCGAAAGTTAAACTCGATGGAACGTTTGAGGCACTTCACTATTAGGCCAAAGATTAACTACGCACGTGCGCGCCAAATTTTGCCCGATGAGTACAAGGCTAGAAAAATACCGCACATTTGGTACACCGAGCGACATCTTCTGACAAAATAAACAACTTACCAATTATTTGTTGCTTTATAATGCAATAGAATCAAAACTGGTTTCCGTGATCGACATCCACAATATACTGAAAGGCGTTAAAATCTTTCGTATATCAACCTTATTTCCGAAATATTATAAGTTTCAAATTATAATCATACACTGGTTTAATGTAAATACGCTAGTAAAGTATCTACCTTAGCGCCGCCTCGTGGCTTATTTCTTAAATAGTGAGTCATCTGTAACCTTGAGTACCATATGTTATATATATATTATATGTAATTGCAAGTGAATTAATAATTTTACAAAATGGATAAAAAAGTATCAACTCGTGCTTGTTGCGTTGTCGACTGTAAAAACACTGAAAGGAAAAATCCAGAACTGCAATTTCACCGTTTTCCTGGATATCCTCACGAATTGGAAAGAAAAAAGAAGTGGATTGCAGCAGTACGTCGAGAAACGTAAGTAGTTTTTGGTTTGTGGGAATTAATCTTCAAATTTATAATAATAATAAATATTTTCATTTTATTTTAAAAAAATAAGATTTATTCGCAATTTTAACGGCAAAAGAATATTTAAGTAGTTTTCCTACCGAAAATATTTTTTTAAAGGTTAACTCCAACGTTTAACAGATATTTAGGGCTTTTTCACTAAACATGATTATTCAATTTTATAGCAAACAAATAATTTCAATTATTGTCACAATTTTATAAGTAAATCTCTTATTGCAGGAGTGATGGAAAACCGTGGCAGCCTGGAAAACATTCCAGAATTTGCAGTGCACATTTTGTTGGGGGTGAAAAATCTAACAATCCACTCAATGAATCTTATCACCCAACTATATTTCCTCCAATATACGGAAAAAAAAGAAATTCTAATGCAGGTTTACGAGCTGAGAGATTGCGAAAACGACGGGAAAGAATTTCATCTGCAATAATTAATACAGCTCCAACAGATGCTGCAGTTGATGAAACAGTTGTTTCTGAGAAACATGATATTGGCATACAAACTGATCCTGATTTTGAATTAAATAATGATTGCAATGACATTAACTTTATGTTCTGTTTTAGTAATTATAACGAATCATCAACACAAACAAATATTTTTGTTCATTCTGGACAGAATAAGAAAGAATGTGCCATTGTTGCAGAGCAGCCATTATTAACAACACAAAAAAGTACAGGCTTCTTGGGATTTGATTGCATAATGTCAGATGCGTTAATGAAGAAGTTTGCTGGCATTGATTTATTTTTTTCATATACTGCTGAAATTTATTGTACCAGGGGAAGAAGGTCAACCTGCATTTTTTAAGAAAGTATCTGCGGAAAATAGGCTTCTAATATTTTTGATGAAGATGAAACTTGGATTACCTTTTGCTGTAATTGGGTGCTTGTTCAATGTATCTCATACAACTGCAGCATGTATTTTCTCAAGCGTTTTAAAAACGCTAGTTGCAAAGACCAGAACTTGGATATTTTGGCCGTCAAAAGATGCGGTAAAAGAAACATTACCTAAAAGTTTCTTAAATTATCCGAACTGTCGAGCAATAATTGATTGCACTGAACTTCGTACCGATACGCCACCCACAGTTGAACAGAGAGTCCTAATGTATTCCAGTTATAAATCTCATTTTACAGTAAAATTTTTGATTGCAATCAGTCCATCAGGTATGATTACTTTTGTGTCAAATGCGTATGGAGGAAAGGCTACTGATGGATTCATATCCAACGACTCCGGCTTTCTGAATTTAATTGAAGCTGGCGATCAAATTCTGGCAGATAAAGGGTTTCCACAAATAAATAGTGAACTATTGAAACGTCAATCAGTATTAATAATGCCACCATTCGCATATAATCCACAATTTTCTCGTGAAGAAGTTCTTCGTGGGTACTCGATAGCCTCTGTTCGAATTCACGTGGAAAGAGCAATTCAGAGGATAAAAATCTTTAAAATTTTAGAGCACATTTATATTGAATTATTGGATAATATTGATGACATTATATTCATGGCTTGTGTATTAGCTAATAACAAAGAACCGCTAATAAAAAAATGATTGGTTTTCAGCAAAGTAATGAAATATTTGAAGTAAAAATTTTCAATTTTTGGTATCACTTCACTCAAAAATTGTTCATCTCTTTGAATAATAATGTGCACATGATCTTCTAATGAATAAACAAAGAAATGACAGGAATTCAAACCAAGTACATATAAGGAAACTTGTACTTGAGTAAAATATTTATCAACTCTTTTGAGCGTAATCTCATTTCCACTATCATTCTCAAAAATTAAATACGGTACTTTAATTTGACGTGCTTCTAAATCAATTATTTTTGAATCTTTGCAACTACTCGGACATTTGATTTCCAATAACTCAAAAATGCCATGATTGTCAATAATGCCATCAGGACTACATGCTAAAAATGGTTGCTTTTTTGATATTATTAAACCAACGCGATGAACTGCTAGTCCTGTCAACTCTTCAAATTTTGATGCGGCGTTTGGTTCCATTTCTATGCCGTAACGCATATCTGGTGTTAATGCACCTTTAAATGATTGGTTTATAAATTGTTTTGCCAGTCCCTCTAAATTTGTTCTTCTGGTCTTGATTTGATGTGCTCTCTGACTGGAGGTGATTCTAACGAATCTTTCGGCAAACCAAACCTGTGTCTGTGATTGGCCAGTAGACTCTTGAGATATGTTTAAATACTGCGACAGACCAGTGCAAACATTTTTATAAAAATCGCCACAATGTAATGGGCAAGCTACAATTTTAAATCTATGCACCAAAGAATCGGACTTAATGATAGAATCATAGGCATGATATGTCGGAAAATCATTGTCTTGGAAACTATAAAGTTTCTCGAGCAAGTTTTGAACTTGAGCCTCTTTGCTACGTTTCTCAATTTCCCTAACCAATCTCAAATCATTACACTTTTTTTCCGCGTTAATCATTTCAAGCATCGGATTATTTTGTGTTAATTGCAACTCAGAAACATTCTGAAGCGTGTCAATTGTATATTTTTCCGGTTGCTGTATTTGAATCGCGGGATTCCTCATTTTTCGAATTTGACAGCCCTTCCTATACTTTTGTAATTGCTCATCAGTTGGTTTATGCCAAATCATAGGAAATAAATTTATACAAAAGATAATAACAATCAATTAAAATAGGCAGCCTCATTTACTCCCAATTATAATCCCTCGGGAATCAAAAACAATTAAATACCTAATTAAAATGTCTATATATATATAATACTTACATCTATTTACCTAAAATTGCCAAACGTGAAGTAGAAGTACGTCGAAAACAATGCCCTGTATATAATTTAGGATTATCTAATTTTAGATATTCCGCAATTTTTGAAGGAATTTGCCCGAATGTGTTTTTACCAACTGGATTAATTGCACATTTCCCACCCTTATAATAAATAAATAAACGATTATGCGGCGTGTGAGATGGCCGTAGTGCAAGATATTGATTAAATAATTGTATCTCATTAACACCATCAATTGATTCATCAGTAATAATAAAAGTAGTTGGCGAATTCTTTCTGTCGGGAATTGTCACCAGCAAACAATCAGCCATTATTTTGATGTCTTCTAATGCCATATTTGTTAACTCGCGTCGAGTGCATGCCCCGTGAAGAGCCATTATTAAAGCAACCTGTTTATATATAACCGTTCAGTATAAAATTATTATAAACAATTTGCAATTGTATTTACCTTCATCATTAAATAATTCGAATCTGGAGCCTCTTTTAAAAACTGTTGGCACTCTGTATCATTTAGAGTTTTTGTTTGTTTCGGTGCATACCCTTTTGAGTTTTGTTTTAAAAATGCCTGAACTTTGTGAAACTGCCCAATATCAATATTTTCTTTTATTTTCAGCATGCATTTCAACATTGAAAACTCTGACCATAACGATGCAGAACATATTGCTTTACTTCTCTCCAAAACATAAGCATGCAAAACATTTTCGGTGGTTTTTGTTACTTGTTTTGTAGCTTTCCATTGAGAATAACAATTGTAGTGATTTTCATATCTTGCTTTTGATTTAGCAGGTAAAGTATTTTCGGCAGAGCTTGAAGTTAGTTCTAAAACATTAAAATTGTTTAAAATCAAAAATACAAATTCAATGGTGTTAAACTCACCGGTTTCATTTGAACCAGTTTGTGTATCATTTAAAGATTCCTGAGGAACCAAAAGACTGTCTTCTTCATCTTGAAAATTAAAGTTTTCATAATCCTGTTCTACCTTGATATCAAAACTGTTATCATCATCATCAGACTGAAGAGTTTCCACTTGAGATGAACATTGATTAGGATCTATTAGGACATTTTCAATAATAGTTTGATCTGGGATCTCCTCTGGCTCTGCTTTTACCCCATAACTTTGTTGTCCAATATTATTCTCATGAGTTGGATAAACTGGTGGAGATTCCAACATCACTTCACATATTGAGGTGTGAGAAACTTCTACTTCTACTGAACTCTTGCATTTCTTTGCAGAATGAGCAGCTTCATGATCATTTCTAGATGAAAACTTATTCTCATTTGTGGGTGGGTTATCAAGTGATCTTTTTAACGACAATTGCTTTCTTTGCTCTGCATATCCTGAGACATTAGCTAGACCTTTAATTTTTAATGCTTTTCCTGTTGCCAGAAAATCTTGGAAATGTTCTTCTAGAATCTGTACTTTGCCCTCATACATAAAACATAACAGACTTTTCATAACTTGGTAGCTTACATCTTTCAAAAAGAATATTGGATGTTGACATGGGTTGCATCTAAATAACTCCTCAAAATAGTTGCTAAATATGGAAAGGATAGTTTGATGGGCTTTGAAGAATTTTCCATCTACTGCAAGTGTGACATCTGCATTGGAGGCATTTGCAAGCAGTGAACACAGACCATAATTGAGATGAGTTAAATGTTCATTATACTTTAGGTCCAGTGTGGTCATTTTATAAAGAAATTATTTCTAAAACACAAACATAAAAAAGTCAAATCTTAATATAAAAAGTACATAAAGTTAAATTATGAAGAAAATAGTACTTACCACACCTTCTACAGAATCTGCGTGAATAAATTGTATGTTTTTTGTTATTATATTTCTTTTCAATCTGAATTACAAATAACATTTTATTCTTAAATCATTAATAGCTCATTCTGTGTATGTCTCATTAGAAGTTTTAGTCTTTGCCATTGGCTGGTAGCCGGCACTTACTCTCAAATATTAGTTAATTATTCAATACAGAAGTTGTATTATTAATTTTTGCTTCAGCACTCTTAATCCACCCCCAATTGAGTCTATTATTCTAGTCTTGACCACTTCATACAAGATGTTTGTATGCAACACGCAAATCACTTTCACTTTGTCCCTACCACCCTCAACGGTGGCGCCGTATCTTCTTTGAAGCTTGGTTTTGGCGGGAATTCTATCGTATCGTTCAACCTGTACATTACATTTTGTTTCACAACACTTCGAATTTTTGTTAATTATGTTTAAGTGAAAGTGATTAATTGTTAGAAATTTACCACAATGAGCGACTATCCAGATCCTGATGAAGAATTTGAGTTGATGTACGGCGATGACTTGGATTTGCTGAATTCACAACAAGCAGAAAACTCGTCATTTAATACTGGACAAGTAACTGAAAGCCAATCTGTTAGCAAAAAGCGATCCGTTAATGAATTATTTGGAGATATTGATGATATTGAAGATGATTATCATATAAAGGAAATTGAGTTGCCCAAACCCAAAAAACTTAAATCATCTCAAGATGATAATATAGAAAAATTGGCGCTAATTGAACATATATTGGAGTTGAGAAAACAGGCACAAGAAAACTTATACAATACTGGTTCAGACAGCTTAAAGCAAAAACATAGAACAGTGTATAGAGATAACATTGCTGATAATATAAGCTGCAGAGTACCACAATATCCTTTTAAAGTTGTCACATCAACTGAGGGTGAGAGATTTTATGTTAGAACTCATTCAGAAAAATACTGGGAAGAGGAGGTGAAGAATGTATCTAAGTTACTTCCTTATGGGTCTAGTATTGGACCATTAGGTGTAGATTTTGATAATATCTGGAGGGAAGCACAGGAAAATCTTACAAATAAATCTGATGTAAGCATAGTAACACCTATTTCTAATGATAAAAATGATGGTCTATGGGTGGAAGTATACAAGCCTAAGAAATACATTGATTTGCTTAGTGATGAAGCCACTAACAGAACACTACTCAGATGGATTAAATTGTGGGATAGAATTGTTTTTAATAGAAGAACAAAGATATCTGCAAATTTAACACAATTTCAAAAGAATATTTTTGAAATTGAGCCAGATCATAGACCAAAATATAAAATAGTTTTATTGGCTGGGCCACCTGGTCTTGGTAAGACCACACTAGCACATCTTGTTGCACTACATGCAGGATATAAACCCATGGAGGTCAATGCAAGTGATGATAGAAGTCCAGATTCTTTTAAAAAAGTTTTAGAGAATGCAACAACTATGACATCAGTGTTAGATGTAGAAAAAAGGCCGAATTGTGTTATATTTGATGAAATAGATGGAGCACCCACAAGCGCCATTGATTATTTATGTAAATATATTCAGGGTGGAATTAAAGAAAAAACTAAACAGGCAAAATCCACCGCCAACAAACCCGGTGAGAAGAGTGGTAACAAGAAAATGCTGAGAAGGCCTATAATTGCAATTTGCAATGATGCTTATGTCCCAGCTCTCCGAGTATTGCGACAAATTGCTTTGGTGTTGCATGTGCCTGCTATCAATGCAAACCGACTAACGCAACGTTTAATCGAAATAAGCATGAAAGAGGATATTCGAATTAATCGACATGCTTTAACAACTCTTGCGGAAAAGTCGAATTGTGATATACGAAATTGTCTGTCTTTATTACAATTCTTTAAAGTGCAAAACGATGGCATTTTTGCATCGAATTCGGTAACACTGGAACAAGTTCTGAATATTAATCACTCCAAAGATGTAAACAAAGGATTATTTCAAGTATGGTCCGATATTTTTCATCTGCAGCGAAATAAAGATAAAACTTTTCCAACAACCGAGGAGCGCTCGCTTAAAATACAGTTGGCCACTAGCCATTTTGATTTTGATAAATTATCCGCTGGTGTCTTTGAAAATTACGTTAGATTAAGTTCGGTAAAAGATAATATAAAGAGCGCTAAAAGGCACTGGAATGGTTCAGTTGGACGGATATGTTAGACAAGCAAATTCATCAATCACAAAATTTCCAGTTGAGCGGTTACTTAACATGGGGTTTTGTTCAATGGCACTTCACATTTGCTAATTTACCTAACAGCCATAATCAACCTTCGTTTCCGAAGAAGTTTCCGAATTCCAATCGTCCAGGCGAAAAAGCGTTTGGAGCCCCGGGAAGTACAACGAATGCAAATAACGATAATCATAAAATAATATTTCCTTCTAATATTTCTGATGTGCGAAGTCGCTCGCAAAAAATGGATGCCACTATATCAGACGTATTAAACCACACGTCTGCACAAATTCGTGCTTACGTTACAAAAAATACTCTTGTATTAGATCTGATCCCTATGCTTGGGTACATTATAAATCCATTGCTACGGCCGGTTAACTTACATTTATATACTCAGAATGAGAAAGATGAATTAGCTCGAGTTGTTAACACGATGATCGATTACGGATTGAATTATATACAGGAACGAACTTTGGAAGGCACCTACTCATTTAATCTTGGTAAGTTGGTTTTATTTTGAAATATGCCAAGTGTTAAATGTGCTTTGTTGTAGATCCGAATATTGAGGAATTGGCAAAGTATTCCACAACAAATAAAAGTAGTGCAATGAGATCGCTGTCGTATTCTAATCGGCAATTAGTTGCAAGAGAAATAGAGTTAGAGAAAATGCGGAGATTAGAATTAACGAAGCATAAAAATACGACTGCTTCCAATGAGAAAAGGATTGAAAAGGATAGCGTGCGACATTGTAAAGAAATAGAAAATGTTCAAATACCGAATCATTTGGCAAAACTGACACCTAAGAAAATTAATTTAAAACCAAAGCAAGACAAAAAGTTTTTCACGTTTCGTTTAAATAGCAGCGATGACGGCAAAGTAGAGTCCACTGGAAAAGGTACATATTTCTTTAAAAATAAATGTATTTGAAATCTATGTATCTATCATATTTTAGGTGGTTTTCGATCAACGGGCATTTACTTCCAGTTCAAAGAAGGACACACAAATGCAGTGAAGAAAACAATTAAAATTTCTTCGCTGCTTTCTTAATAATTCCGTGTACATGTCTACTAATTTTGTATCATAAACTATCGCTCTTTATATATTAGTTTCTACGTTTTAGTTTTTGTTATCTCCACCATATTGTACTTTTAAAGTAGCCAGGAATGTTTCTGCTGCACTTTTAGTCGGTAGGCAGGGGCCGAACGCTTGCAACAAAAGCGGTTCCTTTTCCACGGTTTCCTGAAAATCAAGCTTGGAAACTTTGCCATCTGCATCGACGTCTATCTTTTTAAGCACTATTTCCACCAATTCTTTAACTCCTTCATCGGGATCTTCATCTTGCGGGTGCTTTATCAAACAATTTCTATTTGAAGAACAAAATGGTATAATTAATGTAATAATAAATAATGTTTAAAATAAAACAAGTAAACCCAACCTGAGTAAAATGAACATTTCTTCCTTTGTTATGTACCCGTCCGAGTTAACATCGTAAATTGCAAAGCACATTTCGATTTGTTCGTGTAACGTCCCTTTGAGAAAAACGCTCAAACCCTGAAACCATTCTTTTAAAGTGATTACACCGGAACTTTCGAAATCCCACACTGCGAAAATTCGATCGGTAAGTATATCCTCGGTAACTATACCAAAAGTATTGTGAAGTAGTTCACAGAATACGTTGCGATTAATACCCTGAAACGCACAACTTTGAATTGAAATTTAAATTGAGCAATTAAGGATAATCGAAACACGAAAGTTTTAATTACTTGGTGGTGCAACGACTTATGTATAGCTCCACCGGCGCCACTCGAACGATCACTGTGTGGTTTGTTTCGATCCATTGCAACTAATTGCTGATGGATTTTATATAGGGACTCGATTTCCATTCTAGAAGTAAGTATTATAATCACAGAATTTTATAACAGTTTAAAATAAAAACTTACTTATTAAAATGTGTATCCTTTTTGATTTGATCAAACAGTTTTGGTGTAATTTTGTTCTTTGCATCTTTCGCCTCCTGCATTTTCTTGCTTTTACTTTTTGGTGGAGATTTAGTTTTGCGCGAGGACGAAGGACTAGAGCTTTTGGCGCGGCTGTTCGCCAAGAAAAGGGAAATACTCTTCAAAACAAGCGCCCCACCGCGCAAACTCAACGCGGCACTCATTGTTTCGTATCTTCTTTATTCAGCGTGTCACGCTTTAAGACGGCTTCCACTCGTAGATAATAAAAAGTGCAATAATTCCGCACTGCACGCTGAAAACGTGACAAAATATTGATTTTTTCCTTCTCCACACCATTTATATTAATGCAGTCAATTTGCGTACAAGTATTCATCAAATAACAATACATTTGCATATCCCTGCTCCCTCCAAATTTCATTAATAAATTGTTTCCCATCGAACAAAGAAACTTTGTTCCCTAAACTTGAAGTTGATTGATGAGTTGCCGTGTATCACTCCGTCAGCATCTAATCATACAAAGTTATGAAAGAATAAAACCACACTAAAACTTAAGGCTGAAATCGCGGCACAGTACAAAAGTTTAACGATATTTCGAGGAAACGTTCTATTGATGAGCGTTGACTGTGATTACGTACAGGAACGCCAACTAACAGGATCACGCAACGTCTGTAACATTCACGCAATTCTATTTTTTATTTCTTTATTTTTTATTGTTTTGACGAATAGAATATGCTATTAGGATAGTACATGATAGTACATAAGGCAATAGGAATGAGGTTTATATATTTTTACCGTGCTGTGTGGAAAGTAAAATCACATTTCTTTTGCTATTGGTGCCTTACCTTGTCAATCAAAACTTGGAGATTCTGCACTATGCTCAATGAAGTTTTAATAATTAATATTTAAACAACAAATTAGTCCAAATTTTGTAGTGCTTGTTAGGCAAGTAACTTGACCATGAATACTGTAATCATCGCGTAAATATGATTGCATATTCGCATGTTTCCCATATTATCGAACAAACTTTCCGTTCTATTCCAATCCACCTTTGCGTCACCCTAGACAAAACTCTCGAATGAGCGAAAAACACATTTTGGTTGTAAATGTTTATTGCTTGAAATAAAATAATGTACCAGGATTAATATTTGTGTTTGTGCTAACACCATGAATGTAATAAATATATTGCGTCCCGGCAATGTAGAAAATTCGTTTCTTATGAAATTCCGTTACTTTTACTCCATGAATTGGTTGTATTTTGGGTAAATCTACACGTTTCGAATATTTGTTAATGTCAAATACGGTCCAATCAGAAACTTCATAGAAGAGAATCTTCCCACTCATAAAACACAATAGCAGTGTACTACCATGTAACCAAATAGAATTAATTTCTTCTTCAAATGTATCGTAAGGCCTGAACATTTTTGTTGATTTCAGTACTGCGTTGTTACCAAGATGAAATATTTCCAGAATCTGCTCATCTGTTCGAAATCCTGTAATATTTGTAAATATCTTTATATAATGTACCATTAAAACGTGCCTTAAATGTATATTTACCCCAGTATAATAAAAATATAATATTTTCAAATATCCATGTACGAAATATCCCAAGAATAGAGTTATAGTTAATTGCTAAATGAAGTTGAGCTAAATCGATTATATGTCCGTAAGAACTATTACTGGTTTTGTAATAAACTATTTTTACGTTATTATCAACCATTATTATACATTCTGTGCTTGTCATAGTAGTAGATACGCATGCATCATCATTATAATCGGCTGGTAAAGATAATTCAAGATTGTAGGACATTTTGCGTGTGCAATCATCACTGCATACTGCAGCAATCATTAGGATACTATTGTATATTCCACAAAAATATTGCCGAAACGCACTGAATCCTTGATAATATTTAAAAATTCCATGATCATATATTGCACTGATATCACTAATGAACACATCGCATTCAAATGCTGTAAGTAAGGCCGGGGGTTCTTCACTCTGATCTACAATAATTACAAAAATTACAAAAATGTGTTAATATTTATTTATATTATTTACCATCAGATACTAAATGAATTGCTTCAATCTCATTCAAATTATCAAATTTAAACTCTCTGATAAATGTTGAATTATGATCGTATACTCTTACTATGCGTTCAAATGCAATTGCAATGCATTTGCCTAAAAAATACTTTATTACATTGGAATAATTTATATGTTTCAAATTATTATAAATTTCAGATCGATAAATAAAAACAAAAAAATATGACAAATTTATTATAACCCACCCAATAAATATTATGTTAATGCTATTTATTTTACCTCCTACAGAAATATGGGATATATTTTCATCTAGATCTTTAACTTCTTGCAGTGAAAAAAATACTCCGTTTGTGAAAGAGATGTTTTCTTCCATATTCTTCCAGTATTTCCAATTATCATATAACTCGCATAGTTCTAAAGTACCATTCCACGCAGTTTTAAACGAATCGAATTTTCGTAATGGAATTTCTTGTCTGCATTGCTTCTATGTAATAAAATAATTGTTATTGCAAACGAAAATACTTATTACATAACTCACTTTTATTAAATAATCAGCTATACGGTTCCATGCACAGTTTACATCTTTTGCATTTTTCAAAGTATTATAATCGCAGTAATTTAAAATTGTCTCTAGAACTTCTGGGGGTAATAATTTTAAATTATCATTCATTATGAACTTTTGATGTGCTTTATGAGGAATAACAAAATAGCAATTTAATTAAATAATGTTCAACTTATTTTTTCAGTTTATTCAATGTAGATCATAATAATGATCATATTTACCTTTTACTTAATTTACACTGGACGCTATTTGCGCAATACTTTGTTTATCAACGTTAGTCCTTGAAAGCTCGAAAAGCTCGTCAGATCAGTAAGTGACCTAACCTTATAATATGTTTACAATCCTCATTAGTATTTCGCATATACTTTGCGGCGCCAACTACAAAAAATGTTTTGTTCAATACCTGGCGGAAATATAAAAGGTAATATATATTGAATACACTTTCATACAAATAAAATTACCTTGTTGAATGTATGTATATTTTTAGTTGTGAACAAGTCCATTGAAACTCTTTCTAAGTTGTCAGATGAAGTACATATCGAATGCACTGAGACTTCATTGATATTTGCTGCACATAATGTTACAAAAACGTCCTATGCCAAATATACCTTCTATGCAAGTTTTTTTCTCCATTATGAGTGTAATACTGAGCCTAATAAACCAATGGCATGCAAAATTACAAATAGAGCTTTAATGATGATATTCAAGAGGAAAATGGAAAAGAAGATTGAATCTTGTAAGATTAACTTGAAATATGGGGATGACAGTATTGTATTTCAACTTAGATATAAATCTGGCATCACCACCACTCATACATATTATTTACTGAATTGGGAGCATACTGTGTGGGGCTGTGATAGTGATCCAAACAGTAACAAAATTATTTGTAAAAGTGCTTTATTATTACATGTGCTAAGCAATTTTAAGGCAAAAGACACTCACCTTTATGTGGATGCTAATGAAGATAACATTATATTGAGAAACTATGGTGAAAATGAAAACAATTTAAAAATAGTACACTCACAGATAAAATTACATAAAGGTGAATTTCGTTCTTATGATGTGCGTCACAAGTGCAGTTTTATGATTCCTGTGAGAGCCCTTAGATCAGTAATCTCATATGCAGACGTTTTGGCATTGCATATATTACTCTCCTTTACTAAAGGTGTCAAGTATGTTTATTCAATTATTTTTTAGATACCTGCTATAAAATTAATTTTTTTGTAGTCCTTTAATTATTTCTGTGGAACAGGAGAATTGTAATGGATATTGTGTGATTTCTGCATTGCCCTTGGATGGCACTCAGTCTACCAATTCACTACAAATAACGCCAAGTTCTACCTATATTAGCCTTCAAAGAAGTGTGGATAGTCAAGAAAACAATATGGAAGTTGATACAGTGGAAGATTCAATTGGATCAAATCAAGACGGACGGAATCGTCTCCTAGCTCAACTCACTATTAATGAAAATCAATCATTAGCACACATGGAACCGCATTTTGAAGCAGAACTTGACAATAGTCGGGTAATAAGACCCGAAGTGTTACATATATTTGGTCGGTGTTTTGATCCCACGTTTCATGCGTCACAAGTGGATGTAGGCAAAGTTTTATGTGAAAATAGTGATACAGATAGTGACTAAAGTATTTAGTATTTGATATTAGTGAAATGCAGCTAACTGAAAAATGTATTATATATTTTTTCAAAAATTGAATATACATGTTTTTTAAATAAACATTAATTTAATAGTAATAAATTGTTTTTTGATAAATTTTTTACTTTTTTTAAATTAAAATTTATTATATTTTAATTAATTTATTGCCTTTTTATATTAAAATAATCAATGTATTTCAAGCGTATTGGATCAAATTCGCATGACGCATAATGTGACAATCCTGCCCTTATCTTCGCTCCTAAGAAGTATACGAATTTTAATTCTGTTCTTTGAATCTGATTGGATCGGTTCTAGTCGCTGTCAGGTTGGCAGCTGTCAATTGCCGCTAGCTGTGAACGAATGTGAATGTAGCCAATCTGTGAGAATAATACTTCTTAGCGGTCGAAGTGCGGTGGAAGTCTACCGAAGTATTTTATAAAATTCGATTTGCAGAATGTTCTAATTGTGATTAGTTTATTACTTTGTATATACATACATGGAGCACTTACTTAGGGGCCGCTTTGGGTATGTACAGATTATCTAGCCGCATTTATGTAACGTAAACATTCGCAGGTTATAATTACATCTTTTTACATTATTATCAATTATTTCAGCCGTGTTATAATAAGTACGTATGCGAATAATCCCTTAAAATATGGAAGGAATGCTGTCCCAAAACGACACATGGGAACCCTTTGGGCAGGCCGAGCGCTGGACAGATCAAGACCACTTTTATGTCTTATCAAATTCAGCAGAGAAGGCAGTATGGAATGCTGATAGCAAGGGCAGTACGCGGCGTTCTCAAGTTGAGGTACCTAGTTCTTGGAGGAGCTGTTGGAGGTGGAGTAACACTGCAAAAAGTTAGTTGTCACATCATAAACTTTTTGGGATTTTGTTATAATCTAATGTTTCTTAAAGAAATATCAAGATTGGAAGGAAGGACTACCTGACATGAAATGGTTGGATGATGTTATGCCTGATAATGATAAGTGGCAGCAATGGAGAGGCAACCTGATACAGCTTAGAGATAATGTAAAAGACAACATTGAGATAGGTACAGTTTTATTTTAATACTTTCCTAGCATTTTGATGAGATGTAGTTTTTGGTATTTGCTGACTATTAGTACATAAAAGTTTAAAAAATATTTGTATATCTATGACAATGTCTCTGTGGCATTTCATGTGATCATTAGATCCTAGACTAAAGGCTCTCACTGAGAATAAGTACAAGGACTTCCGTTCGTGGTTCGATCAAAGATTGGATGACGCCATTGCCGCAGCCGAGCAATCCAATGGCAACAATAAAGCAATTGGTAAGAGTGGCGGTGCATCATCACTTGAGTACAATCTTTTGTCAAAAACTCGGATTTGTTTTCTTTTTGTTTTAAGGGCTCCTTGATCATCTTTCAAATCAGGCCGAAAGACTGTACTCAGGTACGATGCATCGGTATCAAAATTGTTTGGTAGTCTTGTTACATGCTTTATTTGGTATAACGTTCATTTTTCATTTACTTAACTTTTTAAACATAACCGAGTTGTTGTGGTTATTATAAAAGTTATTTAATTTAGAATCGAAAGAAGAGATCAAAAAGAAAACGGTGGTGCATGCGCTGCCGTTCAGTCAAACTGCAACCAATGATGAGGCTGTTCGGAAACGAGCCCAGGAACGTTTGGATGGACTTCAAGATGAAATGATGGCTACGCAAATCAAGTACCAACGGGAACTGGAGAAACTAGAGAAGGAAAACAAAGAATTGCGCAAGCAAATTATTTTGTTGCGTCAGGGAAGAAAACCTAGCACAAGACAAGTCAAGCGCAGTTTAATTGGTATGTATCAAATATTCGTGAATATTTATTTAAGAAATAATTATTATTCATATCTTAGATATGTATAGTGAAGTCTTGGATGAGTTAGCAGACTTCGACTCGGGCTACAACACTGCCGACCAGCTACCACGAGTTGTGGTCGTTGGTGATCAAAGTAGTGGTAAAACATCTGTGTTGGAAATGATTGCCCAAGCACGCATCTTTCCACGTGGTGCAGGAGAGATGATGACCCGCGCACCTGTTAAGGTTACTCTTTCGGAGGGCCCTTATCATGTGGCGCAATTTCGCGACTCTAGTAGGGAGTTTGATCTCACCAAAGAAGCTGACTTGGCCGAACTTCGTAGAGAGGTAGAATTGCGTATGCGTAATAGTGTCAGGGGTGGAAAGACAGTATCTAGCGAGGTGATCTCGATGACTGTGAAAGGGCCTGGATTGCATCGCATGGTGCTTGTGGATTTACCTGGAATTATATCCACACAAACCACTGACATGGCGTCGGATACTCGGGAAAGCATTAAAGCTATGACACAGTCGTACATGAGTAACCCGAATGCGATTATATTATGTATTCAAGATGGAGCTGTAGATGCCGAGCGAAGTAATGTTACCGATTTAGTTGCACAGTGTGACCCTAGTGGCAAACGAACAATATTTGTGCTCACGAAAGTAGATATGGCCGAAGAGAATCTTGCAGATCCAAATAGAGTATGTTTAATTTTACCATTATATAACAATTTAACTATATTAATATATTTTAGATAAGAAAAATATTAAGCGGTAAACTGTTTCCCATGAAAGCACTGGGATACTTTGCTGTTGTGACCGGTAGAGGACGTAAAGACGATGCCATTCAGACGATCAAAGATTACGAAGAAACATTCTTTAGAAATTCAAAACTCTTTAAGTAAATATAAAACATTATAAAAATTTATTCTTATTAAAATTACTAAAATATTATATGATTTTAGGGACGTTGTTAAATCGACTCAGGTAACTACCAGAAATTTAAGCTTGGCTGTTGCTGATTGTTTCTGGAAAATGGTGCGAGAGACAGTTGAACAGCAAGCAGACGCTTTCAAAGCGCGACGTTTCAATCTTGAAACCGAATGGAAGAATAACTTTCCACGTCTGCGGGAACAAGATCGTGACGAATTGTTTGAACGCGCCAGAGCTGAAATACTTGATGAAGTTGTGAACCTATCTCAAGTACAAACAAAACAGTGGGAGGACAGTTTAATGGACAAAATATGGGATAAAGTATCTGCGCATGTGTTTGAAAGCGTCTATCTTCCTGCTGCCCAAACTGGAAGTCAAGGTAATGTAAAATAAAATAAAAACTATTAACAACCATTTTATTTCTGGTATGAATTTAGAAACGTTCAACACATCTGTTGATATTAAACTCCGCCAATGGGCCGAATCCGAACTTCCTATGAAAAGCGTTGAGTCCGGCTGGGAAACTCTGCAAGCTGAGTTTATTCAATTCATTAATAAGTCGAAACAGGCACCAAACCATGATGACATTTTTGACTTACTTAAAGATGCGGTTATTAGTGAAGCGATTAATAGACACTCGTGGGAATCAAAGGCGGCTGAGGTACTGCGTGTGATTCAGTTGAATACTCTGGAAGATCGTACTGTAGGCGACAAACGCGACTGGGATCAAGCAGTTAAATTCCTCGAATCGAGCGTGAAGGACAAGTTAAAAGAAACAGAGATGGATTTAAAATCGTTACTAGGTCCGTCCACAAAGGAAAGATGGATGTACTGGAAAAGTTTATCGGATGAACAGACTCGCCGCAATTGTGTGAAATCCGAATTGGATAAGATAATTTATTCAGATGAGAAACATCCACCTATGCTTAGCTATGATGAACTCACGACCATTAGAAAAAATCTTCAAAGAAGTAATGTCGAAGTGGACAACGAATTCATTCGCGAAATATGGAAACCAGTGTACCGGAGGCATTTCTTAAAGCAGTCCCTTACAAAAGCGTACGACTGTCGAAAAGCGTTTTACATGTATCATCAACAGATGGATGTTGACTGCGGTGATGTGGTATTGTTTCATCGTATTCAACAAATGATGAAAGTCACTTCCAACGCACTACGGCAGCAGATTATGAACAGAGAAGCTAGACGCCTAGATAAGGAAATTAAAGAAGTGCTGGAGGATTACAGTCAGGATAACGAAAAGAAAGAAACACTCCTAACTGGACGACGTGTGACGTTGGCAGAGGAACTAAAGAGAGTGCGTCAGATTCAAGAGAAATTAGAGGAATTTATTCAAGCTCTAAACAAAGAAAAGTGAATCCGGTACCTGCATGAGCATGTGGCCAATTAGACTTTTACATTGTGTTTACTATCGTTGAAATATTATTATCTTTCCCATTATTTTACATTTTCTATGCAAACGATTTTTTGGTTATCATATTTTTAAGATTTCAGTTCGGGTAAAAATAATTATTTTTACCCAATCTAATGGGTTTTAGTACCGCTATTTTTCAAGATGTCATAAGAAATTCCACAAGATTGTGCTTTTAATCACAGTTTGGTGTTGTAACATGTGAAGTGGAGATAGCATAATAACATTGTTTGATTGATTGGTTTCAGACCAAAGATGTAATATACTTGTTGCAGATCTAAACATTTGAAAATGCTCATTACAGGACCCTTTCCGTTGACTACATTGGTTATGACAATTTTGTCCTCTGTATTAAACATATCACTAATTGATCATTCTTAAAACGGCCGAAAGCTCTAAAAGTTGTCACAAGCCAAGTCACAATTTTTATGTTTTTAAGAACAGCATACATAATTGTGCGAGATTTTTAGAAAATTTTATAATGGACAGGACAGGACAGGCGAATATGCAATTAATCAAAACGCTGATAAAATTAATAGGTTTATTTTTAACTCTTTACAGATACCTAGCGAAAAGTTATTATTGTGAATAATTATGATGACTTAGCAATCACACATAGCAACTAACCAACATATTACTTAAATCAATAATTAAATACCGTAATTATTACCCTTTACAATTATTACTAACAATTATTAATTAAAAATCAATTCAAACGATTTAGTTTGGTAATTTGAACATTAGATAAATTGTTTTACGTTTTATAATTTTTTTTAACATGCTTACGCAATACTGCATACGAAATTATTTAGTTTTGCGTTCGCACATCTGAATCAAAATTCCATTATTTGACTTTAAAATTGATTCTGCCGACAGCCCCAATGTGTGAAAAGGTACTGTCGGTTTAAGTTCAAAGTGTCGGACAATTTTTGAAAGCGTCATTTTCATTTCTAAAATCGCAAATTTCTGTCCAATACAATTCCGGGGTCCGGCGCTAAATGGAACAAAACTGTAGGGATGTTTACCCATATTATTTTCTGGAAGAAATCGATCTGGATTGAACTTATGGGGATTCGGAAAGAATTCTTCATCGCGATGAATGTCATTAGCAAAGACTAGAACCGTAAAACCAGAAGGAAGTTTTACATCTTCAGCTGAAATAAAGATACAAATTATGTTTTATTCTGAATGCTTGATTGATATTCAAAAATTACTTATTTGAAACTCTTCAGTCGTTTGTCTTCCATAAAATGGTACTGATGGGTACATTCTCAAAGTTTCTTTTATGACCATTTCTAAATATTTCATCTGGTTCAAGTCATTGTAGGATATTTCACTAGTATTATCTGCAAAGATATCAGCTTGCTCGTCCAATATTTTCTTCTGGACATCGGGATTGTTTGCAATTTCATACAAAGCAAAACTTATCCCAGAAGAAGTTGTATCATGTCCCTCAAACATGAACGTATCAACTTCCTCTTGAATAGCTTCATTACTTAGAGGTTCGCCATTTTCGTCTGTACTCTGCAGTAAAAGATCCAAAAACGCAACACGTTTTTGGCACCAATGTCATTATCTTGATCGATATTTTTCTCATCTTTAATTTTAAGTAATTCATCTCGTCTATTTTTAATAACAGATTGAGTATGACCGTGCAAAATACGTAAACATTCCCTCTCGGTTTTATAGTTTTCCGTAAAACTATAAAGCCACTCATATTGTTGATTTGGTTTAAACACACGATCGATGATTATACGACCCATAGTTTTTACACTTTGGACATACGCTGATGTTTTGTTTATTTGCGCATTTACCGGGACTCCCATTGCGGTCTCTATAAAAATGTTGTTTTATTTTTAAATTATTCGTCATGCGTAGATAATTTATAAGTTACCGCAAATGACATCCAGAGTACTTAATGTAACATATGGATAAACATCGACGGCTGATTTTTGCGGTTCCTTTTTAAATTCTTCAATTAAAAGATTACTAACTTTATCAAAAATTGGCACAAATTGTTCCAAAATCTGAAAATGGTACGATGGGGTCAGGATACGACGACGCTGCTTCCATTTTGTACCGCTGCTTGTGAGCAATCCTAATTTTAGCCATTTATAGAAAAATCTATAAAACAGTGATTTCTTCAACAGCTTATGTGAACCCAAAACGCTTTCTATAGCTTTGTAATCCGCCACGATTAGAACCGGTTCAATTCCAAGCATCAATTTTACGAGTTTGCCATGTTTTTTTATGTAGTTTGTGATTGTCGGTAAAATGGCTGCAAATTTTCCATTGATAAAAATCCACATATCATTTATTAATTATTATGTTATTTAAATTTACTTTTAGTAAACAATGTTTTGTTATATGTATAATCAGGAAAAAAATATGGCTATCATTGACATTATAATTAAACTTACTATCGCAACTGCTAAAGTCCAATGCACTTCCCAAAATAGGTAATGGCGTTGGCCCGTTAACATTAACCAGCGTGCGCATACAATAGTAATAATAAATATACCACGATACGATTGTAACTACAATCGTAGCACATATTATCAATAGAGCAAACATTATATTCGCGTGTGCAGTCAATCGGCTGCTAAATATCACTAAGTAAACTGCGAAACTGTGCGCTGCAACGAACTACAGCAACAAACCATGAACGTTTCTATTATCGGTATAAGATTGCACATATATACTGGTGCATTTGTGTGCATAACACGTATAGAACATCATTGACCTTCAACTTAGGACTTGTTTATAAATTTATAACTAATTATCGTAATTCGTAATATGAATTGCATTACTCAGTGAAAAAAAATATATTGATAACAGCGAAATATGACTTGGATATATTCTTCTCCTAAAAGCATTCTAACTGTACACGAGTAAAGTACTGATACCATGTTTGTAAATAATTTTTATTATCACATTTGCATAATAGTGCGTCTTACATTCACAGCACGGCAAATGCAAAGAACATTCGCTGATTAAGTATGCGCAGTATGACGACCATAAACACTTAGTGTTCTATTTTTAAAGTTCCGATGAATCGATCTTGCATGTCATGAAGTACATTAGTGTATCAAGAAAATATAATTGAATTTACATTATGTGAGACGGTCCCTAACAAGGAAAAACAATTCTTTGTGCGACTCGCATTTTAAAAGCTTAATTAAATGAGATTCTTTTAAAATTAATTTATTGAATTAATGGACTCGTATACATATTTACAAAAAAATTATATATAAAATATTTAAGTATAAATTTAATTTCATTTAATTTTTTTAATTTAATGTTTTTATTTACATTTATTTCCTTTCCTTGATTTTAATTATAATGCCGTTATCCGATTTTAGAATCGTCTCGGAAGTAAGGTCTAGTTTATGTGCAGGTACAGTGGGCAACAATTCAAAATTACGAACCATTTTGGATAATGTCATTTTCATCTCTAAAAATGCAAACTTCTGCCCAATACAGTTTCGTGGACCGGCACTAAAAGGAACAAAACTATATGGTGTTTTTCCTAAATTGTTCTCTGGTAAAAATCGGTCCGGAATGAATTTGTTAGGTTCCGGAAAATATTTTGGATCACGCTGTATCTCATACGCCACTAATGTAATAGTTACTCCTGGCGGAACAGTTACATCATCATCTAAAAATAAAGCAAGTTTTATATGCATTCATTGACAGATAAATAGAATGCGCTTACTAAGTTTCAACTCAGTCATAGTCTCTCTTCCATAGAACGGCACAGAAGGATATAGACGTAGAGTTTCTTTAATAACCATTTCAAGGTATTTCATCTGGTTAAGATCACTATAAGTGATCTCGCGATTTTCACCAGCAAAAATATCATTTTGTTCTTCAAGAATTTTCTTCTGCACATCTGGATTATTTGCAATTTCATAAAGAGCAAAACTAATACCGGAAGCAGTGGTGTCATGTCCTTCAAACATAAAAGTATCTACTTCCTCACGAATGTCTGAATCACTTAATGGTTGCCCATTTTCATCTGTGCATTTGAGCAGTAAATCGAGAAAAGCAATTCGTTTCTTTGTACCGAACTGATCAGTCTCCACTTCGTTTGTTTGATTCTTAGCTAATTCCGCACGTCGATTATTGATTACTGCATTTGTATGTCCGTGAAGAATCCCCAAACATTTCTTTTCGGTTCTGTAATTTTTAGTAAATTGATACAAGAAGTCGAATTGTTCATGCGGATTGAAACTGCGATCTATCACAATACGTCCCATTTCTTTAACGCTTTGCACGTAAGCAGAGTGTTTATCTCTTTGGGCATTCACAGTAACGCCCATGGCAGTTTCTGAAATATTTAAGTAATTGAAGCAGTTGTGTTTAATAGAACTAAATAAACATACCACATATTACATCCAATGTACTCAGAGTAATGTAAGGATAAACATCCACTGCATCTTTGCGTGTTTCCTTCTTAAATTCGTTGATTAAAATATCACTGACTCGGCTAAAGATTGGTACAAATTGCTCAAGAATTTGAAAGTGATACGCTGGTGTCAAGATGCGCCTTCGCTGTTTCCATTTACTACCACTGCTGGTTAACAGTCCGAAACCTAACCAATTGTGTAAAAAGTCATAAAAAGTTGATTTGTTTAGAACTTTGTTTGAGCCAAGCACAGCTTCCATTGCTTTATAATCGGCGACGAGAAGAATTGGCTTGAAAGCAAGAAAAACCTTCACGAGTTTTCCGTGCTCTTGAAATAGTTCTGAAAACCTTTGCAAAATTGCTAGAAAAACAAAACAAAAGTTTAAATCTTGATTTTTTAATAATTTAATATAATTACTTACTGTTCCGACTTTTGAATTCCATAGCATTTCCCAATAGCGGTAATGGCATTGGACCTCTAACATTTTTCATCGATTTTGTTATATTGTGATAGCGATAATAATAATACACTATCACAACAAATATAATTGCTGGTATTAATATGCAAAAGCCTGCCAACGACATGATGATGCTGAGGGTGCGGTCGTTGTGCACGAACTGATATCACGCCAGTCACAACAGCAAAACTTAAATGGAATATCGCATTAATCTACACTTGCGGATCTTTCGACATAATTGAGTTGTAGCCACGTGGTTATCGTGTTTTATTATTTCATCCTCAAGGCTAGGAACTAAATCGAAATGCTGAATTACCAGTGAAATGCGATCATACGTATAATAAAAGTAACAAAATGGACGTAAACACGAAAGTTATATTTGCTGTGTCATTGTTAAAGTTCCAACACTTCAACTTTGAACGTACTTAAATTATTAAGTGTGAAGTCATATCAGTAAAATGTGATTTACAATATCGAAGTGGTTCAATCAGTTTAATTTATAAGCAGAAATATATACAAAAATAGATTTTTTTTGTGTTTGCTGAAATCAAAAGATTATTGAACCAGTAGCGGAATATTTCTGTATAAAATGCGCAATATATTTTCACAACCAGAGATAAAATTGACAAAATTGTTTATATCACCTAGAGGTTTGAATATAAATATTGCTTTGTTATGTTTTGCTACGCAAAAAAGAAGCCAAGCTACGCCACTGACTTGACTTCTTCACAATTTGTTTATCATTATGATTATTCCTAAACAGAAATGATTTTAACTTTGATTAAATTTATTACCTCCATCACTACTTTCATAATATTTAGTTCTTTCAATTTCATCTATAATCTGACACTTCACCTTAGTAGTATTTGTAGGTGTTATAATAGCAAAACCATTAAACATTTATAGGAAAAAAATAAACGTGTATTAATTTAGTAGAATAGGTTGTACGTGAGACGATTTTCAAGCAGTGATAGTAAAATAAATGACAAAACTATGACACTTAAACAAAAATAAAAATGTGGAAATCATATTGATGTGGTCGCATGACCTTCCTAGATGGTAATAGTAGATTGAAAATCCTTGTAAAACATGTGGTTAACTTAATTGTTAACTTTGGATAACTCGATTACATAGTCTACACTTAATTACATCCCATTCCTATTTTTAATACTGTGATTACGAGTGCAATAATGAATTTCTTTTTTCAAGTCGTATTTTGATTCCATTCAGTGATTTCAAAATAGTTTCAGATATTAAAAACACTTTGTCATTAGGTTTGCTTGGGAAAAGTATAAAATTTCGTAGTATTTTCGATAAAGTTGCTTTCATTTCGAGCATTGCAAATTTCTGCCCGATGCAGTTACGATGTCCAGCACTGAACGGAATAAAACTGTAAGGCATTTTGCACTTGTCACTTCCATCATTTAAAAACCGTTCTGGTTTAAACTTCAATGGTTCATCATAAAATCTTGGATCTCTTTGAATGCCCATTGCAAATATTATAAGTGTAAAGTTTTTAGGAACTTTCAATTTGCCTAAAAATAATTAAAGTTAATTAAATTTAACCAATTGATATTTTTTTAGTAATTCTATACCTATTTGAATACTTCGTTGTGTTTCACGTCCAAAGAAAGGAACTGATGGATATAATCTTAATGTTTCTTTGATGACAAGTTCTAAATATTTCATATCATTCAAGTCTTTTAAAGTTGCCATCCGCTGATCATCATTAAAAATATTGTATAATTCAAAAGCGATTTCTTGTTGAATTTTAGGATGGTTTGCAATTGAGTAGAGTGCAAACGAAATCGCTGATGCTGTTGTATCGTGACCCTAAAATAAACATTCATATTAATAAACATATAAATCTATTAATATTGCATTAATTAAATTACCTCAAACATAAATGTTTGAACTTCTTCTCGTAAATCGTCATCGCTGAGCGGTTCATCATTAATTCGAGTTTGTAATAACAAATCAAGAAAAGCAGTTTTTTTATTATCGTCATATTTCTGTCCATCAGACACATTATCGTTAAGAATCATTTCGGTTCTTCGTAGTTTAACCACATTCATGGTGTAATCATTTAAAATCTTTAAAAGTTGCTTTTCTTTTAGAAAATTTTGAGTGTATTTAAATGTGGTGTTGTGATGTTGCAATGGTGAGAAGACTTTTTCCATTATTACATTGCACATACCTTTTACTGCTTGTACATATTCTGAGTCTTGATTCACGAGAGCATTCACTGATACACCCATTGCCGTTTCTATGAAAATGCTTATTTTAATTTTTATTATTGTGTATATTATTATAAATATTTTTACCACATATTATATCCAAGGTACACAAAGTTATATAAGGGTATATATCAACACTGTCTTTACCAACTTCTTTTTCTAATTCTTTCACCAAAGTTGAACTTACAGAATCAAAAACGGGTAAAAACCCATCTAAGATTTTAAAGTGATAACTAGGTGTTAACAGCTTTCGTCTTGCTCGCCATTTTGAACCGCCAGAAGTTAACAAACCGAATCCCAGCCAGTTATAAAAATGTCTGTAACTTTTCGACTTTTCAATCAATTCGCTTGATCGTAGGATAGCTTCTAAAGTTTCGTAGTCTGAGATTAATAGACTAGGTTCAAGACCAATCATCATTTTACAAATTGGTCCGTATTTTTGTGTCATATTTGTAAAACTTGATAACATACCTATGAAAATTAATCAAGTTTTTTTTTAAATAAAGTTGATAATAAATACAATAAATTACATACTTTTTACATTTGGAAATAAATAGGAACATCCAATTATTGGTAATGGTTTTGGTCCAGGAACTTTTCGTAATGGCCACATACACTTTATTAAGTAAAGATACCACAAACATATTAGGAACACCACCAAACTTAAAACAGTTAACAAAACTAAATATACTGAAGGAAACATTGTTTGCTTGAATAAAATGCAAGTGTCTCTAATGAAAGTAGCAACTGCACAGAGCAAATATTTACTAAACCTCTTGCTACACTGCAAAAGAAGTCAATTAAAGCAAGTAAATAATCAAGGACACCTTTATGATGTTATATTGGCACTTTATAACACAGATTCTAGGAAATTCAGGAAATAATTTCTCATGACGCATAATACATACAAAAATTGTAATAAATTCACATTATCTCTCTTGAATCAACATCAGAGTAATTTTTTATCAATTTTTTAAATTACATTTTAAATATCGAGAATGCATTTATTGCAGCAGTAATAGCAAGATTTGTCTATGGATTATTCACCAGCCTTGAAAGTAGACTGTTTATGTCATGTTCGTGCGTTGATTGTACTATTACGTACCAATTTATTTGCATGTGCAATCACAATCATTTTAATTATTTGCTAAATGACAATACGTGAAAGCTATAATTGGTCTAACAATCAATAGCAAAACCATCAAAATGCTAATTCTTTTACTAACAATTTCACAAATTCACTTTTTACATTTATTTTGTAGATCAAAATTAAATCTTTAGAGATGTGTACGTTCATAACGTTCTTGTAACTTAATCATGATTCCATTGTTCGATTTTAAAATGGCCTCGGCAACTAGTTCTGGTTTATGTGCAGGAACAACAGGAGAAAGTTCAAAGTTTCGCACAATTTTTGAGATCATAGACTTCAATTCCATGAATGCAAACTTTTGTCCAATGCAGTTACGTGGTCCAGCACTGAACGGAACAAAACTGTAGGGATTCTTGCCGGTGTTGTTTTCGGCAGCAAAGCGATCAGGGTTAAACTTTTCAGGGTCCGAGAAGAACCGAGGATCGCGATGAATATGGTATGCAAGAATTGCAATGGTGCTTCCTTTTGGACACCAAATATCGTCGGCTGTAATAAAAATAATATAGATAATAAATATTTTAATTAAAAGTACAAACTGTTTTTGAATATTTTTAAACAATCAATACTCACTTAGTTGAATATCTTCAAATGCTGTCCTAGCATATAACGGAACAGAAGGATACAGTCTTAATCCTTCCTTAATGACCATCTCAAGGTAACGCATGTTAGCTAAGTCTTGATAAGTGGCATCGCGATCATCATTCCCAAAAATATCATTTTGTTCCTCAAGTATTTTCTTCTGTACATCTGGATTATTTGCAATTTCATACAAAGTAAAGCTGACACCGGAAGCGGTGGTATCGTGTCCTTCAAACATGAAAGTGTCCACTTCTTCTCTAATGTCGTCATCGCTTAAAGGTTGTCCATTGTCAGTCGTTTGCAATAGCATATCTAAAAATGCAATTTTTTTCTTCTTTCCAAACTCATCAACCATGTTATCAACACTGCTATTGGGATCTCTTCCTAATTCTTCTTTACGTGTTTTAATAACTGATAAAGTATGGCCATGTAGAATTTTTAAACACTCTTGTTCTGTTTTGCCGTTTTCGGTAAAACCATACAACAAATCAATTTGTTGTAAAGGAGAAAATACACGTTCCATTGTGATTCTTCCCATTTCTTTAACACTGTGTACGTAGTTAGATGTTTTGTTTTGTAAGGCATTTATAGGAACACCCATAGCAGTTTCACAAATCACATCTAATGTTGCTAAAGTAACGTACGGATAAATATCTAAACAATTTTTATTGTTTATATTCTTTAATTCTTGAACCAGATTGTTTGACACCTTGTTGAATGTAGGTACGAATTGTTCTAAAATTTGAAAATGGTAGGACGGAGTCAGCATGCGACGACGTTTCTTCCATTTTGGACCAGCGCTGGTGAGTAGACCACTTCCAAGCCAGGAGTGTAAAAATTTGTAGAGTTGCGATTTTTCGATGAGTTTAGCTGAACTTAGGATTGTTTCAATTGCTTTATAATCAGAGACTAGTATGATGGGTTCTATTCCAATCCAGACTTTTGTGATTTTGCCATGCTCTTTGAAAAGTTTATCGCAAACTTTTAAAGTGGCTACAAAAAATAAATACAATCAGTATACAAATATTTCTTTTGATTTAGATGATGTATGAAATTTTAATTTTATTAACAAGTTTTGCCAGTTTGCCATTAATATTTTTAAATAAAAAAAGAAAATATTTGAACAAAATAAACAAATGTTTATATTTTGTATTTATTTCTTGTAAGAGAATAAAATACATCCTGTACAAAAAGTATGCGTTTAAAAACTGGCCGACCTTGACTGGCAAAAAGGTGGTTTGACATTTTTAATAATTTTAACTTTTGATCTTCACTTAAATTAATGAAACGATATTGCGTATGTGATAATTTTGTGATATCTATAAGTATTATTTAACCGTTACTTTTAATGAATTAGATTGTGACTTGTTTTTTACTACTTGAACTACTACTTAAAATAATAATCTACAAATGATTACAAAACTTATGTGAATAATGTAACATTGTTTTGTTTTGCTTTTACATAATATTTACTAACATAAAAACATCGTACAAAACACTGTTATGATTGTACAAGTTATAATAATTATTGTGTAAGTTATTTTTAATAACTTTAAAAAAAGTTCAAAGGATTATTACATGATAACATCCCGATAATAACTTACCATTGGAATCCGTAAACATCAAAGCATTTCCTATCACTGGAAGTGGGGTAGGTCCAGGAATATTCCCCAAGTATTTCGCAAATTTCTGCACGTAAACATACCAGCCAATAATCAAAAATAATCCAATCGCACTGGCGTAGCTCAACGCGGTGAAAATAATGGCAAAGATAGCCATTGCTTATCACTCAGATGATGCGCGCAATGTTTGCTGAATGACTAAATATCGACAACGCGCCGAAAATGTTTATACTTTATTTTCGCCGTCTCAATATTTTCGAAGTAGTGGCAACTCGCACAAATTAACAAATTATGTGCATACATTCGGTGCTGTTGTGTGACCCTGAGGAAGTTGATCAACTTCAACCAGTTTACTACATGTACATTTGTGGTTAAACGCTTTGTAATTACGTATACCTACGTAATGAGTATCTTAATTAATAACATTTGTTGATAGAGGCTTGAGGAATACACTTGAATTCAACACTATACAAAATGTTTTTATTTTTTGTGAATTAGAAGCTCTATAGAGACACCCAAATACAAGTCAACCTTGATTTCTTATACTCGTTGGTCAATCAATCAATGTCTTCAGGTAATTTCCTCTTATGGAATAATATTATATGTATATGCAAGTAACCTGTTTTAATTCTATTTATATTCAGATAAATATATAGTAATTACTTAATTACGTAAATTAAATCATAGGTGCCAAGGTGCAATAACAGTAATAGGTGTTGATGTGAATATAAAGTGTATTTGAAAAATTATAAAACACATATTTTTATTTTATTGTCAATAAAGAATTAATTAATTAATTAATTTTTGAAGTATTTGGTATCAAAGTATCAGATGTATGTAAGTCTAAGTACGTTTGTACCGCTAATCCTACCAAGTTCTATTTTTTAATTGAATTTTGTACCCATTACCAGCAGCTAATATAATTTCAGATTTAATAACAAGATTATGTTCAGGTACAGCACTGCAAATATTAAACGATCGCAATACTTTCGAAAGTGTCGATTTTAACTCAATCATAGCGAATTTTTGACCGATACAGTTTCTATACCCGGCACTGAATGCTAAATACGCGAAAGGATGGCGTTTACTCATATTTTCAGCAGTGAAACGTTCTGGAATGAACTTTTCCGGTTCTGGATATAGATCAGCTCGTCGATGTAGATAGAATGGCAACATCAAAATCTGTGTTCCTTTTTTGACAGATAAGTCACGGAATGTGAAGTCTTCTAAAGTGTCTCTCATCATAAATGGAACAGATGGATATAATCTTAATGTCTCTTTGACAGTCATTTCCATATAGTGCATTTTTTGCAAGTCTAAATAGGTTGTAGGTCGCTTTGGATCATCGCCAAATATTTCTCTTTGTTCTGCGAGAAGTTTTGCTTCCACTTCTGGATGTTTACTGATTAAGTACATCCAGAATGACATGCAAGTACTGACTGTGTCATGCCCCTCAAACATAAAAGTGTCAACTTCTTCTCGAATATCTTCATTGCTTAGTGGTTTTCCATCAATGGTTGATTGAAGTAGCAAATCGAGGAAAGCAATGCGTTTTTTCATGCCAAATTCATCAACATATTTTGAATCAAATCTAGATGGATTATTGAGAAGTTCCTGACGACGTGATTCAATTATTGATAACGTGTAACTGTGCAGAATTTTAAGGCATTTCTGTTCAATTTTGTAATCGTTAGTAAATTGATACAGAAAATCAAAATGTTTATGTGGTTGGATTGTGCGATCTACCACAATACGATTCATTTCTTTGATTGCTCGAATGTAGTCAGTATTTGAGTTGTTTTGGGCGTCAACTGAGGTACCCATCGCCGTTTCTACATAACGCATAACAATCGAGAATTCAGCATATTTTTACTTTTAATTTAAGTATAACTTACCATTAATTGAATCTAATGCACAGAGTGTAAGGTAAATATTGACGTCGAAAGAAGGGTTGCCTACTTCACCGCGTAACTTTTCAACCAAAATATTACCATTTTTTTCGAATACCTCAACAAATTGTTCTAAGATTTTGAAGTGGTACGCAGGTGTGATCATCTTTCTACGTTGGTGCCATTTTTTGCCTTTGCTGGTCAATAAACCAAATGACAACCATTTATGTAAATAACGATAGAAGATGCCCTTAGGAAGAGTTGATTGGCTGGTGCATATAAACTCTAAATACTCGGGTTCGCTTATAAGAAGTAACATGTCCATACCATAACATCCTTTAACTATATTTCCGTACTGAATTTGCCAATTAAACAATTGCCAAAATATTTCTAAAAATTAAAGGAAAACGGTTTTATCATAAGAACAATAACAAATTGTCAATTATAATTACTGGTTGGATCTCCTAACTCGCTCATGTTTCCGACAATAGGCAATGGTGTTGGTCCTTTGATGTGCTGTAAATCCTTGAAAGTATAGTTCCATTTTTGGTACCATATTAAACCTATTATTATAATAGCTGCTATAGGAGTTATGAAAATAGCACCCAAAAGTATAGGATCCATGTTTGGCAACTTACTTTGTAATTATTTGTGTTTAAGAAATATATATACCTAATTTTTAAGTGGATAATCTAGATAATATGTAATCTTGATACGGAAAGTTACTCTGGATATATGTAGACATAAGCCGCAGACACAAAACGTGATCAGTTATCAATATAGTTTGTACAATGCAATAAAAATTATTACATTTATACACAATTTATGTAGTTAGTTGGTTAGTTTCGGAAACCCCACACTAAGTAAACTTACACTTAATCTGAGAGTTGAAGATTCAGATTAGGAAAAGCATGTCTACAAAACGTGAAATAATGACTCAACCCAATGAACCTATAACTTAATAAAATGGAAATCTGTGATTACGATAACAAAAGTGCAGGAAAATTAATGAGAAAATAAAACGTGATTGATTTACACCAATTTGGTTGGAGTTATACATGCTTCGCTTCATGGGCATCTTCAGTAACGGTTACAGTAGGAAAATTAGTCTCACCTGATTCCACTTGTGCGATGTTTGCTTTATCCCCCTAGTTACACAATGTGATTCATGAATAATCACTAAGTGTTTTGCAAATGTTTCCAAGTACAAAAGTCAGAATAATCCAATCGCACAGGTGTAGCTCAACGCGGAAAAAATATTGTCATAACGAGTTGTTACTTATCACGCAAATGATGCCCACAATGACATAATATTTCAAACACTTTTTCTTTGTCTGGCTATTAACAACAAATGCGTTCTGTAAACTCTTACACATACGAAAAAACTTATAATATACTTCAACCAGTTTGCTATATTTTTATTTGCATTTGCAAATACCTTGTAATTGCTTATACAAAACATCATAATTAATTATACTTATTTACTTGAGCAAACTGCGACAAAGTTGCTCAGATCACCCAAATATACATTAAATTCACATATTTCAATCAATTAACCTGTTTAAGAAATTTTCTGTTATTAAATTATTTTGCACGAATTTACATTTTAATTTGTAAGGACTTAATATACCATTAAACCATTTTTAAGTACGAAAGTGCAATAATACTAATATATAATGTAAATGTAAATTGCATTCAACTTATTATGAACTAAAAATTTAATTTGATATTATTATCGTAAAAGTATTAATGACAATTAAATGTTCACGTATTTTATATCTTAAGTATTAATATGTCATGTTTATGTCATTTCAATCATTCTAATCCTACCAATTTCTATTTTTTAATTGGATTTTGTACCCATTACCAGCAGCTAATATAATTTCCGACTTAATAACAAGATTATGTTCAGGTACAGCACAGCAAATATTAAACGATCGCAATACTTTTGAAAGTGTCGATTTTAATTCAATCATAGCGAATTTTTGACCGATGCAGTTTCTATGCCTCGCACTGAAGCCTAAATACGCGAAAGGATGACGTTTTCTCACATTTTCAGCTGTAAAACGCTCCGGAATAAACTTTTCCGGCTCTGGATATAGATCCGCTCGGCGATGAAGATAGAATGGTAGCATTATAATCTGAGTTCCCTTTTTAACAGATAAGTCACGGAACGTAAAGTCTTCTATAGTATCTCTCATCATAAAAGGAACAGACGGATATAATCTTATTGTTTCTTTGATAGTCATTTCCATATAGTGCATTTTTTGCAGGTCTATGTAGGTTGCTGGTCGTTTTGGATCATTGCCAAATATTTCTCTTTGTTCAGCCAGAAGTTTTTCTTCAACTTCTGGATGTTTACTGATTAAGTACATCCAGAATGACATGCATGCACTAACTGTATCATGACCCTCAAACATAAAAGTATCAACTTCTTCTTGAATTTCTTCGTTGCTAAGTGGTTTCCCATCAATGGTGGATTGCAGCAACAAATCAAGAAATGCAATTCGTTTCTTTCTCCCAAATTCATCAACATAGTTCGTATCAAATCGCGAGGGATTATTGAGTAGTTCTTGCCGGCGTGATTCAATGACTGATATAGAATAACCATGCAGAATTTTGAGACAATTTTGTTCAAGTTTGTAATCTTGAGTGAATTGATAAAGAAAATCAAAATGTTTATGTGGTAGCATTGTGCGATGTACTACGATTCGAGTCATTTCTTTGATTGCTCGAATGTAGTCAGTATTTGAGTTGTTTTGAGCATCAACAGAGGAACCCATAGCAGTTTCTAATGCCATTAAAAACAAATCAAATCACATGAAAATTCCTTAGTTCATTTTGGTTTAACTTACCATTAATTGAATCCAATGCACATAAACTAAGGTAAATATGGACATCAAAAGAAGGGTTGCCTACCTCACCGCCTAACTTTTCAATCAAAATATTACCATTTTTTTCGAATATTTCAACAAATTGCTTTAAGATATTAAAATGGTATGTTGGTGTGATCATCTTCCTACGTTGATGCCATTTCTTTCCTTTACTGGTCAATAGTCCAAATGATAACCAATTATGTAAGTAACGGTAATAGATGCCTTTAGGTAGTGTTGATTGGCTAGTGCATATAAACTCTAAATACTCTGGTTCGCTGATAAATAGCAGCATATCCATACCATAACATGCTTTTGCTATACTTCCATACTGAATATGCCAGTGGTACAATTGCCAAAATATTTCTACCAATTCAAGAAAAAGAACACTTTTATAATAAAAGCGATAACGAATAGCAAAATATATTTACTGGTTGGATCTCCTAAATCCGTCAGGTTTCCAATAATTGGGATTGGCGGTGGTCCTTTGATATGTTGCAAATCCTTGAAGGCATGGTTCCATTTTGGTACCATATTAACGCTATTACTATAATAACTGCTATCGGCGTAATAAATATAGCACCCAAATAAATAGGATCCATGTTTGGAAACTCGGAAACTCGGCAAAATTCGGTGAGTGTGAACAAGTGAAGGCAACGATGACTATAAGAGGCTCAACGTTTATGCTGAGCCTTTATTAAAGATGCAGAAGTCAACGTCAGGAGTGTTTATTTGGTCAGGACGTGAAAGGCCTAAAGTCCGCAGTTCGTGTTGACCAGAGTTCATAGTATTTTAGAGTTGTTTATTAGTCAATAGTGCGTCGAGGGCGGTTGGGAAAACATCTTAGTCAACTGTTATTAACATTAATTAACATATTAACATATTCAAATATTAACATATTAATATTAGAATTAGTTTAGTCAATCAGGGCGCAAATGCTCAATTTTACATCGTGCATCGGGTGAAATTGGGATGTAACTGTTTTTTCAAAAGTCCTGATACATTCGACACTTGGAGAATAAATCAATACACGTTGGAAAGGTCAGTAAAAATGATTTAATTTACAAACACGTTAACGCCATATTAAATAAACTTTTTATTTAAGAATCATTAATAGTTCAAAACTAAAATTACCCTTTTATACCAACTACATTACCAATGACGTAATTTTAAATTCAACAGTACTCCGTTTTCAGACCGTAAAATAACTTCTGGCAAATACATAGGTTCATGCTTAGGAGTTAAAGGCATTAGCTCGTAATTTCGTAAAACTTTTGCAACAGTACATTTCATTTCCAACATGGCAAACTTCTGTCCAATACAATTACGGTGTCCAGCACTAAACGGAATGTAAGCGTAAGGATGACGTCCAACTTGATTCTCAGGAAGAAACCTGTCTGGATCAAACCTCAAAGGATCTGGAAAGTTACTTGCATCCCGATGTAATTCAAATACAAAAATCATAATTTGTACGCCTTTCCTCAATTGCATATCTTCTGCAAACACATCAATTATTTATTAAAGCAATCAAAGTTTACTTTAACTAAATACTTACTATATGTTACATTTTCACTAATTTCACGTCCCATAAAAGGAACCGGTGGATATAAACGCATCGCTTCCTTAATAACCATTTCCAAGTATTTCATTTCTGAAATATCATTTAAAGTGGTAGCTCGTTTCGGATTGTTTCCGAATATACTTCGTTGTTCCTCAATCAAGCGCTGTTGTATTTCTGGATGATTAGAAATAGCATACAAAGCAAAACTCATTCCGGAACTAACTGTATCATGACCTTCAAATGTAAAAGTATCCACTTCTTCCCTGATATCTTCATCACTCAACAAAGCACCGTCAACAGTACTTTTAAGTAAAATATCAAGAAAATTATCTTTTCTTTTGTTTCCAATTTGATCATCATGTGCATCTTTAGAAGTATCTTTCATTTGTCTATTTGCTAATTCTTCACGTCTGGATTTAATTACACTCATGGTATATCCATGAAGTACTTTCAACGCATCTTTTTCAATTTGATAATCTTTAGTGTAAGCATAAGTTGCATCAAAAGTTTTCAACAAAGAAAAAGTTCGCGACACCATAATCCGATTCATTTTCTTCGTACTTTGAACAAACGCAGATTCCTTATTAATTTGTGCATTTACTTGTGTTCCCATAGATGTTTCACAAATAGTATCAAGAGCACATAAATTAATATAGGGAAATATGTCAGTTTGGTAATTTCCCACTTCCTGTGATAGTTTTTCAATCATTATGTTGCCATTGCGCTCAAAAACTTCCAAAAATTGATCCAAAACTTTAAAGTGATATGCAGGAGTAATCATCTTCCTTCGAGATCTCCATTTTTGACCACTACTAGTGAGTAATCCTTGTCCTAGCCAATTATGCAAATAACTATATGCTCGTGATTTATTTATAGCTTGACTACGCGTCGCAATGAATTCAATAAACTCTGTATCCATTGTTATAAGCGTTTGCTCCGTTAAAATGTAAGCTTTGAAAGTTTTTCCATAGGTCTCAAAGAGTTCTTTAAAGAACTGAAAGAAAATTGCTGTTCCACAATTATTAGTATTATCTAATAGAATTATATGATTGGTAACTTACTAGGAACTGCAAAAAAGTGTCGAAAAGTACCAATAAATGGCAAGGGGGTTGGTCCTCTAATTGATTTTAAATGTTTGTCACACCACGCATAGTATGGAAACCACGCAAGCGTAATCACTATCAGGAAGATTATTAATAGTTCCGCGATCATTTTCTCTTATTTCCCGCTTGGGTTTGCACGGCAAACTAAAAAGTGTGAATGCAATTGTCTAGTTCCCGATTTGCATCATGCGGTCTCGCTGTTAACACGTACACTTAGCGGTTTATTAAATTTGTTCAATTTTAACGACAAGTACGAAGTGCGCAATGTTTGAACGCAAATAATTTATTGATAGCGTTGTGTCAAGTCATCTATCTGTAGATGAATGCAGGTCCGGAGCCGGGAGTGAATACGCAAATTTCAAAACATCTTATCTGCTTTATTAACTTTTGACATAAAAATTTCGTAGTGTTAAATTCATTGATAACACCACTTGGAAAAGTGAATAAACACTTTGTAATGCTTCAAATATAATAAATTTTAAAGCGGTTTATGAAGTTTTGCTGTATTATAATGTTCCACTTAATTGTGATTTTCTTGGGAAATGTTTAACGAAGCAACTTTTTAGAAGTTTCATAACGCTTTGTTTGAATATTAAATATTGGATATATTTAAGCTTAATGTCAAGGCAAAATAATTCAAACCCATTAAGAATTCAATGAGTAATAGAAGGTAAATAAGAATAAAAATTGGGGAAATTTATTGTATTATTATTTCAAGCTGGAAATAATTGTTATTTGCATTTTCGGAATTTAACATCATTTCCATCTTGCATCTTTGTTATAAAGTGTTACATAGTTATGTAACAAACAACTTTTTGATTTGGCTAATAAATAGAATGACATGGCAATTGTATACCACAATAAAATAGCCCTCAGAACACTTAATTAAAATTTTAATAAGTAATAATTAGTGTTGTTCAATAAAACTGATTCAAATAATAGATTATTCGTTCTAATCATTATAGAAATAAAAATGTTAAGTTATAAAATAAGACATAATTAGTTATGTAACGAAGTTGTTCTAAAAATGGATTGTTCTAAATGTATCAGAAACATGTAAGTTTAGAATTTACCAAATTTATTAAAAATAAAAACACATTTACATAAAGATCTAATTATATATGCTCTATTCCAGACAGGAAGTTAATTATTTAAATTTGTTCATATTTTATTATTACCAAACCCTATTTTTAAGTTTCAACATTACACCGTTATCAGAACGCAAGATCACTTCTGATAAAATGAACGGTGTATGTTTAGGTACCAACGGGAATAGTTCATAGTTACGAACAACTTTACTTATAGTTGATTTCATTTCTAAATTAGCAAACTTCTGTCCGATGCAATTTCTATGCCCAGCACTGAAAGGGATATAAGCAAAAGGATTACGTCCTTGTATGTTACTAGGTAAAAATCGTTCGGACGAAATTCTTCTGGATCCGGAAACACAGCTGGATCTCGATGAAGTTCATAGGTGTAAATTACAATTTGTGTACCTTTACACAAATTCCAATCACCTTTAATAGAAATATTAATTTATAGTGAAAATAAATTTCTGATAAAAATTATTTAGAAATAATTACTTACTGTAAGTCAAATCTTCAGTGACTTCTCTAACAATCATTGGAACTGATGGATATATCCTTAAAGTTTCCTTGATTACCAATTCCAAGTATTTCATTTCTTGAAGATCTGCTAATGTAGTTGGACGATGTGGATTTGATCCAAAAATATGCCTCTGTTCTTCTATTAATTGTTTTTGAACTTCTGGATGATTTGAGATCAAATACAATGCAAAACTAATTGCAGAACTGACAGTGTCGTGACCTTCAAACATAAATGTATCAACCTCTTCTTGAATATCCTCATTACTTAAAGGTTGTCCATTGATGCTTGATTTTAACAACAAATCCAAAAAGTTATCTTTTCTTTTGGTTTCAAATTCATCTCCGTCTTTATTATTTTGTTGCTCAGCTTGTAATTTTAGTAGCTCATTTCTCCTGGACTTAATTAATTTCATAGTGTATCCATGCAAGACTTTTAGTGCTTGTTTTCTTTTTGATAATCTTCAGTAAATTGATAACTCCAATCCATGGCTTTGAAAAAATCAAAACCACGAACCATTACAATTCTATTCATTTCTTTTGTGGCTTGAACAAATTCCGAATCAGCGCTCAACTGGGCATTAACTTGTGTTCCCATTGCAGTTTCACAAATTGTGTCCAACGCGCATAGATTCACAAATGGGAAAATATTTGTTTCGGGCTTATCAACCTCCCCGCGTAGTTTCTGCACCATAATGTTACCATTCCTATCAAACATTTCAATGAACTGATCCAGAATTTTGAAGTGATACGCAGGTGTAATCATTTTCCTACGTTTGCGCCATTTGTCTCCGCCACTGGTTAATAAACCAGTTGCCAACCAGTTGTTGAGATAACGATAAGCAGTTCCCTTGTCAATGGTTTTATTAGATGTCACGGCGAATTCTATTAAATCGACATCTTTAGTTATAATGTTAAGTTCGTTCATAAAATAACCGCGATAGTTTTTGCCGTATTCATTGTGAAACTCTGTCATTTTCTTAAAAAGATCTGAAAATGTAATTGATTATAATATAAACTAATAAATTTATTCAAATATATTATACATACTTTTTGTATCTTTGAAATGATACAGAATTCCCAAAAATGGATAATTGTAGGGTCCTTTTAGAAATGGTATGTGTGAATCCCGCCATTTGTAATAGGGTATCCAAGCTAAAGTTCCAACAATTGCGAGTATAATTACCCACGACAATATTAAGAAAAACATTTTGAACTTAGTCGCTTATATTCATATTTCACATCGCACGTAGAATAAGTATGAAAACACTACTTGTGCAGTAATAATGAGTGTGAACTGTGAATTATATATAATTTCAAATGATTTGGCGCTTATTTAATCTAATCAAGTTTAAGATAACACTGTGTTATGTCACTGGATTAAACATTTAAGTTTATATGCGATTTAATATGTACATTTATCAAATGTTATGTATTTATAAGTATTACTTATCGTTATTTGAGTTTGCTGTTTTTTGTTTTGGTAATATTTCTTGGTATTTGTTGGTGTGCCGACTTTACACTGGCGTCTCAATGTTTGCCTGTTGAATTCGTGTGGACACAGTTAATAAAACATGATAGAGTTGCATTTAACCTTGATGTTGCATTTAGCGTTACATGGTCAACGAGCAGTTTGAGTTACAAATTATATGTCCACAATACACAATCAATCAATTATAGTTTTTCAAACAAGTGTAAAGTGTGTAAAGCATGAAAACACATAATGTTTGCATATATGTATTTTAATGCTATTGGTGCAGTTTTTAAAGAAATTATTTCAACATTGTGTAATGCTTATTATTATATATATTATATTATATTATTTTATGTATAATTTATTTTGTACCTTTAGAAAGCTGGGGCACCATATATTTTTACTGTCATAGTATAACTCAAGGTTTTTTTAGATGATATATGTATAGGCAACCCCCTACCCAGTCGAAAAGTACCCAAAAATGCCCTTAAAATTTGTCAAATTTATAAAAATTTGTAAACATGATGTGACAAACGCCCTGTATCTCATGAAGTAATTGATTTTTTGGAGTTTCTCACCGCCATGTCCGAGCTCAAGAGTTCCTCGACATGACGCATGCCTTTCAAACCTTCTAACCCTTCCACAAGTACCTTTAAATGTCCTTTAAAAGTTACTATCTTGCAAAAACAAAATTAAAACATAGAGTGTAAAACACCCTTTATCTCGTAAACTATTTGATTTTATCAAAGTTTCTCACTGCTATGTCAGAGTTGGAGAGTACCACTACTCAATGAATACCTTTGCAACTTTCTAGCCCTTTTAGAAGTGCGCTAAAATGCTCTTTAAACATAAGCATTTTTCAATAAAATTAAAAACATAGTGAGGAAAACATCCTGTATCTCCTTAATTAATTGACTTTCCTAACGTTTATCAACGTCATATTAGAGTCCAACAGATCCTCTTTACGATGCATTTTATTTTATCAATCTAAGCCCTTTGGAACTGCCCTGAAATGCCCTTCAAAAGTTGGCAAATTTGTGAAAATTTAAAAACATGATGTGGAAATCGCTCGGTTTCTCTTAAACTAACTAATTTTTTTAAAGTTTCTCAACGTCATGTCAAAGTTCGAGAGTTTCTCCACACTATGCATATCTCTTTAACTTTATTAACCCAGGGGAAGTGTCTTAAAATGCCCCTAGAATATTGCTGTTTTGTCCAATAAATTTCATTGTTGGTCGAATAACAGAGTCGAACTTTTTTGTTATCATTTTTTTCGGTCAAAGAACAGGGTCGAACTTACTTTCTTAAAATATTTTCGATCGAACAACAGGGTCGAACTTTTTTATTAAATTTTTTTTCGGTTCAAGAGCAGGGTCTAACTTATTATCTTAAAATATTTTTGGTCGAACAACAGGGTCACACTTTTTTGTTAAAACTTTTTTCGGTCGAAGAACAGGGTCAAAATTATTCTCTTAAAATATTTTCGGTCGAACAACAAGGTCGGAATTTTTTCTTTAATTTATCCCGCGAAAGCGGAGAGATTAAATTGCGATTATCTCGAAAACTATAAGAGCTACGGGAAAAAGGATTTCATATTCTTCATCCTTAAACAATTCTCTACAAGATGGCACCCTTCTTGAAAAACGAAGAAAAATGCATAAAAAAAATTAAAGAAAAGATTTTGTTATAAAAAAGGCAAAAGATTTCTCTTTTTTATGTTCGAAATTAAAAGTTGGAATTTTTAAATTTTGTTTTCGGATTCGAATAGATTATTTAATTCTATATATCTTAATTTAGTAACATTTTTGGCTAGCATTTACCGTTTAGGCCGTATTTGCAATTTAATTAAAAAAGTTTATGTACTCGTATTTTGAATAGCGACAAAACCAGACTTAGTTTTGGTTATTATTATCAAAAAGCCTTATTTGAGAACAAAATTTTATTAAGATAAAGTATGTAGAATTACATGTTCTTCTATATTTAGTAATAAAAAGTTTTAATTTCCAATTTTTAATTTTTGCTTAGGAAATGATAGATAAAACGAATATATCAGTTTTTCGCATATATCTTGAAAATCATTAAAGATAAAGAAAAACGGGTTTCATATTCGTATGTAGAATTAAATTTTCCATTATATAACATGTTAAAATTTACAGTTATCAATACTTATGTAATAATTAAAAATGGTCAATAACTTTAAAACTAATTAAGATAGCGCAACCAAACCTGGATTAATGAATTCCTGGCATTGTTTTTCATCAGTTTGGGAAGTTTGGGGAAAATTAGAGAGGTAGTTTTATTTGATCAGTCTTGAATTTACCACCCATTTTCCGAAATATTGATGTTATCGGAAAACTGACTTCATATCTTTCATCCCCTTCGAAAACTCAATGAATTAACGTTTTCGATTTTCTTCTAGCGTAAAAAAATATTTTTGAGACTAAAAGGAGTCAAGTGTAACCTCTTGACTCTTTTCGAGTGGTTGTTGGTCAATTTTGGAAAATTGAAAAACTAAATCTGCCATTTTGTAGATCCTTATCACGACATGAACAAAATGAAGAAAGTTTTTTTCTAACTTCATTACACTCTGAGAAAATTGCGGTGGAAATTTTTTAGACATATTTTATTTTTGAAAATTTTTAAACGTTATCTTTTGTAGAATATCATACTAAGCATTATAGTGTTTTCGGTTTTTGTTTAGCTCTTCTAGTTCCTGAGATAATTGATTCTTAAGTCTCTATGTGAATACTCTTTTTACTTATTGACATCTACAGATAAAACCTTCAGTGTTATTAAGTGAAAAGTTGTTTAAATTAGATAATTAAGAGCCCTCCTACACAATGGGGTAGTTTGTTTTTAATAATTAATTATATTATTGTTTAAAATATCAGGCGCATCCGCCATTTATTCTGAATTCATAACTTTTTTTCAATAAAATTAAGAAATTTACTGTTTTATCACTAATTATTACAGTGGACAATTTTATGGTGCGATTATTTTAATGCATAATTTTAATTCAGACATCGATTTAAAAGATATACGACAATAATTATTTAAATGTATTCTGTCCTATATGTGATCTTTACAAGACAATAAGGCCTAAACCAAGCATGCCAGGAGAAAATATTACAAAGATTAATGACTCAAATTTAATTGTTTGTTAAGAATCCACAATTAGAAATAAAAAATCCGACTTTTATTTTCGAACATAAAAAGAACAATCTTTTACCTCATATTTCATTTGAGTTTACATATGAAACCCAAATTACACCTGTTATTTTAATATTTGAAAAAAAAAACGTCTCTTATAACTGAGATTTGATACGTGTCTACTAGCATGCCAGCAAGTGCACGTACCTACTCGACCACCGAGTGCTCTTATTGTTTTTATTTGATTCTTCTATTTATGTTTCTACCTTACTCAACTGTTTAATAACAACAACACAATGTCGCTGAAAGATGATGTCTTACTCCCATGTAACCTACACGTCGTTGAAGTTCAATCAATAACATTTTGTTTGAAGTATTTTTTTATCCTAATCACAGAACTGAATTAAATACACTTATTAAATAAATTATTAATCTTTAACAACATTTATTGATGAGGGAGTTCAAAGTATCCCGGAACTTCTAGTATTTATTAAAGTATAGAATATTTTTCTATAAGTTTCAACTCGTAGATATTCAAAGTAATTCTCAAACAGTAATTACATATGAAGTTAAATTTTTAACTTATTATAATAATTTATGAATAAATTTAATATGAATCTCCGTTTCCATTTAAAATTGTATAGGTGATCCAGAATTCTAAAAACACAAAAACAATGCATGAGCCAACAAACAATTTTTTTTAAATTTTTCAATATGCTTACGGTATTCGTGTGATAATCCTGCCCGGATATAACTTTTTCAGGTCGAGTGAAGATGCCTGTGTCTGTATCTGGCCCCATGTTGTGCACCATTTTGTAAACCTCGGAGTTTTTCAAGTGGTCTAAGTTCTTTGGCGGTGGTTGGTACTTCAGGAAGTTAATTCTGAAACATTTTATACATTACTTACTACTATTTCAAATGTAATTTTGCACGCCATAAAAATAATATGAAATAGTGTCATACCTTTTATAAGCGCCGAATGATGATTCATTATTAATGACTTTAAAATGCAATATTAATATGAACCATTCAGGGATAAACAAAAAACATTCGGTTAAAGTTTAGAATCACGCATGAATTCACTTACTTCTTCGTATCGGTCATTTTACTAGGCACCATACAGCAATTCGATTCTCTGAAAAGGGACTAGATCATTGTGTTCATTGTTTTTTTACAGTAACATGCATTTGCCAAAAAGTATTTGCCAAATTTCCTAGGCGAAATAACAATTTCATCACAATTTCTTTTTGTTGGGAAAGGTATTGTGTCGAGATATTTTTATTCTATATAAATCCTCAAAACAAATACGAGTATACATTCTCAAAATCTAAACTTTTAGTTAATATCGTGTTTAATGAACATTGGTGAGAAGTTACGATACCTATAAATTGGCTGCGTGACGTGCGTCCACGGCCAGATCCTATTCCAGTGTTCGACCTGAAAAAGAAAGAGAAAACGCAGCGTCAAAACAACATGGTCACCACCGGTACGTACCCGACGGTTTTGCCGTCGATTTTTTCATAAAACGAACTGATGGTCGCGTCGATACGCTCGTCCGTCAGACTAGCATGGCGACGGGTGGAGGCGCCGCGGGTGGCATCATCCGGCGCGCACCACTTCCGCCCACCGGGCAAAATAATTGGTCGCACGAGAGGTCCTTGTGGTTCACTATCCATTTTTGACGCCTAAAAATCACCCGAAATATTCACTTCTTTAATGCACTCTTTCTAAACTAGTAATACAATAAATAATATTTGATCTTGAAAAATTTTCAAGTTTTAATTTAAGCTACGGTTAAAGTACTAATGAGCTGTTGGCACGTGTTATTGCAGCTTTTATACTTGTTATGAGTGAGCGAGACAATGCTAAAAATTGCGTCGCAAGTGCGCTCGGTTTGTTTTTGAATCAGAAACTTCATTCGGACATTCATCGCACGCGTTTTGGTCGCGATCCAGTTCTGATTTTTGGATGTTGCACAAAAGTTCGTCCTCTGCGTTCTAAACTGTCACATAGGTACTAACTAGGTACACATACTTAACATTTCTAATAGATTAAAAACAAAAACTTAAATTACCTTTTCTTTTTTATTCGTTTTTTCCTCCTTTGTGACGTTTTGATCATCAATCTTGACATCCTCTTGATATTCCTGCATCTCCGTCACGTCATACTCTGTACGATCACACTCGGCGACATCGTCATGGCCGTCGCTGAAAGTCAGAGATGGTTCGGTGCCCTCTGGAGTTGATGGCGATGGTGGATCACTCATTATCGAGTAGGAAGTAAACGTCAATGTGGGCTCAGTGCCTGCGCAAATGTCACAACGGTATTTTTTACTTCTTTTGCGATAAAACAACCCGCAACTAATTAAGTTTATGCTTCCGCACTACTATTTTATCTACTGCACTTTGCGGACATTAGTTAGACAATAGCTGAGTGGTGATAAAAATAACTATTACCTTGATATGAAGGCGTTGACGGTGTTGGCGAACTGATGCGTGAATCGAAACTTGCGATACTGCTTTCGTCATCGTCGTCCTGTAAAGAAAATGTTCTCAAATGTAAAAAGAAGAAATGTATACCAGAAATTAACTTACGCTAAAATCATCGTAATTATCGTCGTCTGTAGCGTCGCCATTTTGAACCGGAAGGTTTTGTGCTTGCGGTTTCACAACTTTGACAATTTTTTCTAACTGCGACGCAATTTTGGTTAACATTTTCTGTAATGCGTCCGGCACTAATTCGACATTGTAGATTTGCAGCTGTTCTTTTACTTGTTCAAGTTTTTCTTCCAAAGAATTTAAACTTTCTGTGACTAAAATAAATTATAAAAATTATTTCTTATGTTAATGCATATTATATGTACTTACATGAAATTGTTGGTTCAGTTCCACTAGGTGTAAAAGTAATTGTACTCTCAGTGATATTATCACTATCCGAAAAAGTAAAACTTGAATCTGATGATATTTCATCGTCAGAAGATTCGTTTTCTTCCTTTTTAATTCCTTGTTCTCCCAAAGCTTCCTGTTCAGCTAGTTTTTGTTGTCTAAGAGCTTCAGCTTCCAATTCCAGTTGTTTAGCAATTCGTTCTGCTTCCAAATCTTTTTTAGTGCGAATTTTTACTCTGTAAGTTGACTAAAAAACAAAAATTGTAATAATACTTTTTTATTAACATTAAAATAAGAAATTTATTATTACCTTTTGAACTTGAAATTGTGGTTTTAGTAGAGGTGCTGCCCTTTGCGGTTTTTGCAGAAACGTTGACCACCTTTTTTCACCATCAGTGTTACCGTCTCTTAAATTGTTATTTATTTCTTGAATTACTTGCGATTGCATAAATTTTACATTTTCTGTTGTAATTTCTGCTTTGGCCACTATATTTTCTTGAACTTCCGGTTGTAAAACTTGTGGCGCTTCAAGTTTACCCTTTGCAGGAGGTCCGATTGGTTTTATCTCACATTTTTCTTTCCTCGTGACAATTTCCGGATTAATAATATTGTGTATATCTTCATCAGTTAAATTTAAGTCGTGTTTAGGCAGTGCACATTCAGCTTCAGTTGTATCTCTGATAAGATCTTCAATTGTTTTCTCCGGATAATCAATAGGAACAGAACCTTCTAGTAAACTTTCAACTTCGTGGTTAACATCTTCAATTTCTTCTTGTTCATCATTAATTAAAGAACGCAAAACGTCCGAAATTTCACATCTTATTATTGTGAATGTTAATTCATTTCCAGCTTGAATTATTCTATCGTGAGCCTGCGCGTGTGTCAAAGCAGTAATGTCATCATCGTTAATTTTTACAATAACATCTCCGACTTGTAAACCACATTCTTCAGCTATCGAATTTTCCACAACCTGCAAGGCAATTATAACAATATTAAAAATAAATTTATGGATATAAATTTTACCTTGATAGTGCTTAGTGGTATTTCAAAATTTGCACCACCCACTAAACGAAATCCCCATGAAGTTGCAGAATCATCTTTGATCAATCGCAATTCAATAGCCATTTTTATTAATTCCTAATTTCTAAGTGAATAAATGTTAAATTAATCTTTTCGGGTCACTGTTACGTTGTTGATCGCCTCATTGTTAATTCGGGACTGGATCCATGCATGCGACAACTTGATACCGCATTCATTCTAAAATTCACTGCACAATGAATCTCAAAAGTTTCTACAATCAAACAATTGAAACGTAGCAAGTGATTGCGAACAATTGTAATATTGAACATCACTGGTCTGTACATCAGGGAGAGATGCCAAGGAATGATGGACGGAATGCGAGCGCAGTTCGATTTGCAACTGATTAAAGGGTCACTATTTATACCAATATCAAGCGTGCACTACGCACGCAAATATACAACTTTGCATTCTTTGTATTTTATTTATTTTTTTGCTTTGTTTTACACACATTTTTTATTTCACAGCAATGTGACTTCCTCATTAGAATTAAATACTAGCACCGTACACATTGATACATGGCTCTCATTGCTTACAATTAGAAAATAAATTAAGCTAAATGATTAATTGCATTCAATATTAAAATAAAAATAAATAATGTTTGCATTGTGGCATCAAAATTTGTAGGAATTGTTTCGTCTCTACTTTGCTATAAAATAATACGAAACTAATCAGTCACTGAGGTGGGTTTGCGTTGTAGTTTAGGCTTGTACTTCTTTCTTTTCTTCCTGAAATTAACAAAACTTATATTTTCAAAATCATTTACAATATTTATATACTTACAGAAACTTCATTCGAAATTTCTTCTGCGACAGATTCTTCAACCTTAACTGGAACAGGTTCTTCTTTAATTGGTGTTGAGATTTCTTCTTTAATTGATGTTAAGGTTTCTTCTTTAATTGGTGTAACAATCTCTGGTTCTACTGGAGTGGGTTCTTCTTTGACTTCATCAGCAGGTACTTCTTCAGCTACATCATCGGAAGCGGGTGTTTCAACAGCTTCAGGAGCAGCGGGAGCTTCAACTGGGGCTGGGGCTGATGTAGCAGCATCTACTGGTTTAGCAGTCGTAGCGGCTTCACCAGCAACTTGTTGAGCAGCATTAATTGCAGTATTTACTTGTTCAGGAACTGGAACACCTTGTTGGGTAAGCTGAGCTACAACTTGGTTGGCCTGGGAAGTTCCAGCAGCAATAGCTTGCTGTGCTGGTTGCTGGAATGGATTGTTGGGAATAGCTTGAGCGAATTGGTTCTGGGCGTTAGCAATCGCAGCAGCCGCTGGGTTTGGTGCAGCTGTTGTAGCAGCAGCGTTCGCTAAGGTTTCCGGGGCGGCGGTGCTAGAGCCCCCGGGAAAGAATGGATTGTTCTGGATGGCACTGATTACATTCTGGCCTGCGTTTTGGAAAAATTGTAATGGGTTTCCTGGAGCAGCGGTGGTACCTTGGGCGACTTCATCATGAGCAGCTGGAGTAGCGGTAGATGGATTAAATACATTCTGGACATTGGAAATAGCACCTTGAACGAAACCAACAATTGGGTTGTTGTTTGGTGTTTGTTCATCAGCTTGATTTCCGGGAGCAGCAGTAGGACGTTGGAAGATGTTACTGAATTGCTGTTGGATAAACTGCAGAGGGTTTTGTGAGCCTTGAGTAGCAGGAGTTTCATCGCTTTGGGCCGCTGGAGGACGAGCGCCAAAAAGACTACCAAGATTACCTTGGAGTTGACTGAAAATTCCCTGAGCTACTTCAATGGGATTAGGAAAACCTCCAGGGGCAGCGGTGGTACCTTCGCTTTGTGCCTGGCCTGGCTGACCAGCAGGGTTCAAACCGGAGAAAAGATTACTCGAGAAAGTTTGGAAGGAACTTATGATTTGCTGAAAGATATTAGCTGGATTGGGAATGGGGGAAGCAGTAGTAGCGCTAGCATCTTGTTTCAGTGTTTGGATATTACGCAATTGAATCAATTTTTTAGTGCTTTCAAGGAATTCTTCCAAAGTGCAGTTGACTTTCTTCAAAACATCTTGTTTATGAGAATCTTCTGGGATTTTCTCAAAATCAGCTTGAATTTTCTTAGCTCCATTATTGATAATCTCTTGGATCTTATCGTAAATATCATCAATGTTCTGATCTTCACCTTGTTGGTAAGCAGCGCTGGCCACAGGCTGCACCGGTTGGATAACTTCAACAACTTGATCAGGAGTAACGATCTTCACCTTGTTAGCATCATCAACTGGTGCGGGCAGATGTTTAACAGCATCTTGAACCTCAGCAGTGGATAATTGTGGTTTTGCTTCCAGATTCTTCACGCCAGCGGGTTTTTCTTCAACGGGAAGTTGTGGTTTGTCGTCGAGGTTGCGAACGGCTGCCAAAGCAGCTTCAGGAGCATCGTAGACAACTTGGACTGGAATATCTCGCGCTCCTGATCGCCTGTGGTGGAGTGACGCTGCTGAAGCGCCGGCGACAAGGACCGCAAACACTATCAACCACTTAAGCTTCATTCTGATTGTAGGTAAACGACGAGTTTTGTGATGGTGCCGCTGCGTGCTGAAGAAGAAACTGAACTAGAGTTATTGAACTCTTCGCGCCGGTTTTATACGCGCAGAGATAGTCTCACACTCCGAACCCGATCGAGTATCGTCATTACGGGAGAAGCGCGCAAGAAGAGGCAGAAAGAGCATCCGATTCTTTCTTGACTTGTACCGGTTTGCTATGTGAGCGAAAATGTAGCAAATCGAATCTTGATCATCGATAAGTCATAAATAACCGAGTCTACAATTCAAACTCTTTGAAATGTGGATTATTATTAATTCCAGAAATTAAAGCCTCTAATTAGCTGCAGGATGTTTGATTTGGTTTATTATGATCAATTTTGTGCGTCGTTTCGCGTTCGGTGTGTGCAATGCTCAGGGTCAAGGACTCTTTAACAGTTATTAACAGTTACGGTTTTATATCCAGCGTCTTTGTCATGACGGCGGCGTCGTCATAAAAGTTCGATATGCGATACAACAAATAGATTAGACAGTTGCTTTTTTATTCAGACATAAATTATCTTGTTCGTTATTGTTACACTATTGGATTCTTCGTTCGCCTGCGTGTTGCATGTTGCAACAGCCACCAAGCAAAATTATCAATCAATCCGAGAGAGACCAACCGAAAGGCGTGCTTTTTTTTCATCTTCTGCACAAGAAGACAAGAAAACCTGAGAATCATTATCGAAATGCAGCTTTGCCTGCTGCGCTGAGCAACCACTTTGTAACATAAACAGTGTTGTACTTAAAAAAACATAAAAATTATTTTTTATTTGATTTTATTTTAATTTTAGAGTTTTTTAATGTAGTTTTAGGTATTTTTAAATTTAATGCATAATTTTGTTGATTTTTTAGTAAAATACGGTGCTGCGATAAATAATATAAGGTTTTTATTCATAATATATTTATTTAAATATTTTATTTCGTAATCACCGGCATGCTGGTTGCGCATTGCAGCATTACAGCTAATCTTTCTTCTTGCAGCGCCCGGTGAAGTGCAAGTTGGTAAGCGGACGTCATTTCAAAGAACGATTTCGTAATTTCGCCTTTCCATCGTCCCGTCCGCGCAGAGCATTCGCCTTCACCTTCATTGTATGTTGCCCATGAATTCGAATTTATCGTCATATCATCGTGTTGCAGTGTTACAAAATTATTAAATTATGTTCAGTTATACATTCACAGTAAATATCGAAAATTTTAATTTAAATATTTGGTTATTTTTATATATTTATTTAATGAATCTAGGCTTCGCACGCAAATATTATTCTTCCTTGTGTAGTCGAAATCTTGTTTTCCTACTAACATATATAAGTGACGATTTTTTGCGAATAGATTTGGAAATTTCAACTATTGACGGATTTGTTAGCGTGCGATTATTACCTTAGACATAACTAGTTCCGAACAATTCGAAGAACATGCGACCTAGATTTGATTCTAACGGGCACAAAAAAAAATCAAGCCGATTTCTTAATTTCTTTCTTTCCTGTTTTGTATATTTTTGCAGCAATAAATTCGATAACACATTGCTTTCCGATTTGTAGAAACGCGTGTTGAAGAAGTGGAACAAACGAGATTTTAGGGCCCAATTAGAATATTAGACTGCGACATAGAAATTCGCGACTGACTGGCACCTCACGAACAGCACATCAATGTTAATCGATCGAAACATTAAAACCGTAACAACGAGTGTTAAACTTTTTTTATTTTAATTGACTATTTTTAGATTCCTCGAAGTTAATTGGTTAATCTATTTTAGTTTATCTTTGATTTCTATTTTTGATTGGAGATTGAGATTGTAAAAAGGTCATTCTGGAATTCCTGAGGATAGTCTTCGATAAATTGGTTGTATTTCATGTTTCAACCATGTTGAAATTGTGTTTTTTTAAATTTATTTATTTACATATGCGTAAAACTTGTTTGGTCGACCACGCCGCAAAGCATGCGAAGCTCACGTTGAAATTGAAACTGAAAACTTGATGTTGGGCGCTCATTTATGGGTACATTGTTTCTTTTTTAACGTTTTTATGTGGACGCAACGTTTAGTTTTAATATAATCTTTGTGAAATAATAGTAGTGAATGCAATAAAATATTCTTTTTATATTCGCTCTCGGTTTTTAGACATTATTAAAATCACAGTAAACTGTCTAAGGTTTAGTGAGATTTGAGTCAGGCACGAAACCCTAGGAAGGGACTATGCAGCGGTGTGTACCTTATGAACAAAGTAGTTGTTTATAAACTTTAAAAATTAAAAGTTATAAATTCAATCAATAAAAGAATCATAGTTATAGCGAAAACAAAAGATGTTGACACCGCTAAAATGAAAAAAAAATCTGTATCGACACGTTAAAATAATGTGCAATATAATTTTAATTACATCTTTAAAAGACGTCACTAATAATTATTTTATAATCAAATAACAGCACTTCTTGTGTGCAAATTTTAATATGTTCAGATTAATCTTACCCAGAGCAATTAAACGGTTATTTTACGATTATAATAACTTATGAACATGGGTTATTACGTTAATTATATTTGCGCTCTAATGTCTTTCAGCTTTTTCATCACATTCTTCAATATTTTTTATATGATTTTATGTATATTTGTGTATTGTATTTAACTGTTTAACGGTATAATATAATAGTATTATAAATACACTATTAAATATATAGTACAGGATCCGGGGCCTATTTTGTCACTTGATTACTATCAAGCTAATTTTCCGTGAGTAGCTTCATTTTGATAAGACGCCCAACAATTTCCTGTGCGAAAATTTTTGATTGTGGTAGTTAACAGAGGTAGCAATGATAAAATATGTCGATTTGATGATTCTCAAATATTAATTACTAACTGGATTGTTTTTTATTAAATCTTAAGATAATTATCTAAATTATTTGAAAAAATATTTGTCCTACAAAATCTATGGTTTCATCAAAGAGTCCTCCCCCTCCAACATGTATTGATAACGAGATCACCAAAAATTATTACTAACCAGCTGATTTTTTTTTTATTACTTAGTTAATATATATATAATGTCACGGTCATATTGTCCTACAAATTCCGTGGTATGTTATCCCGGTCCTACGCTCAGAAATTGTTAATACCATAAGACCATTTTTCTCATTACTAACTGTAGGACAAAAATATTACATAATAGGTTAGTGTGTTCAGTGCCCAAATAAAACAATGTCCTACAAAAAAACAGGTATGTATCACTAGTCCGACAAAAATTGTCATTTTTTCGTTTTCCGATTTCTAACATAAGATACAGTGAGAAAATCTTTTTTAAAATTTAAATAAGTTTATTTTTTTGAAAAATGAGGTACAAAAATTGGTGTATTGGTGTATTTATAGATAACAAAAATTAATCTTCATCATATTCATCCGATGAATCATAATCTTCGCTACTAACATCGCTGTCATCTTCATTTGTTTCACTTTCCTCACTTGTGATATCTGACTCTATAATAACATTAAAAAATGTCTGCTTATACTTCTTCCCTTTTCTCTCGGAAAGTAGGATTTTCAAAAGCAAATTACACAAAAACAATAATTATTTTGCAGCACGTGAACTGAAAAATGTTACTAACACGCTTATACTCGGTGTGATACCTACTACGACGGAGTAAAAATGCTCTGCGCACGCGTAACGGCGTGAATCAGCTGTTGTAGAAAAATACAGAAACCCAAGCGGCACAAAGTTTTCTTTGTTATTGTTTTGTTTAATTTCAGTTGGCGTTCAGTAATTTTTTAACTTATTGTTAAGTGAAATCTACCGAAAAGTCAAGATTTTTTTTTCTCACGCTTGAGAAATAAATTGATTTTTAATTTCATGACTTTCCAATATATATTCAATTGGAGCACCGCAATAGCGTACCACGCTATTTTTACATTTATGATCTGTACTACTACTTTCGACCGTAGGACCGGGACAACGTACCACGGAATTTGTAGGACAATATGACCGTTACATTATATATATATTAACTAAGTAATAAAAAAAATCAGCTGGTTAGTAATAATTTTTGGTGATCTCGTTATCAATACATGTTGGAGGGGGAGGACTCTTTGATGAAACCATAGATTTTGTAGGACAAATATTTTTTCAAATAATTTAGATAATTATCTTAAGATTTAATAAAAAACAATCCAGTTAGTAATTAATATTTGAGAATCATCAAATCGACATATTTTATTATTGCTACCTCTGTTAGCTACCAATATCGAGAATTTTCGCACAGGAAATTGTTGGGCGTCTCATCAAAACGATGCTATTCACGAAGATTCAGCTTGATAGTAATTATTTTTACATCAATGATCTGTACTACTACTTTTGACCGTAGGACCGGGATAACATACCACGGAATTTGTAGGACAATATGACCGTGACATTATATATATATTAACTAAGTAATAAAAAAAAAATCAGCTGGTTAGTAATAATTTTTGGTGATCTCGTTATCAATACATGTTGGAGGGGGAGGACTCTTTGATGAAACCATAGATTTTGTAGGACAAATATTTTTTCAAATAATTTAGATAATTATCTTAAGATTTAATAAAAAACAATCCAGTTAGTAATTAATATTTGAGAATCATCAAATCGACATATTTTATCATTGCTACCTCTGTTAACTACCACAATCAAAAATTTTCGCACAGGAAATTGTTGGGCGTCTTATCAAAATGAAGCTACTCACGGAAAATTAGCTTGATAGTAATCAAGTGACAAAATAGGCCCCGGATCCTGTACTAATAGATATAAATTGATTATAATCTAATTTTATGAATTTTATGAATGAAGTGATGTCTTTTAAGATTTAAGATTTGTTTGGGTTAGAACACTTTTTGGTCCAAAAATATTTTAAATATATCGATTTTTGTAGTATTGGACGTATCAATGGTGGACATGATTAATTAATTCATCAATTAATAGTAAGTCGCAGTTTCTGTTTTATCTTCAAAAATCCGGGGATGTGATCTTGTGTATTTATATTTGGGATGTGTTTTTATTTGTATCAGCTGCTATTGCAAAAGTTATTTTTCTTTTCCGCATACGCATGTTTAAACATTCGAAGAAATCGGCTTGGATTATGCTGCGAGGTTTCAAATTCCAGCTGTTTTGGTTGCCTATGTCGTGTATTTTGTTCTTGCACATGATAAAACATCACTAACCTTTAAAAGGACGACATCAATCGCACGTGCTTAAAAGATCCGAAGTAATATCACCTTATTATCACATCAAAATGCCGAAAATTAAGACTGAGAAGAAATCAAGAGTGCACAATGAAGTTGCTAAACAAGGTAATTAATACAATTTCTTATTAACTTAAGAAAACTATGTGTTACTTTATTATTGTTTGCAGGGATTATGTTTAATAAGGATTTTGGTCAACACATTCTCAAAAATCCAATGATAATTACTGCAATGCTTGAAAAAGCTGCCCTAAGGCCAACAGATGTTGTTTTGGAAATTGGTCCTGGTACAGGAAACATGACAATGAAACTACTTGAACAAGCAAAGAAAGTTGTTGCATGTGAAATTGATACAAGGTATTTAAAATTAAACTCTTTGAAAGGTAGCTACTTAGCTACATTTCGTTTGTGCTAAGTGTGAACATAATTTGCATTGAGGACACCATTTGTAAGGAATTATACTGAGTAGTTAAAAATGTTGACACAAAGTCAAACAAAATATTCATAGTTTTATTTGACTAGATCTTAATTTTTAGGCTGGTTGCTGAGCTCCAAAAACGCGTTTTAGGTACACCATATCAACAAAAACTGCATATAATGGTTGGTGATGCACTTAAAACAGAACTTCCATTCTTTGACCTCTGTGTGGCAAATGTGCCTTACCAAATCTCTTCACCATTAGTATTTAAACTTCTATTGCACAGGCCATTCTTCAGGTGTGCAGTATTAATGTTCCAACGGGAATTCGCACAGCGCTTGGTTGCACAACCAGGCGATAAATTATACTGTCGTCTTTCAGTAAACACACAGTTGCTAGCGCGCGTTGATATGCTGATGAAAGTAGGCAAAAACAATTTTCGACCTCCACCGAAAGTTGAATCATCTGTCGTACGGATAGAGCCACGAAATCCACCGCCACCGATTCCTTATCGAGAATGGGACGGCTTAACACGTATAGCATTCACAAGAAAAAACAAAACTTTAGGAGCAGCATTTAGACAAACCTCTGTATTGACAGCGTTAGAAAAAAATTATGCACTTCATTGTAGTTTGAATAATGTGACAATACCGGAAGGTTTTGATGTAAAAGCCAAAATTGAAGAAATTCTTACTGAAGTTGAAGCAGATCAAAAACGTGCGAGAACAATGGATATTGACGACTTCATGAAGTGAGTATTATTAATACACGGTTATTTAAACTTGTTTTATTCGTTAAATATTACAAATGTACTTAGTATTTGAACATTAATGTTACGGCACAAACCAACTTACTAGGTATAAAACAATATCATTTGTTCTTGTTTCAGATTATTGCATGCATTCAACAAGAATGGTATACATTTCTCATAACTTTTACGCGACTCCAAATAAAAATACATAAATCGGTATTTAAATAATTGTTATACAAGGAATAAATAAAAGGCAATATCGTGCCTTTATGAAACGTTCTTATTCTTAAAGTATTTAATATATTATTATCACTTTAGTGTTTGTAGTTTTTTAACAGTAACAGTAGTTTAAGTTTTATCATTGTTTTAATCGTTTTCTTACGATTTCAAACCTTCTATAACGTGAAATATCTTTGGTAAAGTATATTTTTACAGTACGTATTTTAATCAAGTTACTTTTGACTCATTTGCTCAAAGAAAGCAATTCTGCTTCTAGCCTTAGGAAAGTCGACGATTGCGTCTTCTTCAGGCGTGTTATTTTTATTATCAATTGAATCAATAACTTCATGAGTATCAAGTGTCTCAATTGAGACCTCTGAAAGTAGACTGTGCCTGCGTGGTTCCTCGATTACTTCGTGGGGTACCTCCGCTAGTTGTTGCCTCATTTGTTTCGGAACACTACGCGCTGTCAAACTGCTGTGTACTTCAACGTCTTTCTTAATATCGGTGTCCTAGAAAAAACAAAATTTATTAAACTGGTACTCAAATACTCATATAAATAACAGAAAAATATGTTACCGCGATATAGGAATATAAACATACTTTTTCAAATTTTTTCTTAAGATTCTGTACTGAAAGCGGTGGTTCTGGAGTAGTTTCTGTAGCTTCCTCGATTTCAATTGAATTTTCAATGAAATCACTAGTCAAACTCATCATATCTTCATTTGAACGTGTGTTTAATGGCTCACTTGTGTTTTTGTTTGGTGTACTTGTAGCTAAATTTGGGAAACTTTTTGAAAACACACCTAGAATGTTTTTCACCAGGTGCTTTTCTTTCAACTCATGAATTTCTGGCTCTGGTGTGACAGGAGCAGAGCTAATTTCATTGTTATTGCTACTGTTAAGCATGTTATTGTATGTGTGTTCGATAATTGGCCGAGGGGATTTGTTTAAAGCGTGACTAGTGACTAATTCATTATCACTATCGTTATTATGATTATCTACTTCAACATTTAAAATTCCGTCGGTATTAGGTGTTTCGAGAAGTGAACTTGGCTCTCGAATTCTTCCAATCACTGATTCTTCAATAATGTAATGAGCTTGCTTTTCAGTTGATTCTGATTTATGCGGTGGCTCAATAATGTTTTTATTGGTTGTAGTATTACCGGGATAGTCAATAATTCCTCTATTCAGTGATTCTTCCACAATTGTAGGTGATTCTTGAGTTAATTTGTTATTTTGAGCTTTAAGTCGTTCTTCCTCTTCAAAAGTACTTTCAATAGAAAAATCATAGCTTTTTTCTTCACTATCATATTCAATTGATGCATGATCACTCGATTTTCCAAGGTTTTTGTATTCAGCTGGTGGGCTTATAGGTTCTACTTCATACTGATCAACATTTTCATTAATAATTTCATCTACCAGCTTAAAATGGTTAACTGCTGGCGCAGTGACTGTATCCAAGTCATCTATATCATCAACTGGCTCAAGATTTTTAAGTATATCTTCTTCTTCAAGTGTTAATGACCTCAGAAAGTGTGATCTTTTCTCTTGGACTACTTTGAGTGGCGGTGCTTTGTTGTTAATTGCGTTCTGATTCTCATCAAGTTTAGTATACTTCAATCCTTCAGCCGAAGGTGCTTCAGTTACTGGCAGCTCATATTCTACATCCCCTAATTTCTTGATTATCTTTCCTGAATTTACATTGTACGTGCGCTCAATGCTATAATCTGAATCAGAGGATAGGTCCCAAGGTTGGAGGCGTTTTGTAGGAGTCGATATTTCAATCGAAGACTGGTCATCACCCTGATCTTCGTTGATTTTTACGTTATCTTTGGTGTTTTCTGGTTCATCAAGCATAAGCTGAACCGGTACTGCACGGAAGACGTTTTCTTGGGGTACAATTGGGTCGTCAACCACTTCTACTTTACGCTCCTAGCAGAAATACAAAGAAATTAAGTTTTTGGTTTACTATAAATAGATAGTAGTACATGTATAGCGATTAAAATTCAGAAACTAATTAAACAATAAATTCTACAAGCAGTTTCAATCAAGCGTGTTAGATTTGCAAGGCACACAACACGAATTACCATGTTAGTCATTTTTTAGAGAAAATATGTTACTTAAGGAAAACTTACCAAAATCAATCAATAAAATATATCTTATACTCGCAATTTCACAGTTGAATGCAATACCAAAATTTAACAATAATTAATGCATTTATTATAAACACAATATAACAATACTCAGGACGCCTTAAACTCAAAAAACTTGGTGAATATTCGTGTGTGTGTGTGTGTGTTTGACTGTTTTGTTTTCGGTCGTGAGCAAATCGTGTTTTGGTGGGTTACATTATACATGCATAGATGCAAAGACGTGAATGCGTTTGCGCACTAGCACAAAAAGACATATTTACAAACAATACTAGGAAAGATTTAACACATTAATAAAACATAACAAATGATGCCATCTAAAGCTCGTCATTAGATAATATTGGTGAACATTCATGGCTAAACTTTGCCTCAATCGTGCTGCGTGTTGAAATTCAGCAAGGGATTGGTGACGAAGTGTCGACTTGCATTCTTCGCGTTAAAGAGAGTACGCGGTAAGCTGTCGTACGTGCACAGCTTTTCGAAATGGTCAAGAGACCGATGGCAATCACTCACCTCGTCGTCGGCGATGTCGCCATCACGTGGTAAATCATCTTGATCAATCCAGTTCTTTTTTAAGGCACCTTGAGGTCTGCCGGCGGCTTTTGCAAAATAATCTCGTCCATAACTGAAATATTTTAATATATTATCCATTTACTAATCAACTTTCAATCTCTTCTTTAGTTGATGTTTGTTAGTATTTCAAAGACAGTTAGTGCGTTACATACCGATGTTCGTAACCCTTGCGATCATCGTTCAGAACATCAAAGAGACTTTTAGGCATTTCAGGTAGAGGTGCGTTAGGCAAAGGTGGTAAGACCTCAGTATTAAGATTTTCTGTTACACTAGTGTTTGTTGCTTCACAAATATCAGTGTCAGGAGAAATTTCTAAACTGTAAGTTTGAGTTTTAGTTGTGTGACTTTATCGCTTTTGTTTATGAGGCTATAAAATATTGCGTTTGTTTGAACATTAAGCTGACAATGTAAATACCGTTTGTGTGCGGTATTTTGATAAAGCATGATAAGATTATGTTTTGCACAAATAAATTAATTGAAAGTATTTTGAGAATAACTTACGAGTTTAAGCTGCTGATAGAAGATGAGCGATTAGAACGATTGCTTAATCGGTTCTCTAAATTCGATTTAGAGTACGGATTGTTCGGTAAATCAACTGCATGATTCCATTTGTCTTTTTCGCGTTCACCATACGAGGAACCTTTGAAGGTTTTTTGTTTATCATCTTCATCGGAAGTCACACCTGAATCTCCATTGTCCGTTTTTGAGTCTTCAATCAGAAGCGATGTTTTGGTAAAGTCGATGTCTGCTAGTTTTGATTGTCTAAAAGTTTGAACATTTTACTCTCACAAATATAATTTAAATATGTTTAAATCGTTTACCTTGGTGTTGGCATTGGAATTTTTCTCGGCAATGTCGCATATTTCTCAGTGTATTCTGAATCTTTCTCGGTATTACTCTCCAATGAGATTAATTGATCTTCAGTATCCCCACTGGCGCCATTATCATCATCAAAATGATCTTTGTTAAATACTTGGTTACATGTCTCGATGATTTCAGTATCTTGCTCTATATTGTTGTCATTAGTAAAACTGGAAAACTCTAAGACATCTTCTTCATTGTCAATTATCTTTGGATCGTGTTCTTCATCAATAATGCTTTCTGCTTTGGCAACCATACTAACCAAAGGGTTGGTACCTCCAATCAAGTTCTTAGAGTTGATCAACACAGCATTTAAACTGCTTGGTTCTGCAGAATCTTCATAATCAGAGATAGCGTCAGACAAGTCTGATGTTTCGTCAATATCACGATCACCAATCAAAACTTTTGCATTTTCTGAAGGATTCGGATTGGGGACTAGCATCGGGACCGGGACTGGTGAATTAGTACCAGAACCAAAATTACGTTTGCGTAGGTACCAATTTTCTTGCCAATCGTTGTTACGCATGGTAGTTGAGTCTACTTCGTCAATATTATAATCCACTTCGTCTTCATCAGAAGATGACACTTCTTTGATACTTTGTTGTATCTAAAAAATTTAAAAATCATAAATTTTGAATTTTTGTTTATTTAAATTATTACCGCAAAGTTCATCTGATCCAAATATTTCGTCGATCCATTTGTGCTGATGTATTCATCAAGACTTGAAAGAGACGAAGTGTCATCAAATTTCGGTGTAGAAGAGTCTAAATTTCGTTCACCCAGAAAATACTCTTTATCGTTAGATGTTTTGGATCTGCCTGATGAGCTACCAGCGACTGAATGTGGCTTTTCTTGATAATTTTGAACAACCTGAAAGAATTATTTTCCATTAAAATTATATTTAAGTAAGTTATAGAATATATTAAGATTATACAGAGTTTTTTCTTGAGGCAATTGATAAAATGATAGCCATTATATTAAAATTATCAAAGCAGTTGAAATTTATAGTGTTAAACCATGGACAATATAATAAGAACTGCAGTGTTGCAAGGGCAGATAATGTAATCGATTAGTTATTGTGGAAGCCCTTCAAATTACATATTAAACTGCTGAGGTGACATTTTTTATACCGAGTGATCCAAAAAAATTGGCATTTTATATTTTTATTCGTATAATTTAATATTGTTTATATAGTAATAATCTAACTTACTTTGTTTATGATGGCAGTAGAGAGTAAATCTTCATAAGTTCGGTCATTGTTATCATCCGTTATGGCGGCGTGTTCTTCAGTGGCTTTATGCAACTCAGGTAATTCGGACGCTTCGCGAATGAAGCGTTGAATAAGTGTCTTTAGACTGGCATGCGCCGCACATGGCGATTCTCCAGATATTGGTAAATCTAAACAAGAAATAAATCAATTATTTATTACGTAATAACACATAACAACGATTTTTTCTCCAAAATTGCAGTTAAGGCACTTTACTCACCAAATACAACTTCAACTAAATAATGTATCCCATATAAAAACAGTGAAAATAATATCCAAGACGTTGCCGTCATGTACGCAATCATTTCGAAAAACATTTTCAATTTTCACGATTTATTGCACTTTAAAGCTAAATGTGTCACAGTAATTGATTTACTTATTTGTTCGTCTATTGTTACATCATTTTAGTTTCGCATCAATGTTATAAGGTATCAATAAATACCCATCCATAAAACCTTATCACACGCGGCGCACTGAAATGAATATCGTCAATAAATTGTGTTTGGTGTCACAGTATCAGGTGTATAAAATGTGTTATCATTTAATCATTATTCCGTTGATTGTTTAATATCTAAATATCAATTTGATTATAAATACGAACTCTAAAATTTAGACTTTATCATTAAGGTGAATTGATAAGTATAATAAAACCTATCTAGAATTCTATTTCGTAATCAAATCGTTAAATAAATTGTTTTGACGTTATGAGTATATTCAGTGCAAAGTATGGAGTTAAAGTACGCATTAATATTTTCTCCTATTGTTATTTAAAATTTTTATGTCTACTGAAAAAAGTATAACCTTTTTTGTATACCGTTGACATAGCAACAGGATTGATTGGTTAATTTACAGTTTTGCAAATAATTGCATCATTATTTGCAAGATTGTACAAATACTGACAAAATTCTTTACCTGGAATTATTTTACGTTGATAATAATTTTAAAACAATGCAAATCGTACATTTAAAGATTTTACAATTTGATAATTTAAATGACTTCATTCTCAAAAAATAAAACTCCCAACATTCTGTCTTAATTAATTAATTAATTAATTTGTTAATACATATTAATATTTGTTTTTTATTACTTGCATGAATGTAGTATTTTCACGTATATGTTTGTGTTTAGTTTTACGTCGACGAAGCAGTTAGTTTACTTATCTGCCATAAATGCTAATAATTTACGTTATTGTGCGAATGTTTGCCTCAATTGTTGTTCTGTTTGATTGTTTGCCGGTGCACAACGTATACGTACGTCTTTAAATATTTTTTAACTTAACTTGCTTTAAATTAACACATAATATTATAACATATGACCGTGAACTTTCCCTGTATGTAATTAGAACTCTTTTTTCTATTAAACTTATCAATTTCGATAAAAATCAACCAAGTAGAAAAACTCTACATAATCTTATTTAACAATAAGATAAATATGTTTGCCTTGGACTTATGAAATTGTAAAACATTATATTTTATTTATGGCTCAATTATCTACGTGGTAGACTATATAATATTAGAGTATGTTCAATTTGTTGTATGAGTATAATCTTCTATGTACACTCGAGAGTTATAGATTTTTATTGCCTTTTAAAGTTTCCAACTTGATTACACTGATGACTAAATTCCGTACGTGTTGAAACAAGGAAAATGGTTTCACTTAAATATTTCTTAATCGATATTTGCAACAAAATAACTCGCATGTCACAAGAGTATCTATTTGTAGACATGTGAGAAGAACCTGATGTTGAGAAAAGAAGAAAATAAACTTTCAATTGTGTAACCTGTAACCGGCAGAGTTGTTCGGATAGATTTTTCCTAATTGGTTAAAATTCGAAAGTGCAAATACTTGTACCGCATTGTGGGAAATCCACAATTCAACTAATACGTATCCTGATAATATACACAGTTGATTGTAAAATCGATTATACCTATGCCATGTATCATTTATAAACCAAACAGAATTGAACACAACTGAATTATTAACAAATCATTCAATTATTCACTGATTAATCGATTTTTCATCAATGTTTTCAAAAGATTCGGTTAATTTTATACACCTGATAACTGTAAACTGCAATATTTATAAATAAACTCACAAAATTTTAGCAACAATTAATTTTTCACGTTGTGAACACTTTAATTGTTTTTATATCACGATAATTTTAATAGTTTTGATTTAATTTTAGATAATATAATGTTTATTTATTGATGTATTTTTTTATTAAGCAATGTGAATTTGTGGTCGCGCCTATCGCATCTTATCGCGTTTCTACGTTAACACTAACTAAGCGCAGGTTGCTCACGAACACCGCCAAGTTTAAAACGTCGCTGCTGTCGTTTTCCGCGCGCTTTAACTTCAAACTTCCCATCATTCAAGTCGCACACTTCGATAATCCAAACCAAATCAGGTATTTTGTAAACTAAACTTCTCAATAATATTTTGATGGTCAAGATTCAAGGTATGTACCTACTTAGAAACTCGCACCGCGCGTCATGTGCGAGTTAAATTGTAAATTAAAATAGTTAATGATGGACTTTTGACGATGGCGAAACGGACGCAATGCGCACTCATCTACGTGGTCGACTAGTCATCTAGTCAACAAAACGAGTTAAAACAAGAGTTGTTAGAAACGTCATTATAACATCAAGTTTAAAGTGCTCGACAACCTAGGTAGAGGTATGGTGGAGAGCAGTTAAATAAAAAAGTTTAATCAAATAACTAAAAAAGTGGCATTTCGTTAAAAACATTGAATTTAGCCACGAGTCGCAAGGCAGACAAGGTCGCGTTTGTAATTAACCAATAAGCAATAAATTATAATGAGTGTTATGAGAATTCAGGTTTGATAATACAGAGGAAAGTAACAATATTTTATATTTATAATTGAACCATTTAAAATATTAATATTTTAATTTTTATTTCTGAAGTTTATTACGATTATTTATTGTAATTTTTATATTTTACAACGTAAATTGTTGAAACTCATTTAATTAATACGTCTGGTATTATAATTACCGATTTTATTGAAAAAAAAAGAATTGTTACCTCACGAAAAATCCGAAAACATCTTTCGACATGGTTTCTTTCCGAATTTATTTATTGTCCGATTTAATTGTAGTGTTTTGCATATTTGTGCCGACAATAAACACCAATAATTCAGGTTCATTCGCAATTAACGCTCTGCGTAACCGTAATGCCAATTTACTCGATTCGCAGTAATTAATTAGTTCAAGTTTCGAGTCCGTGATCGGAAACAAAAATCAATGTAAACTCCTATTAATTATCGACGGTAATTATTTTCAATGAATTTCACAATGTCACGGCGCTACTGCCAAATTTTAGTAAATCATTAATGGTTATAAATTTTTTAAGAATTAAATTCGAAAATATACTAGTTTATATAGATTTTGAATAAAAAAAATTGTTAAAAATTAAAGTAGTAGATTTTGTATTTAAAGCATTAATTTTAATAGTTTGTTACTTTTGAACTTCTTAAATTATATATTTTAAATTAAAAATAAACTCTTTTCAAAAACTACAGAAATAATAGATACCTACTCTTTGAGTAAAAAGCGCAAGGTGGGTTAAAGTAAGGGGTGCTTTATACTTCTTTGCACGGTTTGGGCTAATTTTACGCGCCAATTGAAAAAAGCAAAGGAGATATTTATCATTCAATTTCATTGTCAACCACTATGTTGTTCTTTTTTCTTGTAACATGCCAAGATGTCTGTCAGTATATCAAGGTCACAATCAAGAACATGATATAATTTCTTTTCCTAAACACATACACAAATTCAAATATTTGCATAAACAGGTACGAATTGATTAAATTGGAGGTGAATAATGAATTAGGTATTAATTTAACTTACACCACTTACTGCTAATGGTTATATGAAGCGCCGAGCCTAAATCGGTCAGAGCGCTACTCAAGTCACCGTGATATCGCATGAAAATCGTATCATCTGCAAGCCAAGGTTAGTTGATATGAATTAGTAATTAATTATGTTAATTAGCATCAAATTAAACATTAAATAACGCTCAAACAAAAAATATACGTAATTTTAGTGTTTAGATCAGTATTTTAAGCATCTATCACCAATAAAACTAATTCGATGATTATGAATATACCTATGCATTAAAAATAAACTTACAACGTTCATCATTATATATTTTCTTCACGCTGACAGTATCCAATTCACCACCAAGCAGTGCCTCTACCAAACGTTCAATAAAATCACGAACTTGCTCTCTTTCTTTGCGCTGAAGAGTAGATAATTCTGCGTTGATTTGAGCTTGTTCAGTTGTCATTTTCTTCGTATACCACTCTAAAAACAAATAAAAATTAATATTAGTGATTCATTAATTTTAAAATTAAAGTGGTATGTTTTACCTTTTGTTTCATTAAATTGCAATAGTCGAACGATTCCGCTAATCCAAGAATCAGGCTGGCATTTTTTACAAATCCATCGTTCGGTGGCACTGTACGAGGAGCGTCGCGAATCATTGTTTGAACTTTGTCGAGGTACTTCTTCCGCAAGGTAGGTGATACTGGGCTTGACGCTGCGCTTTGCGCATTTTTCTTTGCAGAAAGTGCGAGCGCATTTCATGCACGTGACGACGTTTTCGTGCTCCAGCACACCGTTGATTGAATTAAATTGTGAGCCACAGAATGAGCAATGCCAGGGGGTATCAGGTTTATCCACTCTGGAATTTAAAATAATAAAGAATTAAAATATTAATAAGCAAAACCTTTTTTGAGTGTTTCTAGACAATTTTTAAATTATTTCAATTGAAACTGTTGGATGTAAATAACTCCTAAACTAGGAAGGTTGAAAGAAAATTAATCTTTATCATTCCTTTATTATTTTTTAAGCACAACATAAATTATTAATGCACAAGCTTTAAGAAAACGCGATTTCCAATAAATAAAATTAATTGATAAATTTTTATTAATTACTATTTTGTAATTGTTAATATATGTTTCTAACTTTACACATGTGCAAGTTTTCTGCGTGGATACACAGCGCGCATTAGATAACGGTGATGGTGACGCGAACATATGAATTTTCCTCACCCAAGACTTCAATAAAACTTTCATTTATCTGTTTTAATTTTTAAAACCAAGTTTTATTACGTTACTAGGGTAAGCAAATAAAATGATTACGATGTTACCCACCAACGCATGTACTCGTATAACGCGTGTGTCAATTGTACATTATTCAAACACAACTAATGTCTTTTTAATTCACTATTTCTTTAAAAATGTTCAAAATTCAATTACATAGATTGAATTATTCAATTGGTAATTAATATCAGTGTAATTTGTGTCATAATTTAATGTTTGTTTTATGTCATTGTGTGCGGCTTGTATGTTGTAATTATATCTTCGGTAGCAGTTGCGAGTCGCCGGCGAATGTAGGCCAAACGTGCAACTCTCGTGATGCAACCGGTGACATAATCGACAGCGTGCGGCATTTTGCTCGATGCATTCTTATGCAGTCGCAGTCAAAGTGCAAAGAAGAGTGTACTCGCACTTTTCGCCTCTTTCTTACTCCTTTTGTCGAGTGCTATGCGTGTGCTACTTTTGCACATGATTCTAAATTCATACCAAATGAACCAATAAAGCGCCATAAACACAAATAACTCCAAAAATAACTATTGTTGAGACTATATCTTGATTTTAATAGGAAATTGCATAGATAATAATGCAGTGTGAAGCAAAGTATTTATATATTAATTATAAAATGAATAAATTCTGTAGAATTTATTTTAAAATTAAACCGTTTTATTGTTTTTTGTTTGATCACTCTATATGCGAATATGATGTTGGTGTTTGAGAAAGTTCTCAATTAAGTTCTGCAGGCTGCGGGCATTATGTTCGGGCGCCCGTGCCCGTTGTGTCTGCCCGAAAGAAATTATATACTCGTATTACATAAAGCGAATTCGAATTCACTTTTACTTTGCGATGTTCTTTTGCCGGCACGCAATGGTGGCGGCGCCGCAGTAGCGTGCCAGTGGAGCACAGACGAACACAAGCCACTTTTGACATGAAGTACATCTTCAACTCAACGAACTTTGCTTCCATAAAACTTCAATACAACATCAATCGCCAAAAAAGTTCGAATAGTTGTAGTCAATATTGACCAACATGAATTGTGCATAATAAACGAGTAAAAACAACATCAACGCGACTATATGACCTTTCCGTGAGCGATCGGTGAAGATATATTTAATTCGTGTTTAAAAGTGAACTGAGACGGAAGTGCATCTGACCATGAGTATTGGGATAATATTCAATTGATTAAAATAATTTAAACATGTGAGGTGAGACGATGTGTGATATAAATTAAATAATGTAGTAATAAATATAAAATATTTTTAGATAATTTGGATAAAAAACAAAACAAAGTTTTTAAAATGTTTATGTGGTTATTTTGCTCAATAAAAAGTCTAACATTAATGGAAGATAATCAAGCTGATATTGGGAAAGTGCCCGATACACATTTGGATGTTTTCATGGCAATTTTCATGGTGTGTGCCTTAGAAGTGGTCGTTTTGAAAATTCTCACTTTTGAAGAAGAACTCGACAGACGTCGACGTTCAACCGATTTGTATTATGAAAATGATGATGAACAATACTAAAACTTGTAAAAGTAGTATTTCAAGGTGAATGTAAATTCAAAAATTGAACTGGAACCAAAATATAAAGTACAAAAATTACTAATGCTAATATTGGTAGAGTTTATGAATTATCCTGTAAAATATGGAGACATTCAATATGAGGCAATCACATTCACATGGTAATAGCGGGGATATCGTAAAGAAAGTTGCCTACGTTAATCTTGCCAAGCTTCATTTCTTGTTTCTAATGCAAAGTTTCTCCAACAAAACTTCACTTCTTTACAAAAACGATTCATCTTAAGACAAGAACAAAATCTTCTATTATTACACGCATATTATCAATAAAAAGATATTTTCTACCTTTGCAATGCTAATAAACTTACTTTAATTGTTTTATAATCCTCTGTTTAATTTCACTTTGTTAAATTATTATAAATTAATTATAAAGCTTTTAACTGTTTTATAACTAAATTTAAAAACTTAATTTAAACCTCACAACGTTTGTTATCACAGTTTATAAAAACAGAATAATTTTACACTAATTATTGTTTATTTGTCATATTTTTATGCGCATATGAACTTCCGGAGTTCACAAAACAGAAACCGAAGCGACCGTTGGGCATAAAAAGCGCCCAGCACGCGTGGAACACGACAAACCGACTGGAAGTGAGCCCATATCCTCGTGCTTCACATCAATGTAATGCCGTGTATTTCAATTATACAGGTTGTTGCACATTTCAAGTGCAAACATTTAAAACATTGATTGTTTGCTTTCGCATTTGCTGTTTTATTGTGTGACACTCTTCAGGCGTGAATAATTTTCACCTAGCTCATCTCATGGTAACCAATACGTGTTGGTTTTCGCACAAACATTAGAAATTGTTGTTTTTGGCACCGTAACAAAATTAACTGTTCAATGCTATCATCATTGTTCATGTTGGTGAAAAGTCTCAAAAACTTTCAAAAAACCAGCATAATCGCACCGGCTGGATGAAAATTCATTACGTTTGTTTTATGCTACTATTCCAAGTAAACTTTTCTATTGTACTCAGTACATAATTGATACTATTATCATCTGGGTGTTTTACTGTGAGTGTTTTTTTTAATTTAATGCGAATGTAATGGTTTATTATTTTATTTTTATGTTTTTGTTGTGTTGAGTCTTGTTTTTATTTGCGTTTTATGTAAAATTATGGGTAATAATCTTCCTGATGACAGTAAAACATAAATTACAGATAATAATACCTGCAATTGCAATAAAATTCGAACAAGAAATGATATCAATAATATATTTGCACCCAACTTCCAAACAGTTGTTATATTCTCCCTGATAAAGTTAATTGCAAGCGTCAGTATATCTCGTACATACATAATACTCGAAGGGCAGGAAGTGCGCCCCGTTCGTGTCGCGAACAGTTCGACCGGAACGTGATGAACGTTACAATCGGTTTGAATTGTTCCGGTGGCCATGTATTGACTGCAGCCATCACTGGTTAAAGTCAAAAAACGTTGGAACATACCTAAACGTTATATTATTAGATAATAAACGCTACAAATACATTAAAAACGAAATTTGAATGGTAATTAGCAAACGTTACTGGTTAAAAATGAATATATTACTTGTTTTTCGCGTTTGAATTCCTATGTTTCGTGCAAAACTTTTTTTAACTAATTGGTATGTAATAAAACAATCAATAATATAAAAAATGGCAAACAATGTCCTTTATACATAAATTAATTCTATATCTTTGCCTAATTTGTGTGCCAGTTTATTTTTGATTGTTGACAGTTCCTGAATTAATTAATTGTATTCTATTAATTAATTGTAATTGTTATAAAATGTGTTCTCAATTCTTTCCTTTGGAATTTATTCGCTTCTGATTTGTTTTTTGGTTTTCTCATGAGCAAATTACCGTCCAACACCCATTTCTCACTTATTAGGCGGTTATTATTCTACTTCTTATTGTAAAACGTAAAAGTGACCTAGTCTTGTCTATTTTAGTCGCAGACAGCGAAATGGAATAATGTGTGCAATTGCATGTATGTCAAAGAAATAAAGCATGAATATTTAGAAAAATATATTTTATGAGATGTTTCATTATTTACGGTTGAAATTTATTATGTTATAAGGCAGTTTTCATTAATATCGGCACAATTTTAATACATGTACTACATTTGAATCTATAATTTTTTATAAAGAATCGATTCTTATTACTTCTTCACAATTTTATGCTATTTGATGCTTTAGTAACGGTTTTCTGCGCGGTTTACTTGCAATATTGAGTTTAATCGGGCTTATTGGCCAAATTATCCAATAATACTATCATTAGAAAACATCATCAGTGTTTTGTTTTTAAATTGTGTTTGAAGATTAACAATTGCAAACCAATAATCATAAGAAAGAATATTCTCAGAGGTTCATCAGGCTCATTGCCTTTGCTTATTATATCAAAACTCAAACTGCATTTAATTTATATTTACTCCTTTAAAAATATATTAGCAAGGTTGTTTCCGCATTTAACTGATACTTCTTCTGAGACGATTAGCAATCAATACATCGATAAATATTAACGATTCAGATTAGATGAGAAATTCCATTCTACTATTTTTCTTGTTTTGCACTTCTAGGATATCTCCGCCGATCATTGAAATTATAATTTGGTTGGAACGGTACATTTGTTGCTCAACGCAAGATTAGTATGCGTGTTACGGTTGTGCAAGTGCGAGCAATGGTAATAATAAATCGATCTAATGAAAAATTGGTTCGATTGGCGCAGATTATGCAATTATATAGTATATGAATATTATCACGCTGGCAAACACCAGCTTGCAAACGTATCAATCATTAATAAATTAATTACTTTTGATTTGAGTCAAGGTAAAATAATTAATCTGCTTATAGTACAACTTATTTATGCTGCTGTCCAAACCGGTTCACTTTGAGCATTATATGTCTTAAGAACTTAAGACGTTGATTATATTCTTGTTATATTTTTTAGATTAAAAAGAGTTTAATTTATAACTTAACTTGGAAGTATGTTATTTTTTGCGGATTGCGAGTGAAGTTTCCTTTCGCGCTTGAAAATAAATTCCATCATGACACTTTTACTTCAGACATGTTTATGATTATGATCTTATTGATTTCGTTGCAAAAATAAATAGCAAATTCCAATTTATTTCTTATTACACTGATTTATAACATGATTTGCCATTAAAAAATTATTGCAAAGAAAGTCTTGATGTTTTAAAACTCAAACTGAAATTGATTTTGAGTTCAAGTATTTGAAAACGTGTTAAAAGAGTTAATTGCATTTTTAAAACATAATTTTAAAATTCCAAGAACTGAATTGCTGCAACACTGTAAACAATCGTAGAAACCATTCACTTGCATTCTCAGATACTTTTACGTATGCTTTATTTTTGTTCTTTTGCTTTCTTAATTATGAGTGATAAAAGTGTTGGCATCCAATGAATTCGGGATTGAAATCTACTTTAAATGCATTTTAGGCCATTCAAGCATTTCAACATTTGCATACAAAACCGTTTTTATTTCGACACAATCCGGTGAATACGTATCTGATGAAAATCATAAAATCATTGCCTAAAAACATTCTCATCACTTTCATGTTTTGTTTGTTGTTGATTCCCTATATTAAGGATTACAAACATTTATGTTGTTGTTGTGATGATTTTGAAACAACGTAAAAGTTAATAAATTATCCACATATTACTCAAAAAAGTAAATAAAACTTGTTAAAACGTAAACTCAAATCATAGAAATTTTTATATTGTATGCAACACATCATACAGTCGCAAAAATCCACCAAATACATCTAATTAATAATATATAACATAAATGATTAATTAACAAAATGATAAAAGGAATGCAGACATATCGTAAACTGTAATTTATAAAATGCTTTACATAAAAAACGATCAAATATTAAATCTTTACTAACTAACGGTTAATGCTACCGGACGAATCACTCATTATCTTCCTTTTTTTTTCTTAGTTTAGTGCTTTGTTTTTGGATTGTGGTCAAAGTCATCTTGTAAATCATGATGCATGTTATCCAGCATGATGTGATGTCAAAATAATACAGCTATCTTCAATTAATTCAACGTTAACTAGTCACCATCAGTAGCTAACCGATCGCCAAATGAATGAAAACCAGACATTAAATTTTAAATATTAAAAGCACAAACTAACTATAACGCATTTACAAAACATTTCGAGATTTAATGCTTCAGGTGATTCTTAAGTACCTACTTGTGCATTCCGTGCATTTCTTAGAGGAGTTGAGATCAATTACGTTTTGTAACACTAATCAGACCGTCCTAATACTGTCTAATTTTGAGTCATAATAACTGAACTAATGATGAGACGAAACGTGTAAGCGGCACCATCTTGCGCATTTGTTGTTCTAGTGATTTTATTTCACATAACTTAACGTGTAATTTTTATCAATAATATTAAATTATGCGCATAATTTTGAACTTGCAGTAAAGTTAGCTAACTTTAGTGTAGTCCGTTATAAAGTCATAATTATTAATGTGTTTGGAAGATGTTCATCATTACCACGACGTGTGTACGCTGATAATTATCACATTTCCAATATTTGCATATTCTTTATTTGTCAACTCTTCTTAGCTCATAACTACTTCCTTACGAAGACAGAGATTTTATTCGAAATCTTGTAACACCTGCTCGATACAAGAAGTTGTAAATTATTTTACTAAAAAATATGACAAAATATTTATAGTTAATAATACAAATGCAACTTTGGTTTAAACTTGCAAGGTTTCGATCTATAAATAATGAAAATCAATTATTTCAGACATGATTTGAATAATTTACTTTAACATTGACCGCGTACATGTTCAATGACATTAAATAAATTCATGTTGCATAATTTCATTCTTACCTAAAGTAAGTTTAAGTTTAATACTTGACTAGACCTTGATAACATGAAGCACGATTTTAACCATAATGGTTGCATACATAAATGGAATATAAAGATATAAACTGATGATGCAATGCACACAACTGGACGAAACTAGAAAACTTTAATGGAAAATAATTACCTCTTAGTTTTATTATATCCAACTGATATGATGTAAACCACCCCACTGAAAATTCCCGCCAACACGCTGAAGCCAAAGCCAGTTGTAAGCGCCAACTGAAGAGAATCCTGCGGCATCATGACGCGCAATCGTTTCGCAAACCACATACACTATAAATTTTGAACTTGCGATTGTTACAAGTTTATTAAAACTTCAAATCAATCAAATCTATTAGCTACAGTCACTTGTTAACTCTTCAAAATTAAAACACATTTTATTACTTTATACACTTTTTGAAGTAAACTTAGTAAAAAGTTTTGTTTATTAAATTTGAATATTTAGTTGTCGTTTCGGATGGCACGCGACTAGATGGACATTCTCCGCACGCTTCGCTACTTTATTTGACTCTCAAGCTCGCGTCTTGCTTCTGCGGTTGTTCGCGACTCGTCAAGCGCCGCAACCGTTCTCCACGCATTCCACCTCGAAGATGCTGAGAGGCTGCAGCCACACACACCAAGTGGCGAGAGACGAAGTCGAAGACTTTCACGTGTGTTGTATCTTTTCGGCGGCGAAACAACAAGTTTTCGGTCGTCGACGCGGCGCGTGGAAAACGATCACGCGCTTCTGGCTTCTGCTAGACGCCCGTGCGCGTTGATTCAACTCGCGTTAAAAGTAAAACCACACCGCCTGCTTCATTGGCGATATTCACCTGAGACATTGCTCATCGCATACATGGAAAATTTACGCGTAGGTAATGTAAACTCGTGATCATGTAGGTACATAAAACTTGCTCAGTGTACCTATTCCGCCTTTGTGTAAGTATGGTATGTAAAATGTAAACTGCGCAAAGTTGGCTGCAATATTTAATGTTTAATGTTCTGACGTGAACGATAATAATAATTAGAATATGTAAACGTAAGTAATAGTATTGACCTTGTATAAATTAGGTCTAAAAATGAACAAAAACACATTTTACACTAAATAAACTACAAACTAATACATAAAATATAGTATACTTTCTTTTAATTTAATTTAATTATGAATGGAAACTTTTAGAAGTAAAATATGCATAATATGTAATCGGAAATTAATTAAAAATCCGGTTTTAGCTCACTTTTGTTACGAAAGTGAAACAATATACGATCGCTTGTCTCCGGAAGTAGACATTCGGATATCCATTAATAGTTTGTTAATTAAGATTGCTTTTCGGAAATTGCCGACGCGAATTTCATTCATGTACAGTACATTAACCCAAGATCACTTAATAAATTCCATATAAGATTGATTTTAGTGCTGTTTATTAGCAGATTTTAGCAAAAATTAGAAACTAAATTTCCCATGCAGTTAAAACTAATTGGCAAAATTATTGCTGCTATAAGTAAAATACTATAATAATACTTACATTACCTGACAATAAAACAAATTTGCAAAACCAAATGTTCACACATTTATGATGTACAAGATCATCAGTGAAAATGAACACAAAATTGCATGAATCTCAAGTGACGTTGTATAACCGTTAACAGACGATTTGTATAAGGAATTGAAACCAAAAGGAAGTTTTAAAAAACAACTCATACATCATTACAACCTGTTGGCATCTCCATAATAAACAATAAATTTCTCTTTCGGCTGGTTTTTTATTAATTTATTATTCAATTCGACTTGTTTTTCAAGTGCTCTTGCTTTTACTCTTCAGATCAATTTGGAAAGTATGTATAAAATTTTGAAGGTATAGATACATCTAAGTAGATATATTGCATTGGTGCGCGAATTTTAGCACGACTTTAGACATTTATTCGTTTCCAGGGAGTGTCAAAGTGTTCGATTTACGTCTGCAGAATGTGAAATGCTAAAATATTGCTTTCGGTTATTTCATCACCGGGGGGGCCTCATTCGCATGAAAGAACAAACTCACTTTGAAGTTGGCAATCGAACCGCGCCGCGCAAGAGTAGAAATGGCCAACAGCTCGACAGTAATCGCAAGAGGCTAATTATAATTGCCATTTAGCTGCTCAAATATTCAACCAGTCGAAATCACAAGTACTGTTAGTAAGAGATAAAGGAAAAGGAAAGGTTTTTCTGCAAGAAGAGAGTTCACTATTTGCGCTTACCTTTCCTTTAATACACAGTTCAAAATTAATTTCTGCTTGAAGACACAATGAATTCATCCTTTCATATACCTATCTAGTCAATTTATTGTTAGTTGCTTTCATGTTTATTTTTACCAACTATTGCAAGTGCATTGCTGTTGCAGTTAATTTTCCTGTCTACGCCGTTAGGAGGATTAACAGATTTTAAGTCGGTCTGTGGTTAGCATTGAAACGGCGATCAAAATCAACTCTCAAATAAAAATTTTCGTTATAAAGTGAAAGGAAAGATGCACCTAACCGAACACTTGTCCGTAGATGTTTATGAAAAACATCAGAAATATTTTCTTTACCGTTAGCAGATCGTTTCAAGTTCGAATCTGAGAACTGTACTCGAGGCACCTCTTAATATGATTATATGCCTTCGAAGATGAGAGCTAAAAGATGTTTTGAGCCAATTTAACTGCACCTCTCTCGCATTTCAATACAAATTACTTGAAAACTTATATACATTCTATACTAACCCATTAATAAACTGATAATTACACCTAATGCTGGGTAATTAAATTATGTACATGACTGACGTTAATTAATTATATCATAAAATGAGTATTTTGGTGTGTTAAACACAGCATTTTGCGAAAAAGTGATAGTAATTTGCTAAATTGGCAAATATCAACACTCACGACTTTTATTATAATTTTGGATAAAATAATTCCTAGAATTAGTTGAGAACTGCGCACGATTAGCATTGAATTTCAATTTTCAGCGTATCTTGGCATGGTGTCAAAGGAAGCAAAGTATTTTCATGTGCATGTGCATCATCCAGCACTTAGCTTTTATACCTATCATGTTTCGTAAGTCTACGCACTCTAATGCGACTCACACGTCGAGCACTTAGGAGGTCGCTCTTCGTTTAAACGTTATAGCATAATAAAACCGAGAAAATATGCACAACTATCGGGTCCCGCCTATAAATACATTTACACCAATATTAAATTAAACGTTTTTACAAAATTGTCAGAGAATTTAACTAATATACAAGAAACAATTCACACGTTTGGTAATTTCTAATATAAACTATTTAGACACTCACTTGTTTATCCTGCGCAGGGGAAAAGTTTTAGATTTGTGCATTTTTGCAAGCAACCGTTGATATTCATCGCTTTTGAGGGCTTCTGAAATTACCACAAAGCACACTAATATTATTTATCCAGACTCGGCACAAAACAAAATTGCAATGCATATTTTTATTTGCAATGGTATTGGTTGTTAATTTATTGGTCAATTGATGATAAGGCATAATTAATTCATGCATTATTTACCTCTACGCGCAGATTCCACTTGCCCCGCCCTTGTCATTATGAATTACTGTATTTGTTGCTGGTGTAATTTAATATCACACTACGTCGCTGTTGCCATCAAGTCGTTCACTGATTAACAAAACGTGCACTTCATTAATAAAGACAGAAATTCATTGTCTGCGCAATGAACCTGCGCCTAAAGTAGTGTTGGGAGACAATAAGTTGTTGTTAATACGTGACATCCTCTTTCCATTCAATACTTAACATTGCTTTTACATTTCATTAATTTTTTGCGTTGTAGGTATTTCTAGATGTTTGCAGTTGCAAATGTTGTATGGCACGTATCACCCACTATAAAATTACATTTTTCGAGTTGAAAAGAAAATTAGGACTCCTCTTTCTCACTTTGTAGTGAAAAATGAACCCTTTCTTAATATTGTAATGTATAAACACAATGTCCTTGGGAATAATTTAATATCTTATTTCAATAAATACAATGAGTAACAATTAGTGCACAATAATAAACTCGCGTAGATCTTTGTACTTTCGCAAAAACCAGTTTGACTCGACATAACAGTTACTCGATCTTTGAAAATTTATTTTCTGTTCGTATTAATTAGGCTCACGTCGGTTGTGATACTGTTCGCGGCACAGCAAATAAAATAAAATTACAGTTTACATGAGAGAAATTAGTAACATAAAAGTTTCCACATATCAATTGTTCTAAAATTTTGAATTGGAGAGTACGTCAGCTCCGAAAATCTCGAATACGTTTACAAAGGCATCTCGAAGTTGACGTCGAGGTGCGCGTCACGCGCCATGCTCACGATGTTCGACAGCTTGACGGCGAGACGGGCGGCTTCGTCAAGATTGTCGACAGGAAGAATCTTAAGACCAGAGCTCGCAATCAACACTTTGGCGTCGTCGACGTTGGTGCCCTGCAGACGGCACACAATTGGCATCTTCAGATCGAGATCTTTGGCCGCGGCGATGATACCCTCAGCAATAACATCGCACCTAAATATTTATACATTAGCATTGCATCATTGCGGGTATATAAGCTTAAATTACCTCATAATGCCACCGAAAATGTTAACCATAATGGCCAACACCTTGGGATCGGAGGTGATGATTTTAAAAGCCTCCTTGACAGCCTGCGCAGTAGCACCGCCACCAACATCCAAGAAGTTTGCCGGGGAACCACCATGCAACGAAATAATGTCCATCGTTGCCATGGCTAAACCAGCGCCGTTGACCATGCAACCAATGTTGCCGTCCAAAGCGATGTAGTTGAGATCGAACTTAGAGGCAGCAATTTCTTTCTCATCTTCCTGGGTAAAATCGCGAAGAGCAAAGATTTCCTTTTGACGGAAGCCAGCATTGTCATCGAAACGGAATTTAGCATCAAGTGAATAATCTATAAAAAAAAAATAGATATAAACTAAATTACCACGTTAAATTTAAACAAATCGGACATACAGTTATCATTCTGTTCTTCGGCATAAGGGTTGATTTCAATCAACAGAGCATCCTTCTTAATGAACAAATCGTACATCTTCAGGAGCATATCGCCGGTCTGTTCCTTAACCCTGCCGAGCCCAACACGCTCAGCGACAGCTTCAGCCTGCTCTTTGGTCAACCCAGTCATAATGTCGATTGGTTCGTACGTAATTGCTTTCGGATTATCGGCAGCAACTTCCTCGATGTTCACTCCACCTTGGGAAGACGCAATAATAACTGGTCCCTAAAATAACATCACATTGTATATGCTCTGCTAACATTTAGATTTAAATAACTTACGTTAAACGCGCGTTCCATCATCACCGCGAAGTAAAACTCCTTCCTGGGGAATTTGCGTTCCGCAACCATTACTGCGTTGCAGATCCTACCCTTCTCACCTGTTTGTTTGGTAACTAACAATTCACCCAACATCTTTTTAGATATATCATGTGCTTCCTGTGGGCTGGATTGGAAGAAAAGAGAATTCAAATACTAAGTAATTGCAGTAATTTATTACAGAAAAGATTAGACATACCTGTAAACAGGTTTGACACCTCCCTTGAAACCATTCTTGAAAGCACCTTTGCCTCTGCCTCCAGCCAAGACCTGTGCCTTCAGAATCAGGTCATTTGTCTTGAGGGAGTCTGCAATTTTCTTTGCTTCTTCAGCAGTTTTGGCAACACCAAAGTTGGGCACCTGAATGCCAGCTTCCTTCAGCAAGGTGTAGCTGATATGTTCATGGACATTAAGGTTGCGCTGTTGTTGTTGCTGTGGGTTCCATTTATTACTGGCAATGCCAAGAGTCTACAAAATACATACAACATTATATAAGTCACTAGGTTATGTAGACTTCTAGTGAAGCAGGTGGAAACCTAGTGCAAATTTACGAAAAAATCACGTCATAAGGAGATTCGTATTATGTAATATTTATGATGAAATAGGTGCAAAATGGCATGTAAATAGCTCATAAATGTGTGCTATTTTAATTTGGGCGGATTTTCTGCGGAAATCGATTTTTCTATTATTGCATGTTATTGTTTGTGTTTCTGGGGCACAATATGTAAAAAAGACCTACCTTGGAGGCATTCTTGCTGACTAGGCTCTCCGCCAGGCTCAATCCTCTCAAAAGAGTCGCCATTGTTACGTTCTCAAACTACTGGTGCCAGCCTCGTAAAACTTAGCGCGGACGACTGACAGCTATTGTGTTAGTAGAGTAGTAAGTCCACGAGAACCTGGTGCACGGCGCGACCGGAATATGCGCCTTGTGAGCGAGTGACAGACGTTTTAGCTTAGCACACGCGCAACGATCTAACTAAATTCGAATTCAAACTCTTTGCAGTCCGATTTCCAGGTCCAAATCGAATTAGAAACTCCCGTGTGCGTGTCCGTTCGAAGCCTGCAACAAAAATGTCCAGATTTCAAACTTCAAAGTACATGTACGCAGTACGCAAGTGAGAACGCATAATAGAATCAATTAAATCATGTTGAAATGGACGTAATAAATGTTGTAATTGGTCGCAGTACTACTAAGCGTGATGCCTTGATGACTAAGCACGACGCATTTTACACTTTACGCGTGATTATCGAATGAGAAATCACAAACAAAATGTTTCAATGCTGCTTAATCTAATCACGACAAATTTGTTTGTGGGATTATAATGTTTGCGATAACATGTAAATTCCAAAGTCTTGCAAAACTTACCAATATTGATTTAAATATAATACACTACAATTTTTTTATATATCGCATTGCATTTTGCTGCTGCGTTTGATGCCGTTTTGAAATGTAATGTTTCTGTCTAAATCTTGATTTATTGTCATTCAATTGCAAAGTTTTGACGGTTTTAATTATCCAAATTGTTTGTTATTCTGGACAGATATTTTATAATGCACATCTGCTTATAATTGAAAATTTCTCGTGAGACTATATGCATTTTATCCATAAAGCATCTCAGCGGCTATGGTGGAACGCCGCGCAATGGCGAAGAAGACTCCTGGGTCACACAAGAAACTACTCTACAACTTTTTCCGTCATAAATCAGTTTATCCCACATAAGACTCGAAAACTCTACATGTTCAAACCACTTTTACTTCCTAGCATTTTGTCCCTCGGTGGTAAGAACGATTTCAGTCCAAATCCTGATGTTGACGCCGAAATTGAAGATAATATCACACATTTGATTATCCTTGCGAAGCTTGCGCTCGAGAAAGGTGATAAAGAACGCGCTGAGGCAATTCTTGACATGGGACTTAAACTCTGTGAAGAAAGAAATATTACTTTTGGTATGCCCTTTATGTACGACATTTTGGCAACCATAGCTTTATCCAATGGAGAGATAGACAAAGCAGAGAATCTGCTGGTCACCATCATTGAGAAAATGTCGAAAGTAGGAGCTTCTGAGGATGACCATCATATTGTAGATTTTAAATTACGCTTGGCTAGGATTTACAGCGCATTTAGAGAGTACGATCTTGCCGAAATCGGGTTTAAATCGTGTCTGGAAGCACAGAAACAAAAAATAATTGAGGGGGACATCAGCACCAAAACAGGCATGCTCTATGTTAATATTCTCTTTTGGTACGGAATACACAAAATCAGAAATAATTATTTTCTCAGTGCCAAAAAGTTATTGGATACTGCTTATGATTATTCCGGGAAAATCAAAGGCTTATCACCTTATCAGGAAATGGTCATCTTGTACACTCTCGCCGATTTGAATATGGAATTAGGTGAGATGGACATAGCACTAGTAAATATGCAGAATGCTGTGATGTTAGGGAAAGGAATTGGTAGTACTGATTTACCACGTTGCTATGTGAAGTTAGCGAAGATCTATCACAAAATGAAAGTGGATGACCAAGCGCGATTTGCAGTCGAGGAGGGTGTAAAACTAGCTAAAATTTTCAATCATTTTGACGTGTTGCAAGATGGTCACGAACTACTCGCCGAGCTTAACAAGAATAAAATCGATTCACCCAAAATGCCAAATATGGACGATCCCGCAAATATTATGTCTTGACGTAAATTGAAAATTATGTGGGTGTAAATTTTTGAAACTGTTTATTCCACAAAATATAAATCTATTCATATCTATTCATAACAGTTCAATTGTTGAAAGTAAAACAAGGCAAATCCAATGCAATTGGAGAATCTGGAACAATTTCGACGCCCGGTTCAGTAAGGTTCGTAAACCTTTCGTTTACAAACTGATCCACATTCATTACATCATCGGATCCTATGCTGGTATCCAAGATGTTAGCCACGGGTGCATCTGGGAGAAATTCAACCAAATGCAGTTTGTTCAAATCAAACTCTTCACTCTTCTTTTTCTCTTTTTCAGTTGGTGTACTCATGTGTTCGTCGTTTACATCAAATGATAATATGTTGGGAATCGTTTTTCTAAAGATGTCAACTTCTTTACCAACGTGATCCTGTTGATTAGTGTCTTCGCTATTTGTTTCTTGTTTCTTTTTGACAAGGTATTCGTTGTTAGTGTAATTATTTTCTTTTGCGTCATTTGAAGTACTTGCCGAAGATGAAAATACAGATTTGTCATTAAAATCTTCATTGAAAATATGTAGAATTTCGAAATGATTGTCAAGCGTTTTGTTTGGACTTGTTTTTGTGGGTGCAAAGAGTTTTTTCTTAGGTTCAGTAATATCAATAAGATATGTAATGTCCGAATTCAATTCAACATTATTTACAGGTTTACTGTTCACATCTTCTATCGATGTAAGTTCGTTGCTTGTTGAAGTTGCCCCTTGTGTAAACATAAATTTCTTTGCTGGTTGAATTAAAGAAGGCGGATTCGCAAAACAAAGCTCGTTTGTAGTTTCGGTTGTATCGAGTGTATTAGAATCAACGGATTCTAAAAATGAATCATCCAACAAAAATGAAAATATATTAACATCTTTACAGATTCCACTTTCATTAAACCGATAGTCCCCTTCTTTAATATCTAATATTTTTGCCAAAAGTGAATCCACAACAAATTCAGACTTAACTGTTGCTGGCCTCAGAAAGTTTTTAGCCATCACACGCGCATTTTTAACAAGACTGATTAATTCCTTGCAGAATTTTTCACCGCGTTTGCCTTTATTTGCTTTCAGTGCAGTTTCAATCAGAAAGTTCCATGAATTGCAATCCTGCTGCATCATCTGATTGGTTGCTCCATGATCCGGATTCTTTTTCAAGTGGGCAGCCATGCGATTACGACCCAAATACGCTTTTTTGCATGTAGGGCATTTATATTGTGCAGGAATATTTCGTTTCTTGGGATTTGATTCCAAAGAAACCAGAGGAGGTGGTTCAGTTATATTATTTCGGGTTTTGATAGGTTCAAACTGTGCTGTATGCAATTCTTCAACAGGTTTCATACTGCCCTTTACATTTGTTACAATTTTTTCATAATCCTAAAACCAAGCATGTTGTAGTATATGCAACAAACTAAACGTTTTTTTTTAATTATACCTTTTCCATGTGTGTTGGTGGTTTTGTTATCCTACCACATCTAGTTCTTGATGTGCTGACACACAACTTAGGAGGTGCTACTTCTACTACATCACTTTTTAATACAGCTTCTCCTGGTCTTTTCTTTGGTCTGCCCCTGGTCAATCCAGTTTCAGCATTACTAATTATCTCTGGTTCTTCCTTTTTCTGAATTGTATTTAAAAATATAGTTATTATACATTTTATCTTAGACCTAAAGAACAACTTACATATAAATTTAATTCTGCTGGTTGAACAATTTTATAATTCAGCATGGTAGAAGGTTTCTTTGGTGTTTTTTCTTTGTTTTCAAGACTTATGTTGTGTACACCTAATGCCATTGCTTGATCCATTGATAAATGAACAAGTTGTGAAGTGCCATCAATCTAAAGTATGAAAAAATACTTAATGAAAACATGTTGAATTTAAATCAGTCTTTATTACCATTTCAATTCGAATTATGTAGGAATCTTCTACAGTCGAATGCGAGTTTGCAGTCGCCACAGATTGCGTTGTCTCTGAAGCATTTACAACGGTTTGCATCTTGAAAATAATTGTTATTATTATCTGCTACACAAACATTTATATTCAGGAGAATTAAAAGTATCCTGACAGTTCTGCTCAGGTGAAAAAGTTAGGTTATAAAAACAAAAGTTCAAAATCAGAATTTAAAACTAGAACATTTTATTTTATTTCAATTTATTTGGTATTATAATTGTTACACAAAGTCAAATGAAATAATTTGGCTATTTTTGAATTGTTACAATTTTAAAGTCATAACAGCTATGCATTTGGCGTAAAGGTGGCACTATGATGCACTTATTTGTAATAAATTATACCTGGACTGGTTGTTAAAAGCAGTCCAGATCAAAGAACATCTGTGATATAAATCTATGTCGAGAATAGATTAAATTCAGTGATAACAGCCGTAACTCATGCAAACCTAACCGTAGAAATGCAGTATTTGATGAGTTTAAGTTTAAGTGCAAATTAAATGTGTTTGAGTAATTGATTGTGCATATAGGATTGAATGGTAGGTAAGTAATTAAAAACGCAATATTTTTTTCAACACTTGTTATTCCGTGAAAACAAAATAACATTGGTTCAGATATAGGATCATCTCAATTCAATATTTACACGTCTAGCCACTTGTTATCCATCGTTCGTAGTAATATTCCGGAAGAGTTTAAAGTTTCCCACTTTAAACCCTATAAATCAGTACAATTAGCTACAAGAGAACATAAAAACAGATAAGAACGACATATAAGCCTTACATATTACAATACAAATATTCTCAGCATGATCGTATCTCTTATGTTTCATCTTTCATCATTTTCTGTGTATGTGATAACTAAAAGCGCACAAATCGAATGGCAGCAGTTGCGTTTTCTGGCCTCAAGTCGTCCAAAAACATATTACATAAAATTGGATACATTCATAGCATAATTATACAGATATTTACAATATTTACAAATAAAATATATTAAGAAGAATAAAGTGGCTACCAATATGAAACTCATCGAAATGAACCACCAACATAAACTCAAAAAAATCACGATTGAATTCATTTGTGAATTGCAGCAGAGATCTTGTTTATAGTCAGTTGTTTCATAATGTAAATTGTGTAGTTAGCTAGTAACTCAAGTACTTCAAGATCAGTTCCGAATCAGTGCAGATTTTCGGCGTGTATTGCATAGTGTGATGCAGTGTTACCTGCAAAATTGGTTTCTCTCCTATTATCTCACACAGCATCTTGTGAAAAACGTATAAAATTACCCTGAAGTCGATTGCGTGTGTTAATTGATGCACACGGTTGCAATTCATCCCGTATGTTTACAATTATTGTATCGTGTCAACATGATTTACGTATAAAACTATCCATTTCGTATGTACAACAATGTAAGTTCCGCTTAGCCGTCTTGTTGCATCATAAAAGTCCGTTTGTTGTTGGATACAAAATTGTTGCAAGTTTTTTTTAAGTCGGATGTTCTCGTGTCAAATTCGTATTACATTTACGCTCTCGGCGCATTACCGTTTAGATTCTTAGATCTTGTAATTACGTGTAAAATGTCCAAAGATTAAATTATCACAGCAGGTCGGTGACGGCACCGCCAAACCACACCATCACAATCGGCAGGACATAATGCATAAGAGCCTTGCCAAGCTCCGTCGCTGAGGACGCCTGCACCACGACGGGCACATCTTCATTCCGCGTTTCCTCATTGAACTCCGTCACCAGTTCCACTTCATTGCTTTCCGTCGTTGTAGTACTGCTCGTCGACGTGGTGCTTGCAGTGGACGTTGATGTGGGCGCTTGATGCACATCGTCATCATCTTCTTCATCTACATGCGTGTCATCTTCCGAATTGATTCCAGCACCCGAGCCGGAACCACTTGCCATGAACGCGTCTTCTTCTTCTTCATCATCAGTTTCATCAATTTCCTGGCCCATATACGCAGACTCCAAATGCGAAATGTACACTCCCAATGTATAAGTTTGTTCGTAAACCAGCTCATTCTTTGGGAGTTTCGTGGGTTGAGATACGTAACCGGACAAGGAATTCCCGTTCCAACATTTCGATTCACCAGGAGCCGCTGTCGACACATTGTTACAGTAGGCGTAGCGCAGATTCTCCCAGAAATTCTTTCCATCTTTAATTTTCTGAAAATAGAAAAAACGTAAATATACAAATCAGCTGCGCTCGGCACGAGAAGGAAACATGTGTTTCCAGTTACTGACTTAATCTAAATATCTGCTGACAATTGTTTATTTATTGTTAGTATGAAGACGATTTAAATCAGTATAAACTTACGCCTTTCACTTCTTGGATGCGTTTCTCCATCACACTCTGTCGGTCGAAACTGTTCGGGTTCTTATGCTTCTTCTTCTGGCTCTTGTTGAATTGAAGACTTTGTCGCTTGAGTTCCTTAGATTGACTAGTTTCTGCAGCACGTCGGGTTCGATCGCCTTTCAGTTTAGGATGTCCACATTTCAGGAACACTTTCTGGCTGACCTCGTTGCCGTTGTCTTGGAAATTCATGATTGCCTCGGAGATTTTCACGTTGAGCGGTTCCACAACAACTTCAATATTGAATGGACCAAGAAGTTTTTCCGCGACTTTATCTAAACTATCTGAAATCAAATAAGTACATGTTTAGAAATGGTAAAACAGAAAACTTGTAATATCTGAAGGTTAAAAGTTGTTTTTCAAAAGACTTACCTATGTAAATATTCCATTTCTCATTTAATTCCGACAAATCCCCGAAACATTTGCGAATCGTATCCGTGCAGAACTGATTGCAAGCGCCGGGTCCAGCATTGCCTGTGCAAACATCGCAATGCTGCATTTTCATAACTTCCTCACCACACATATCCGTAATATTTAGTTTCATCATCTTCTCGAGGACGACAGCGCCTTTGCCCAGCGATCGATGGAAAGTTCTTGTCGCAACAAACGCCCTCCTCAGCATGCCTGCTAATTTATTCGGGATATCACCGAAAGGCTTCATATCGGTAATGTCCTTCGCCACGCAAGCGATATAATCATCGCTGAAAGCATACTGCGAGTTGATCACGACAAACATCCTCTGGTATAAGATGGTGAAGAAGCGATCCATCGTTTCAGCCAGTCTAATCCCACCCTGCACATAGTATTTCTCCAGCTCGTTGAAGAAATCAGTGAAGACGACTGCGTTTTGCATGTAGATGATGCCGTACGTGCGGTAGAACATCTCGTGAAGCTCTTTTTTACTCTTCATCATCATGTCCTTGAAAAGGTCCTCGAGGCGACGTGCACGTGTCTCGAACAAGGATTGAATTTGCCCAACGCTGTCCTTGTAAAAAGTCTCTACATCATCACGCGTTGTTTGTCGGATTTTATATTCTACGGAGGCGCAGCACGAATTTGCACCACAGATTGGACCTGAAGACAAAATGATTGACTATTTAGATTCGCGCATAATCAAATAAAAGTAAAGGAATAAATTTCAATTATAAAAATATGTAAAAGGATCATATGGCAAGTGCATGTTCAATTTAAAATCTTTTTATTGCTTGCCATTTAGTGGGAAAATGTTCGTGCGTGTTTCATGAATGAACGAATGAATGAAAGTCTGAAAGAGCGTCGCGCAAGTCACGTCGGCTCGTTATTGCTCATAATACCCGAAGCCTACCGTCGTGAGTGTTGTGCGTAGTCAAGTTGCGCCGTTGTTGGCCAGCTATTTTTGCGTTTCATTTATTGAATCGATTTCATTTCGCTCGGCTCGCTGTTTTTATGATTTCTTTGCCGTATTGCGCATTGTGTCGAAGCGTTTGACGAAGAATGCGCGACGCTAACGAAGGCAGGAATGAACGGCGATAAACGATGCGAGATGTGGCACAAGGCATCTGGAATGTTTGCCAGCTCTCTTCGGCTGAGAAAAGGAGATTTTTGAGTTGGTGCAAGAGTTTCTGAATGCGCTGGTCGTGCGCGCAGGACAAACGAACGCAAACCTGAACCTGAAACGCGAAGAGACGCCGAGAACCGCATTGCTCACATTCGTAAGCGAACGCCGTGCGCAAGACACGCGGCCAGCAAACGTCCACTCAACTTTTAAACACATTCTGTCGATGCGATGCACCTTGCAGGTTCAATACAGTCGCACACATAAGAGAAATATCTCAAAAAATTTAGCAAATTATTAAATTTGTTAATTTTCATTACAATTATTTATTGACAAAAGGATAACTATCCATTCATATTGATATATAATTTAATTTTTTTCTATTTTGCTTTTACAAGAAGTATTTGAAAGCATGTAACCCGCTGCGTATCTGCGTTATTGGGCTTCGAGCATCTTGCATTCCACGACACACGACACGCGAAGCGAAATACGAAGCGGAATTCCACGAGAGATGCTGATCGCGCGCATGAGAAGAGGTGCGCGGGATGAGGAGGCTAATGTCACCAAACGGGCAGCGTGCGGTCCGTGACGAAGCTTCCGACGCGCAAATATTCCAGATTCGACCCGCAGGCGAGGACACCGTGTACGGATCCATGCACCGTAAGCAAAGTCTCACATCTCAATTTCGCAAAACTTGATCATATTACACACATCGCGTCCGCCATCTTGTGCGATGACAGGTGCATGTGCAACTGTATACTATGGTAAACTCGCTGTCCCAGTTAATTATGAATTCAATTTAGTGGTATTAATGAGATAAAAAGAAAAAATATTTTTCTAACTTGTCACAAATCTAAATGGAAAATCAAAACCATGCGGGATTGTGAAACGACGTAACCTTATTAAGAAAGTCATTTATTTTCTCATTTTGAAATTTTTCTCTCAATATTTACGATGTTACTTATAAATTAGTGTTTTTCTACTATTTTATAAACTATTAATCATATCTCACATTGAGCGCCATTTTGATTAATTTAATAAGTCAGAGAAAAGGAATTTGCACAATTTGTATTGTTCGCCTATTGTCAGTTTTGTGACTTGCTGGCGCCTACTCGTACACACCTCCGAAAGGTGAGTTCGTGTTTTTTGAGGGCGTAACGAATCTTCGCCGACACAATAGGGGCGCTAAGTGGTCAAATTTAAATGGCACGTTCGCCCAAATGCCATCGGCACTAACAACCACATTTAAACGCGCTAAAAATCCATACAAACCATCAAAACAGCAGTAAAACTTCAAAGTTTAAAATCGAAGCGAAAGAAATGTTGAAACGGTTGAACGAACGATCGACGACCATTCAATGCCAAGCACAACGCCAAACATCATTAATAACCTTGCCTACGGTTGAATGTCTGTTACAAATATTCATTTTTCCCACAGAATTTCAACATATTCCCAAGAATACCGATTAATCGAGTTTACGCGTCAAGCGCTTATGTTTCTACCGGTGATACTGAGCCACCAGCAATAACAAACTTTATTTATAGATTCGAAGTACTTCTGCAAAAGTCACAGCGGATTCAAAGTCGTAAAACTCGTACAGGAGTATAATTAACTACACCATCTGAGATGCGTGTATAAACCAAACAAAAGAGTTTGTATACGCGAATGTAACTTGAATCCGAAATCAATTTCATAGTCTTTTGTTAGAATCCTTGAATTTCCAATTACCAAGTTATCAACACCTAGATAATAATAAGTTTTAGGATTACCCGCAATGAAAATAAATATTACGTCTAAAAATAAAAATGTTTCAACAATCCTTTGAACATTTCTACATAAAATAGGATATTTATTATTCATAATTTTATGCCAAAAGGCTTGAACAAGTTGAACATATAAACAAAGCTCGGTAAGTGTGAAATCTTTAACACTATAAATATTTTTATGTTAATAGTTAATTATAATTAATCATCAAGGGTATTATGGAGTGCTGTTCCTCCTATTTTCGTATCGCCTTATTAAGAAATTAAATTATTAATTGTTAATTGGATTTAATTCATATTAAGTGTTTACAACCAAATTAACACTCATAATTTAATGTTTTTTTTGCACACTGAAGTTCACAATATGGCCGATAGGTGCAAGCTGTCAAATAACATAACCTTATCCAGAAAATCTTTCTTTTACTATTTTTTCCGATATTTTAATATTTAATCTGATATTCTGAACGAATCCAACAAATCAAATAACATAAAAATCCGTCCCGCCGTTCTTTAGTTATAAATAGCGTAACAAATTAAATATACCCACAGTATATACAGATAAACTTGGTTTACCAAATAAAGAACTTCTCCATACGCATTATTCGGCTTGTCAGCCGTTGTATTATTTTTTTATGGGGTGTAAGTGCGCGTTTAATTTCCACATCGTCCGGCCTCCTTAATGAATTATGAAATGTCATTAACATGCCTGCACTCGCCGCGGTTGATGATGATGAAGCAGACGGCGGCGGACGGTAGATTATTAATTGAGTGGCACAATCCACAATCCACTCACAGTTGACACGGCATGAAAGCAGTTCGAGATAAAGAAGGAATGCGACCGTTTCACAAACACCAACATCAACGCGTATATGCAACCAAGCGAGCACACGAAGATCAATGAAGATCAAAACTTCAGATGATGAAAAGATGAAAGGAATGAAAAAAGCTCCCAGCAAGAAATCAGAACTGTGTATAGTGAAGTACCTGCATGCAGTACACAAGAACATGTGAGTACAAATGTTGATTACTCGCTTTGAACACAATATTAAAAATTACTAAAGAAGAAACAGAAAAATTCAGGTATTATGAGTTTAAAATTTTGAGGTTATATTTTAACTGGCCAAGTAACATTCTTTTGGTACATTTGGTACATACATTTTTGCCGTTTTTGTTTTTTTCTCGTTTATTTGGTGTATAAAAAGGCAAAAAAAAAAGTTGGTATACTAAAAGGTAGACATTCCATTAGTCTTCTTCCTTTTTTCACGCGTTGCACTTTCCTCCTTTTCTTTCAATAAGTCGCCGTTCTGCCCTATACAAACTTAAAACTTAAACTTGGGCATTCAAGAATGAAGCTCTTCTTCTTTATCTTGTGTTTTTCCTTTTTCTCATTGAAAGGTGCGCCATGCTTCGCCCCGCGTCTAGAAGCGAGACAATGAGACAAAGAAGCAGACATGGAGACGAGGAATCGTCGGTGGCTTATAGTCATAATTTATTTGAATTATGGGTTCACGTATAATTTTTTAACAGTCGACGCTTTTTTTCTTGCTTTTATTTTTCAGTTAAGTTCAAAAATTGGGATTCTTCGGCATCTTTTTACTTTTTTTGTCATTATTAGAGGATAGTTACAAAATTTAGACACATAAATTTATTAATTGGTGTTTTATTTTATTTTTTTATTTTTACTACTTCGTTGGCCCTTTGGCTTTGTGTGATTTTCTGCCTTCTCTGTTTCGGTGTGCTTAAATCAAGACGAGCTACGCGTTGAGTTAAAAGCTTTCAAGATAACGCAATTAAAACAACCATTAAGCAAGAACTAAAAGCGGTGAGTGAAGAGCGCAGCGCAAAGAATGAAAAATGAGGAATCCAGAATGAAGAAGCCATGCGCGACCCGAGTCTCAGTCTGAGTCGGAGAAGAAGAGATTAAGCCAACAACACGATTGATAATTTAATTATTGGCGTGCTGTGAGCGCACCTTTTGTGTTTAATTAACTTAATTAGGCAATTTTCAGTTGGAAAGTTAATCATTTCATGTGAAAAAATCTTCAATGAAATGTGACAAGGCTAATAACTTCATTTTCTACCGCTTCACACTCTGAATCGCTATAAAATCATTATCATTGTTGATATAGTACAAGATCAACATCAACAAAATCAACAGTTACATCGCTATATTCAATAAAAGAACGGAAAAACGTCAATCAATTTACATAAGTTTATCTAAGCATAGATATAAAAAAGATATCAATGAACTATCTGATATTAATTTCTCTATGATTTTAATACAATTTGTTTCGAATTGATAAATGTGGTGTTTTCCCATTGAGACATGAACTTTATCTTGGGCCGTCGCGACGAACAAGCAAATCACCAACTGATGTCGATTATGTACATACACGTGTGTGTTACAGTTACGTGTTCGTATCAAGAAAGACTAGGTTCTCATCGCTGTGCAGACGGCACACCGGCATGAATGTTTATTTAAATGGATCGACGCGCGACTGTACAGATTACACGCATGTCCTGTGATGGCATGTGCGAGGAGCGACGAAGAACACGCTGAAAAGTAAACCGAACAGCAGTAAACATTCAGAAGAATCCAAACATTTGGAATCACCTAAAATTTCAACCGCTAACTGAAGAATTTAAGATGTAGCGAGAAGTTATAGAACTCAAATAGCAATGAATTTGTATCGATTGCCTAAATCTCAAATTTATTCATTCATCTGCTATATTAAAAACAGTTGGTGATGTTATCGGCAGAAATAAATAATTGGGC